CAAATATTCCAATAACATCAAGAAACAATAAATTGGTCATTAGATTATTACCACCATCATTAACTGAAAGTAATTTTTTAAATCAATTAGCAGAATATTATCCATACCATGCTACTAAAATTAATCAATTTTATTTTATTCAAGGATCTTATCCAAGGACAAATTTTGAAATACCAATTTATTCAAGAGCTTATTTAAATTTTAATAATTTTCAAGATATGAATGAATTTTTAAATTTTTTAAAAAATAAATCATTTAATGATGATATTGATTCAATTATTCCAATGATTGAAAAATCTATATTTCATAAAATGATTGATCTGAAACAACAATTAGAACAAAAAGAAAAAGAGAAATCAAAAAGAAATGAAAGAATTAAAGGCAATAAAAATGATATTGAAAATGATGAAATTTATATTAAATTTTTAAAGTTTTTAAATCATGATATTGATAAATTTGATTTGAAAAAAGTTAATGATTCTATTAAAAAGAAAGAAACTAATAAATCAAACTTGAAAAAGAATACTAAAAAGAAGTCAAGAGGAAAAGATAAGAATGAAAAATCAAAAAAGAAAGATTCATCAAAGAGTGGAAATAAAGATAAAGAGAAATCAAAACCAAAATCAAAAGATAACAAGCCTAAAGAAAATAAATCAAAGAATGAGTCAGTTGAAAAATCAGGTGAATCAACTAATAATAAACAACCAAGAAAACGAACAAGACAAAGAAAACCAAAAGAAAGTAAATCAGAAGAATCAGTAAAGAAACCACAACAACAGTCTGCAAGAGATGCTGAATCGAAGAAAGCACAACAGCAATTATCATCAAAAGATAAATCAACTAAATCTGAATCTACTAAAACACCACCTCCACCAAGAAGACCAAAATCAAAAGACAGTAAGCCATCAACGAAGGACTCTAAACTGGCAAAAGATACTAAACCATCAGGAAGGAAACCACCGTCAACTAAACCAAAAAGTCAAGACAGTTCAAATTCTTCTTCCGGTCAACAGAAACCAAAGTTTAAACTAATGAAAAGACCAGAGACTCAACCGTGAATAGATAAACAACGAACTAAAAACATTTATATGTACGTATATTAATCATTGTAAGATACTACTCTGTTTTTGTATTTCTTTTTATTATAATTTGGCTACACTTTCTTTACCACCTTTCCAAGTTATTCCACCTTTCCAATCACAAATATCAAAAGTTAATTGTCTAACATCATTAATTTCCTCTTTAGTAGCACCATTATTAACAGCACCTTTCAAATGACCTTTTAATTGAGGATTAACATCTTGAGGAATTAAACAAGCAACAACACATAAAGAAGTTTCTTTAGCACCTATAATATCAGTAAAACTTAATAATGGAGTATAAACATGATGATAAGCATAATACCATAAATCAGGATAAGCAGTCAACATTTGATTTTTAATTCTAGTATTAATTTTATTTCTATAAACAGAATTCCAAAAATCCGAGCCTCTTTTCAAATCTTTAAAAATTTGTTTATTATTTATCGATTGGGGAGTTATTGGACCATCAATAGTATCAAATGTTAAATTACCTTTAGGATCATCAAATCTTGTACCATTTACATCTTCACTTACTATTGAAGCAGAAGGTATATGACCAGGTGTAACAATACATGGACGTTCAGGTATGATTCCACTACGAAAATTGGTAGGAGTAACAGTTTTTAAAATCATTAATGAATTAATAACTTTAGGTAATCCAATTAATGCAATACTTTTTAATATAACTTCTCTAAATCTTGAAGTTAATTGATCCTGACATTTAAAAATATCTTCACCTTTATTAAATTTAAAATTTAATGGTAATTTATCATAATAATTTGGAGGTATTAAAATATCTGGTAAATTCATTCCAACAGCTGTTAAATCTTGATATCTTTTAGCTGATTCAATTGAATCATTAGCTAATTGTAATAAATATTTATTAGTTAATAATGAATTATTCCCTGTTGTTGGTGCATCTTCTAATAATTGTTGACGTAATGCAAAATGATATAATTTAGGAATTTCATCAGGTTGATTAATAACTGTTAAACATGCCGTGGCTATTAAATACCATGTATTGGATAAATTTGGATATTTATATGCTAATTTAACTAATCTTTCTGCTGTTAATAATGACATGGTTATCAATTCTATTTGAATATTTATAGTTGTTTGTTGTCCGTTATGGTTGACTCTGGTTATAGTCTTGGTTGATAAAGATGATGACGATGATGATAGTTGAGTTGTGTTGTGTCTCTTTTTTTTTTTTTTGTATGTGAGAGAAATCCCTTTGACGATTCTTGCCCTGTAGTGTGGGGGAGGTTTATGGTACATGCACGACTATACCCACCCACATGCTAAATTTCTTCAGGTTTACCGCGGATCTAAATCATCACCATCATTATCAACTATTATAAACCGAATCGTATATTCATATAACATTAACTCTATTATTAACTTGTTGTATCCTGTGCTCTAATCTATACATTTCATGATGGTTGTCATTTCTGTCTCATAACTATCGACACATTTCTGACTGCAAAATTGTTTTCTAATTGGAACATTTTTATTCATTAAAATATCCCACCATTCATATACCTGAGCAATTGGTTCAACAACAATATTTTCACATTTATAACAAACATCATTAAATTTTCCCTTTGTAATGGCTTCTTTAATTGATTTATGGAGTACCTTGGGTGTATGTTTTTTTCCATGCTTTTGTTTCTTGATATGTGACATCATGTTTAGCTATTTTTAGTTTAACATTGAGTTTTCAATGATGTCAAATAAAACTGATGTTGAATGGTCTCCTAATTGAATGATCTTGTGTTCTATAGTTTAATTATGTTTGACCTATTTTTAGTATTAATTTCAATGATATCTTCATCTGGGAAATCTGCTACTCTTTTAAATGAATTAGGACCAGCAGTGAAATTTTCCAAATTTTTCAAATTCAATATTTGAAATGGTAAAAACCTAAGACAGTTTGCACCTAATGATAAATCAACAAGATTTTGTAATTTATCAATTAATGGAGGAATACTAGTTAATCTATTAATTCTCAAAGATAAAACTTGTAATTTAGTATATTTAAATAAAGCAGGAGGTAATTGATTTAAATTATTATTATTCAAAAATAAATGATAATTTCTTTGCTCATCATCTTCATCAAATATAACTAAATTATTCATATCTTTAATTTCAGTAGGTAATTCATATAAATTCATTCCTTCTAAATTTATCACAGTTTCCATATCTTCAAATGATCTTAATATAACATCTCTTGCTTTATTATAACTTGATTGTTTAATTGCCTCATTAACATGTTCAAATTCATCTAATCCAGTACTAGACAGTAATTCATAAGTTAAATTCCCATGAAATCTATTAAATTTATCAATACCAAAATCAGCTTCTGAACTAATTAATGGTTTCAATTTCTGTTTCTTAGTTGGTGAACTATTAATTGTAAAATCATTTAATTCACTTGGAAAATTAAGATGAATTTTTTTAGTTGGTGATTTAGGTATTTCATATGTTGTTTCTGGATTAGTTGTAAAATCAAATTCTGATACTAATCCAACATCAGTAAATAATTCAGTTGGTGGTGGACTACTTGGTGGTAATGGTACTTGTTGCATTGAACTTTCATGTTGAGTAATATCGTCTATGATGTCTCTCGTCTCCTCGTCTTTGCTATCAACACCCTCCTTGTCCTCCTGCCCCTCCTCTTCTTCTTCTTCTTCTTCAAAGCCAATATCGATTCTTTTGATGTCATCTTTATCATTAAAACTTTCTCCCATTTTTCTTTTCAAACTAGGTGGGAATGATTTATTTAACACCGGTCTTGGTTGTTTAAAAGAAGATGGAGATGTTATTGATGTTCTTCTAGTATGATATAAACTACTAGCATTTTCATCAATTGTAAGTTTATCTCTTGGAGTAGTATCTAATGGAATTGAATCATTAATAGATGAAATACTAAACGCGAATGGCAATAATGGGTTATCTTTCTCCATGGTGGTGGTGGTGATGATGATGATGATGACGACGACTTATTAAAATTAACAAAGACCTTGCAATTAAACAAGAAAAGAAGGGTTTATTGAAAATCTTCAATTGTTTTTATGCCTTGAAGATTAATAAGCAAAAAGGAATTAAAAAAAAAAATAGTCGTGTCTTTTTGTACTTGTTTACATTTCCGTATTAATTTTCTATTTACGCGACTCATTGTGATTCGCTAACTTTTCTTTTTCTTTGACCCCTGAATAATAATCGGTATTACACGTGATTACATGACATGTGATATAATTGGTTAATAATCTAACTTGTCTATTTTTCTATAATATTATGTAAATAAAATTTGAATAGTTGTATAAACAAATGCAACACCACCGATAATCAACAAGATATAATCCAAGACTGCTAACCAATATCTTGTTGATTTTTCTTTCTCCAGTAAACCATCATGAATCTTACAACAACTTTTAAGATGTAATATTGGTGGATACATATAAACCAATGGAATGCATGCAAAACATCCAACAAATGAAACAAATTTGTCTAAATTTTGACCACCAACAAATGCAATATATGCTGTGAATAATACAAAAACTGTTCGGAATAGATTTTTTAACCACTTAATCCCTGGTGAGCTCTTGCCACTACCAAAGATTAATTTCGATTCAAGTAATCTAATAGCTGGGAATAATTGTAATGGTGTGGATAATAAAATAGCTAATGAATATAATAATTGAGTAAGAATAACCATTGGGGAATCTTGTGGAAGGTTTAATAATATAACAGTATTGACTTCATCTCCAAAAGTTAAATATCCTAATCCACCAACAATAACCATTATAATAGTTATAGAAAATATAACTTGTCCCAAGACTTTAGGAAAATTATTTGGATGAATCATCGATTCTTGAATTGGAATAATTAATCCAATACCTTCAAATGCAAAAATGGCAGTACCAATAAATAAAGAAAATTCAGATTGATTGAAATAATAAACTATTCCGGATCCAAACTTCCCATTATTTACGCCTAACCATTGAAATATCATAAAATACAATATTGTAAATAGACCTGTGAATATAAATATATTGGCCAAGACTGCCAGTAAGGATAATTTGGTAATATCACGGATTAGTGATAATGGAGTCACAATCAAAACTTGTAGTATAATAAACCATATAATGTTAATATCCAAAGGATTCCAACCAGTAATATTGGCAACAAATGCTCGAAGATTCTCCAGGGTGAATACAATATATGCAGCAACAAATCCAATTTGTGAAATAACAATCGAAGACAAGATAAGTCTTTGCAACCATGGACCATATAATTTCATACCAATTTCAGCAAAACTTGATACCCTAGTTGCCATTTTGGTATATACAAGAATAGTATAACACCACCATGAAAGCAATGCAAAAAATGCCAACAACCCAATCGAAAACAACAACCCACCGTTGGCGAACGCTTTAGGAAGGAAAAGCACCCCAGTTCCAACAAATGCTTTTAATAATAAAAAATATGCTTTCCTATCTGTTGCTGTACCTCTAGGGTTGAAATTATTCCTAGAAATCAATGGTTCTTGTTCCCCACCTTCTGAAGGTAATAAATATTTATAGTGGTTTGTGATATTCTCATCATCTTCTAATTGTTCACCTGCGAAATGTCCATAGATGCTTAAAAACTCAATAAAATTTTTAGTCAAGAAATTCGGAGTGGTTGTACGTAATGATTCAATATTTGGGTTATTTTGCTGACTCAATAAGAATTCACGACGAAATCCTCCCGGAACATTGAATGAAGAAGCTCTTGATCTGACAGAATTGGAGCCTAAAGAATCACAACTTTTTGATTTTTTCAAGTTTGGTCTTCTTTGCGCATCTTCTTTGATCTTGTATAAATCTCTTGTTATATCTGCACCTTCCTGATTTAATGAATCAAAATCTGTAGGTAAATGTTTTGCAATTTTCTTGATTAATTCTGGATTATCTATGCCATTAGATAAATCAAGATTGTCTCTATTTGAAATTGGTGTAGAATGCCTTTGTTCCGAAGATGATGAATGATCAGAATAGTTTTCCATAATTGCAGAATCGTTATTGTTGTTGTTATAACTATCACTACGTAAAAATGATGAATTATTAACGTAAGAATTAGGTAATGAATTCCTAGGTGATGGATTTGGAGAATGAGATAGTGGAGATCTAGTTAATAAAGCAATAGAACGTCTCCTTTCTTTTTTTTGTTCAATATTTTGCGGTTCACTCATGATAATGTATGTTTATGTTTGACGGTGGTTGTAGCGGTGGTGGTGATGATAATTCGAATAAAATAGCTAGTCAAAACAAAACAAAACAAAACACGACACGTAGATTAGGATATGTTACTAGTTTAATGTGATATAACTATGAATAAATGGAATAGAAGTATCAAGAAGAAGAATAATTAAATATTCTTGCATTTTTATTTGTGGGGGGACGGGAGGAAAATCATTTCTATTTATATTATTTTTGATTTTTGATTGGTGCCTTGGATCCGGTGGGTCAATTGCTCGACTGATAAGAAAATGTCACACGGTAACAACTCGCACCATTGGAAAGATAGATAACACGCACTCTTTCCTGTTTTGGGTGGACACGCGGCGTCAGATCTAATTTCCTAATGCGGTTACACTCCCCCACTGCGGTTATCTCAATCTTACCCCATTAGAAAACGAACGTTATTATAATGTAATTCCGTGATAAATTATTACCAAATCTCTATATTAAAAAATCATTACCGTTTAAAACTAATCTAATATACAAATAGCAAAGAGGGGTTATACCTCTTCAAAAAAAAGTGTTGAACTAAAGTTAAATAAAAAAAATTATTAAATACATAAAAAGTATGGAGGGTGAATTCAATAATTTCCCTCTCAATAAGTGTTGAACTAAACCAAATAGATTAAAATAAAAAAATTAATTAATGTTTGATATCCTTATCAGCTGCAATTTCAGCTTCAATTTGTTCTTGAATTTCGTCTTCTGAACTATCTTTTGAAACTTTGTATACTTTATTTCTCCAGAATCCATCATCTCCAAGAACTTCTTTTTCAACCAATTTATAACCACCAATACGAGGTAATAATTGAGTCCAAATAGCCCAATAAATACCACCAAGTCCGAAAATACCCCAGGCAACAACTGCATGTAACCAATATGGAAGTTTTTCATAAACTGATTGACCTTCACTTGGTGGAACATATGGAGCAATAACAAGATATAATGATGACAAGAAAAAGAAAATTGTAACTGGTAAAGTGGCTTTAATTGGAGCATTCCATTCAAATTTACCTTGACGTTTTCTAATGTAAATCCAAATTAAACCAGCACCCAAGAAACTATTGATAACATTCAATGGATAAGAAACCAAGTTAAGAATGAAATTATAAGAATCACCTGGTGGAACGGCACAAATGAAAATAACACCAATGATCCAATGTTCAAGTAAACCAGTGAATGGAGTATTGAAAGGTCTACTGCTTCCGAAAAATCTTGAGAATGGAATAACAGATTGTCTACCCAATTGAGTGATAATTCTACCTTGAGCGAAAATAACAGACATGACATTACCCCAAGCTGATAAAGCAACGAAAACAGAAGCAGCTTTACTGGCATTAGTACCAAAAGCATAATAGAAAAATTCAGAAACTAAAATTCTCTTGGAAGTAGAAATAACTTCAGTTGGAACAACGGCATAGTAGGCAATGTTAACCAACATATAAGCAATGGCAATACCAATAAAAGCAGATGGTGCAGCAACTTTAAGAACCTTTTGTGGGTTTTTAACTTCACCAAGAGCATAAGAAGCGTTTGAATAACCAACATAAGACCAAATGACATTATATAAAGCATTAACAATACCATAACCAGTTGGAGTTTCCCCTTCAAAAGCATTTGAGAAATTATGAGTTGGATGGAAATTTTTACTCTTGATACCATTACCAAGACCTACCCAACCAGTAATGATAATGAAAGCAATAATGATAATTTTAAATGAACCCAAAGTATTGGCAACCCATAAACCAATCTTAGCATTAAAAGCATTAATAGCAAATGCAAAAGTAACAACTGCTAAAGCAATACCTCTTGAATTCCATTGAGTTACTTCTTTACCGGCAGCAGTTAAAATATATTCCCCAGTAACAATACTATTACCAGCAGTCCAAGGCATAGTAAGGGCATAAACAGCATAAGCACTAATAACTAAAAAGTTTGGTTTTTTATAAATATGTTGAAGATAAACAACTTCAGACCCATTTCTAGTTAAAACAGAACCAAATTCCAAATAAACTAATAAACCAGAAAAGGCAATGATAGTACCTGCAACCCATAACATTAAAGAAGCACCAACACTTCCTGAAAAATTATAAATTGAGGCACCAGTTGCGAAAATACCAGCACCAATACATCTATTAATAATAAGGAAAGTAGCTGAAATGACACCGATACTTTTAACATTTTGATCTAATTGAACACCTGCTTCCAATTCATCACCTGAAGTTTCATAATTACTAAGATTATCAGTATTTACATCTGATCTTTTCTCAGAACTTGATGTCCTTGTAGCTTTATAAAAATCTGTTATTCCCATTGTTTATGTGAATATATATGAGTAATTGTAGTTGTAACACAAGGAGGAGTATTAAACCAAAAATTGAAATAAAAAGTAGGAATTGATCTTTCTTTAAAACAAAAATAAAAAAAATTGCAATCTATGGAAATCTGAGAAATCAATGTTACTTTATAACATTAGCAAGAATTAAAATTATTAAGCAAATGAAAAATCTTCTTCATCTTTCACACAGCTTATGCAGTTACTCAAAAAAGAAACTCATGAGGCAAAAAAAAAAAAAGAAATCACTGCAAAATTTTTAAACAAAGGCAAATTTCTTTTTTTATTTTTTCCGATGTGTACACTGGACTGAGTGATTATCTAAGCAGAAAATTGTGGCACACACACTTTTTTTTAGTAAAGGCTGCTACACAAAATTTATGTCAAATTGTATAATGACACGGCGTTTTACTCTTTCGTTTTTTTTTAAAAACTATTTAATTGACTACTTTAGTAGGTGCATCTACAGAATTCACAACTATAAATCAATTCTGATTCTACCATTATTCAAACCAATAAAGGGATCACTTCTCCTTACCCCTTTCTTTATAAACTGTGGCATCGTCAAACTGTGTAAAAAGGTTAATCCACAGAAAATATAAATTAATTGCAATATTCCCAATCTTGGCAAATTTGAGGAGTTAGTCATTAAGAGATTCAGATAAGAATATATCATGACTTTTTTTTACACTCTCGTGTATACATCTATGTATCTTATCCAATAACACCGATGCAGGAAATGTGGAGTGAGAGAGATTGAATTTATGAGTCAATCAAATTGAACCACTCTTGTGATACATTATTCTTTGTAATCCTTTATTTTTGATCTTATCATCTCACTTGTGTCGAAGTTTCGCTGTCTCTCAAACTCTCAAACTCACTCACTCACTCACTCACTCTCTGGTTATCATTCCAGTCATATGCTTTTATAATCCTTCATCCATGCTTTTTGTAACTTGAACAAAAAGAAAAGAAAGACTAAAAATAAAATAGTATCCAATAAGCTATACCGGAGTTTTCTATTCTATTGTTGACTTACATTTTAGTTTCAAGTTGCATTTCATACGGCATCTCGTTCCCATTTGGCTCTAGTTCTCGCCTTAATTGGGTCACGTGACATATAGTAATTTTGGGCATTTTTGCAGCATTTTTTTTTTAATTTTTGAGAATACGAGGCAAAACGAAACAGAATGGAAAAAGTTAGTTTAAGGCGATTTTTATCTCGTTCCATTGTTACCGACATAGGCATGTTACAAAAATTAAAATAAATTGAAAGCATATTAAGATTTGAATAATCACTTATTTTACTTTAAGAAAAGTACAGTACTTGACAAGCTTCTGCTTTACATTGCTACATATCACACTCACAACTGATTTAATACTTTAATTATTATAACGCTTTATTTTATTTTATTTTTTTTTTCGTGGTTTAACTCTATACAAATACACTCATAAAACAAAAAAAAAATAATATCTTCTCATTTTTCTGTACCTTTTTCTTTGATCAAGTAAAACTCAAACTCTAACAAATCTCTCTCTGTTTGTGTCGATGTGTGTTCTCCAAGGTTACATTCTCTATTTACAATAAACTTTGAATTTCAGTTTTAGCAACATTCAAGTTATCTTCATCACCAACCAAGTAAATGAAGTTAGCAGCGTTTTTATCATTAGCTCTAGGAATAGTAATAAAAGTATGAGATTTCTTTCTAATTTGATTAACTTTAGAACCTTGTGGACCAATGACTTTAGAGAAAACTGATGGTTGTGAAGCATAAAACCAACCAATTGATTTAGCATTCTTGGCCAATTCTAATCTTTCAGAAATAAACTTGGCAGCTTTGGCAGTATCTTCTTCAGATCCCTTCAATCTCCATGGAATAATTTCTTCTGAAGTAGATCCATTGGTTTCTTCAGTTGGGACAATAGTAAATTTGAATGCTTCTGAACCTTCTGGATAAGCAGATTCTGGTGGGGTTGGGATACTAGCTGAAGACAATTTACTAGCTTGTCTAGTAAAATTGCCATGAGCAACTTCAACATTGAAATCATTCTTCAATTTCTTGAAAATGGCTCCTCTTTCACTAACCAATGCATGATAAACAGCTGGAACATCAATAGATTCATTCCAGTCGTCTTTGGTCAATTCTTCAATCTTAACCTTAGCAGCAGCAATCTTGTCTGGTAAACCAGAAACTTTAACAATAGTGGATTCATCATTTGGTCTTGGAATATCAATGGTAACGCCAAATTCGTTTTGTAATGAATGACGAATAGAACCGCTTGGACCAATAATTAATCTATGTTTTTCTTTTGGCAAATCAATTTCTTCAGTGATAGAAGCCTTCTTTTCTTCAATGATTTTTTCAACAGCAGCAACAATCTTATCAACAATAGTTTTGTCACCTTGAGAAGTAACTTCATCACTACCAGAACCTTCATTTGGAATGTTCAATAATTTATATTGTCTGTTTCTTGGAACTTCATCACCACCAGCTTTAGAAATAATTTCCTTCATAATAGAACCACCTGGACCAATCAAATCACGGTGATAAATTGGATCAACTTTAATGGTACGAGAAACAAAGTTTTCAATTTCATCAATAATTTCTTGAATCTTAGCAGTGGCTTCCTTCAAAGCTGACTTAGAACCAGTCAATTCAACTTCAGAATAACCATTAGCTTCTTCATCTTCACGTTTAAAAGTATATTCAATACCAGTACCATCAGCAATATCATTAATGGTTTCACCAGATTTACCAATAACTCTGGCAATAGCTTTAAGTGGAATTTGGACAGTTTGTTTGAAACCATTTTCTTTTTCAAAAGCATACAATTCCTTCAATTCTTCTTCAGCTTTAGCAACACCCTTGGATGGACCCTTGATGGTAACTTCATCCTTGTTGTTTGGAGCATCAGCAAAATTGGCAGAAGTATCAGATGGGAATCTAATCTTAACATTGTACTTGTCTTGTAAACGGTTAATGTAAACAGCACGTGGACCAATCATTCTTCTGTGATATTGACTTTCAACTCTTAATCTAACCAAAGTTTCATCAGCCCATCTCTTAGCCAAAGCAATGATTTTAGCCTTGGTTTCTTCAACATTTCTCTTGATACCAGTGACAGTGACGTCAGTTTTAGCAGACTTGTCTCTAGTACCTTCTTTTTCATCTGGAACATCAATCTTGGTACCAAATTCTTCTCTGAGTTGGTTCATATTAGCACCATTCTTACCAATCAATCTTGAAAGAACTTGAGATGGAACAGCAACAGTGGTGGTGTAATCATTACCAAATTCTTTAGCATCAGCAATAACAGCTTCAATTTCTTTCTTGACAGTAGCAACTGAAGTCTTGATACCGTGAATGTAAACTTCATCGGCAGATGGATGGTGCAATTTAACAGTGACAGTGTTTGGTTCAATAGAAGCCAAGATAGATCTTAAAGTAGTACCTCTTGGACCAGAAATTTGTTCTTGATCATCAGATGGGATTGATAAAGTAGCACTGGTCAAGTTAGCAGCTAATTCTCTCAATTTGTTCAAAGCATCATCAACTTTCTTGAAAGCAGCATCAGATGGGGCAACTTCATCAAAATCATCGGCATCTTCAGAAGATTGATCAAGAGAGAACAAAGTAATGGTGTTACCAATAACAACATAGTTGACACCTTGTTCTTTAGCAACATCCCTGATAGTTTCATCAACTTTACCCAACAAGAAGTCATCAATGTCTTCAATAGTTTTAGCTTGATCTGGAGTAATCTTGTTAACATGGTTGACAATTGCTTTTCTAGCAACTTTAATCTTGTCTTCACCACCCTTAGAAACAATTTCAATTGGGATGGTAGAGATAGTATCAAGTTCTTTGACATTTGGAGTGTGAATAGTAACTTCATTAGCTTTGGCAATTTCGTCAAAAGCACCAGTGTTAGTCAAAACAGCAGCAACAGCCTTAACGTGTTTCAAGTTACCCTTGTGAGCCTTGGACATATCCAAAGTTTCAACCTTGTATTGAGAAGTGGTTTTTTGAGCAGAGGATTGAGCAGCACCAATCTTTTTCTTTTCACCAATGAACTTAACATTGGATTCACCTTCTTTTGGCAATTGAATCAAAACATTATGTTCTTCCAAAACTTCTTCAATTGGCAAGAATTGGTGTTTAGTTTTTGGAATTGGAACTTCGACAACAACGATCTTAGCAGCCAATTTATCCAAAGCAGCTTTAACTTCTGGTTTGGCTTCCAAAACCAAATCACGTTCACCAACAATGACAATAGTGGTTCTTGATGATTTGTAATCTGGAATGGCAAATTCTAAAGAAGAGTATTTTTCAACAATGGATTTCAATTCAGTAGCAGCAAATGGTTTAACTTTTTCGTCCAAAGCAACTTTGGCAGACAAATTCTTGGTTTCTTCTTTGACAATAGCCAAGATTTGGTTCTTGGCACGCTTGGAACCTTCAATATCACCATCAATGGTAACTTGAATGGTTTTGGCAAAAATATCATCTTCATCATCTTCGGCATCTTCAGAATTTTCATCACCACCTTCAACAACATCACCGATTTCAATCTTGACTTCATTGGCCAGGATGATTGGTTTCAAGTTTTTACCACCTTGACCAATAACTCTTGATCTCAATTTAGCTGGGATATTAAAAGTGATTTTAACTGGTTTGGTCAATTTCTTAATAACCAAACGTTTGGCCAATTTAACTTCTTCAGGTCTACCAGTGATCAAGAAAGTTCTCTTTTTGGTGTGTTGAGAAGTAGTACATTCAATGTTAGTTTTAGTTTCTTGTTTAACAAAAGTTAAAATTTTAATAAATTCAGGACGAGCGACATTCAATTGATCTTCAACATCTAAGGAGAAAGCTTCTTGAATAGTTGAAACTTTTGATTTCAAACCATTAGTTTGTCTTGGAGCTTGAACTGGAGCTGGGCTTGGAGTTGATGAACTAATTGGAGTTTTCATCAGAGGACCCCAAGAAGAAGCACCACCACCATTTGGAGCTGGAGAAGCGGATTTTCTACCACCACCTAAAGCAGGAAAAGCTGATTCGTCGGAAATTGAAGGTTTTGAAGCAGAAACCGGAGTTGGTTCATTAACAACTGGTTGTTCTTCATAAGTTTCTTCAACTACATTACCACGGTTTTGGTGACGAGCTGCAATGATTTCGGCTGGAGTTGGCATTTTTTCAATTAGGGATATTTTGATCTCTGAACTAAAAGGAGGGAAAACAAAAATAAAAGTGTGATTTATACAAAAAAAAAATTAGACTTCCAGTAAGTAAAATTAACAAATGGACAATGCTTTTCTAAATAATAAATATTTGAAAAAACAGCAGGAGGGTACAGGGATAGAGTGTTAAGGTTTGTTGATGTATATATATAAAAAAAATGAAATAAACTAAACTAATAGTTGTTGTCTCTTTTCTTTATATAATTCTGTGGTTGGAGAAAAAGTTGTGATCCTGTAAAAGAAAGTAAGAAAAATCTGAAAATTTTTTGTAGCGTAATAATTTCTCTCTATGAAAAAAGAAAACTGTGTGATTAAATTTTTTCTACCCAAATAAACACGTAATTAATAACAATGAAGACAAATTTATTTGGCCCTCGTATTATTATTTTTATTCTTACATAATTTTAACAGCACAGTTGTTTTTTTGTTTTGTTTTTGCAACGATTTCAATGAGCCAATTACGACAGCACCACCACCACCATTGCCACCAAGGACAACAAATAATAATTATAAAAAGAAACAAAATCATCTACGACTATTATTATTATTAACTCCTTTCATAAATCATTAATTCATCTACTAAAATACATATGAGTTAATCTATGCAATCTATATAAGTAAATCAACCAAAAGGAAGCAACAACTAATTTGTTGGAATTGGATTGGTTTTTGATGTTAAATCATTGATTCCAACTAAGCCAGCTTGTTGAATAACAAATGTTTTGGTTGTAATGTCATTGGTATTAAGGTGTGGTTTTCTATCATAGGATAAAACCATATCATTAAGAGCATTCTGACTAATGAAAATATGATCTTGACCTTCAAATTTTTCTCTCTTTTGACCAACAAAAAACTCAACATTACTTAAAGTTATCAATTTACCATTCCATTTATCAAAAGAATTCAAATCAGGTATACAATTGGAAATGTATTGTTTTTCAACAGTAGTATAGCAACTGTCTCGGGAATAAAATTTAAAATCATTTATAACAACATAATTGACTTGTTCGATGGAATCTGTAGAAGATGCAATGGATTCTCTTCTTTCGTCATCAAACACTGATGATGCAACACTGCTACCATCATCAGAATGGGTATTCGAATCTTCTGATTTAATTTGCAACATTTGACTAGCACGGAACATTTCTATAACCTCAGCAACATTGTCACTTGATGATGTAGAATTTCTATGTCTACCATAATTGGCAGCAGCAGCAGTAGCAGCTAATAATGCATTGTTTCTGCTATTGTTTCTTACAGGTATGGACTTGAGTTTAGTAATGTGACGGAAATCAATTGGCAAACTTAAATCTTTACCAATGGTGAAATTTCTAAACCAATTAATCATACCATAAAATGACCAGAATTGTAACAAAACTTGTTTGTATTCAATTCGAAGACGCAATGTGTTTTTGTATTTGACTAATGATGAATTGTTGGTGTTACCCGTATGTTCTTCTTTATACATGGCAGAAATCAATTGATCTAAAGAAGGAGCCTCTCCAACTTGAAGATTAGCTAAGGAATAACAATGCAATAAAGTTCCTCTGTGTTTCTTGGAAAATCTTGCATATTCTTCGCTTGATGATGTAGGTTCAAACAAAAACTGATTATCTTTCAACTCATCATAGTAATTTCTAATCAATTGCATGGTTTTATTATTCTTTTGGTTTTTAAATTTGTTTTTCAATTTAGTAAAACTTGAATCACTAAGAATAGACTTGCTAGAATCAATTCCTCCATAAGCATCACCAGCAAATAAATCATTCAAATCATCATCATTATTGAAATTTTCGTTGTAACTAAACCCATTGTTTTTCTTATATTGGGAATTGACATCTTTGGTTAACTGATTCAAGGAATTTAATTCAAAATATAGACAGACCAATAATTCTTGAAGTTTCTTTTCAACATTTAAAGCATATATTTTCAACTGAGTCGAGTTGATCTCTAGTAAAACCGGTTTCCATGATCTGTTGCCACCATTGTAATGATAAGGTGTTAGGAATTCTGTTTTAATTAATGATAAGCCGTAATAGTTAACTGACGAGGAATATTCCGGGATATCTTCGGATGGTTTGGAATATTCTGGTGGAGGTTGTGTTGTTGCTGTTGTAAGATGAGACATGGCTGATGGATATCAATGTTAGTACCATATATCTATAAGAATAATTAAATCAATAACCCCGAGTGATAATGAATCAATGAATCAATAGTATAACCCATCTATAAATCCAAAAAAAAAAATATACCAATCCAGCAAATAAGAAAATTTCAACTTTATTTATAGTTTTTGATTGATCAAGTGGAGAGAATTTAATGATATCTCCTCCTCTTAAGCAACATAAGAAAAACAAAAAGGCTGCGTCCATTGTCAATCTCCGTTTATATTATGTGGGGCTTCCGAACACGCACAAAATTAAAATAAGAAAAAAAAAATATTTCTTGAGACTCTGCGACAAATGTCGTAGTCCATTTTCTCCGAATGGGGAATTCTCCGACGACATTTCTGATCATGCTTTTTCAATTATGTCGTCCATTTATTTTATTTTTCTTAGCACCAGGTTGTTTGCTTGTATGCGTGATGGAGTTATCGATAATACCCAAGAAATCTTCCCCCAAGAATATTTTTTTTTAGATAGAATACTATGCAATATTCATTTACTAAAAATCTTGCTTTATCAATTGTGACATTGTGATTGTGATTGTGGTAGTGGAGGTGGTGTGAGCTGTAGGCATTATCAATTCTCTTCTAACATCTTCGGAGTAATCGCTATAACTAAAAATAAACAACAACAACCACACAGTCGTAAATGTGTTTTTAGCTGGTTTTTTTGACCATCTTTATTTTCCCAGTATTTGATGGACAGATACGAAATGAAATAATTTCCCACACTGGGTGTCGTATTGCAGATTCGATTCATCATCTGGTAATATCGGGGTATGTTCAAAGATAATAGATATACATACCTGTTTAAACTAAGGTTGAAGCAAAGTTAGTGTAAATGAGGTAAACGAAATAACTTAAACCTTATGGTGATCAAAAAAAAATTCTTGAAAAAATGAGTAGAAACAGAATCGGTACACAAGGGAATTTGATGTGTTTATAAATGATGAAATACTTGGAATCAAGAGAAGTGGGAAAACATGGAAATGTGGAATAAGTGGGGAGATCATACATGACACTAAGAAAACGATGAGGGAAATTTTATTACACACACATATTTGTACACAACACCCTACATAAATCAAATAAAAAATAAATAAACCTCTGTTCCGTGACAAAAACTATCTTTAGTACTTCGTATTGTTCTTCTCTGTATGTCTGTAAGATAGAATACTATGTGCGGTATTTAACCTCTTGTTTCACTCTCACTCTTTCCGTATAGCAATTACATATTATGCATGAAATTTAAACTATACCAAATAAAATAAAGGCTTTGATTATCTGAACGACATTTTACCAATCTGGATTAAAATCTCTCATGACTTCATGGAATGGATAATACTTCCGAATTACTGCTTTTACGTCGTTCCCTTCGTGACTCTCAATAACGAAACACGTCTCTCTTCATCCCGAGACGTTATGATATCACCAGTTCATGGCTTTCTCTGGTTATTCTAAACGCGTCAACATTAAAAAAAAGAGGTTTTGTTGCAATGTGCTGAATTATTTATGTTGCTTTCGAGTTTCAAGTCAGTTACAATTTTTGATATAACCAATTCCGAGAGTAAGCGAAACCAATGACCAAAAGCCATGATCGGTTTGGATTCTTGTGTTGGTTGTACCATTCTACAACTAACAAGAACAAAAAAAACCTTATTCATTTCTTCCTTCTTCTTCTTCATCATCATCATCAACAACAAGGAAAATAAGAATAAAAACCCGCAAATCTTCGCATATATCCAGAGTTTTCGCAGTCATGTCACTGCTCGCCTAACTGTCGGGAAAAAAAATGCAATCCCAGACACAAAAATTTTTTCTAATGAATACACACACACAAAATAGCTCAAATGAAATGCAGTTTTAGTAATGTACTTTCTTTGATTGGTTGACATGAAAACTATCTATGTTCTCCTTTATTCATTTAGTAATTCATGAAACTTATATTCAATTATGGAAATTACATAATCGTATCTATTTGAATTTCAGACCATATTTCAAATTTTCAAATATCCAAACCATAAAATTGGCTTAAAAATAAAGAGCAATATAATTCTAGTAGCGGATGCGGGTAGAGTTTCATAATTTGCTCTATCTCCAGTCAAACGTACAAGTTACAACTGACAGCCTCTATTCTTTTGTTTTTGTTTTTTTTTTGGATTGATATTTCGTAAACCTTTCTCCTCCCCCATTTTATGATTTGCGGTCCGATTTTCAATTTGAACTAAAAAAAAAAGAAAAAATTAAAGCTAGCAAAGATTAGCGTATCTATTGTTTAGTTGAGGTTGCTTTTTTTTTCATTTTTTGATTATTAATCGGATAGAGTAGACTAGACCCGTAATATTTAATAATTGCTTTATACTTTTAATCATGATGATGATGATGATTAGTTACGGTTTAAATCAAAGTCGGAAATATGTTCCTCGGCATAAACTCACAAGAAAAATAAGCTATGTCAATATACGTTATTGGTACATTTTGCACCCAGTTATTTGTAGTCCATACTTTTTTGATCTCAATTCTTTGGGATCTGTTTTTATCACATCAGGAATAATCTGTCAGTACATGATTATTCATATTAGCCACCAATCTAGACTTTTTTTTTCTTTCATGCAATTACAAGCCCCCAGCCCCAGTTGGTTTACACTGCAACATTTTATTGAATACATGATAATCTTGTGTAGTTAAAAAGTTTATGACCAGAATGTAAGGGAAATAAAGCAATTGAGAAACAATAGCAACATTAAAAGCCTTGTTTTGTTTCATGAAGTTTGTATTATTGTTATATCAGGTTTGTTATAAATAGAAATGGTATGAATTTGACATCTATTAATGAGAAGTGGATCCCAAGTTTCAAATTATTTTCACTGATTATCTAAAATAAAATAAAAAATAATTCAACAATCCGGAAAAATTATACTTTCTTCCAACAATAACCAATATGACAATTTCAGAAGTGATTGATTAATTATAATATAATTAAAACGGAACCTGTCCGTATACGACATTTATGAACTATTACGTCATAGACAAAAAAAAATGATAGCAACTATCAAATTGCAACTAGCAACACACAACTCCGAAGCAGAAAAAAAAAAGAGGGGAACACTTTCGTGAACCAGCTGGAGGTGGAAAAAAAAGAAAATCTCCCGAGGGTGAGTCGAACACCCGACCATTAGATGGCAAGGCTGGTTGAATTGCAACCAGTTGTATTCCATTACAGTCTAATGCTCTACCAACTGAGCTATCGAGAGGTGATTTGTTGATGGTGCTGGGTTGTTCGTCGGGAGGGCTTGTTTGTATATGCCTAAAATTAAAAAGAACAATCATCTGATACTTGATAATTTAGATCATTGAACTTTTTAAGAGCATTTATAGTATTCAGAAACTCTATTAAAATAGGTTCTGTTTGATTTAATTGTCATAATGGCATGTATTTACTGTATACAATAGGTTTTCATGGGTTTCCATAATTCATTGTGTAATCTGTTTCCGTTGCATGCATTTTACTTCATTCTCTAGCCCCTTTCCAGAAAATTACTATAGTTTATTATTTAAATACTATGATGTGTCAATCATGTGGGTATATGCATTATAAGGGTTAGTTACAATATGACTGTTTTGAGATGTTGTGTAGCATAAAGGTTTTTATAATTTTCTACACTACCTTACTCAAACAATATCTTGGAATATGTTTTCCCACATTATTATACATTATTTTTGTATCTTTGAAATAATAGTTGTTGATCTTTAACTGCTCATATCAATAGGATATATAAAAGATTTGTAGTTTATGGTCCTCTTGAAGTTTTGAAAATTTACAATTGATTTTTCCTGCATTTTTTGAGAGTAACGCTACATTTTATATTCCACAATTAACAGAATATATGACTAATATTAAAAGAAATAGACATTTTTTGGGTTAAATGGGGTTATTATTGATACTGTTAAAAATAATTTGGCTTGAAACACAGTCTGTAATTATTTATGTCAATTAAAAACCAAATGTGTAGTAAATTATAAAAAATTTATATGAAAATTGAGATAAAACTAGAGCAAAAAATTAAGTATAAAATTAATACACAATTTTTAAAGTAAGCACATTTTATTTTAATTAAATACTAATTAGATATCTGGGGCTTGATAGATCAGTGATTTTGACAACTATAAATGTACTATTATACCCAAATTGTGTATATCTTAAAGTTATGCGTAACAAACCCTCCTGACAAACAACCCAACACCATCAACAAATCACCTCTCGATAGCTCAGTTGGTAGAGCATTAGACTGTAATGGAATACAACTGGTTGCAATTCAACCAGCCTTGCCATCTAATGGTCGGGTGTTCGACTCACCCTCGGGAGATTTTCTTTTTTTCCACCTCCAGCTGGTTCACAGCAACAAATATTGTTCTGTTGAGAACTGGCTAATTTTTTTTCGCAACTCATTTTCAAAACTAATAAATACAATATAAATTACATAATACATGGCTATTAACATTACTTTATTTCTTTTGCCTACTATTCAAAAATTCTTTGATATTTTCAATTAACTCAACTTTTTTTGAAGCATACTTTATATCAGGGTACTTTTTTCTAAAACTTCTTAATTGATCCATGTTGAATTGAATCAAAGTATCATTCTTCCAAGCAAATAAAATTTTATCTTCTGAAATTTCAACATTTGGTTTTAATTTCTTTTTAGGTTCATTGCTTTGTTCAATAACTGGTCTTTTCTTAGATTCAACTCGTTCAATTTCATTTAACTTTAAATTAATCTTTTTTAGTATCTCAATAGATGATTCATCATTTGAAATTGACTGTTTAACTTCTTGTAATTTCTTTATGGTTATATCATTCTTCAGTAGTATTTTATCTTGTGGTGTAAAATCAATTTGTAAAATTTCATGTTTGGCAACTTTATAAAAATAATTCATTGTTGGATTAGGAAAATCTTTGGGATTATATGGTTGAAGTTTAAATTTAGGTAATAATTCTTTAAAATTTTCAACCAAATCATCATCTGTTTGAATTGGTTCTGATTTGGTATGGTTAATATATTCTCCTGGCAATGATCTAACATCTTCTAACCATGGTAACTTGATTAATAAAAAACCTTGTGGGAATTCTGAGCCAGAAATCAATTTAGACGAATTTGTTGTACAAGTAGGATACAACGCATATAAAAATGGACGGGAATTACTTCTTGTACATCCAAAGACAATCGCATACTGTTTTAGTTTAATACATGATCGGTATAATGAAGCAAAAGTTTCTAAAGAATTAGAAAAACCACCTTGTAGACTAGTAGTAACCAAACCATTTTCAATATCAGCAGTTACAAAAGTTGGAGGTCCACAAGTATACACCGGATTGAATTGATTCAAGTCTCTAAATCCAATTAATTTCAAATATGGGGGTTTTGAAAAAAGAACAGGTTTCCCCTGTGTTGCTTCATCAACAGTGATATCCACAAATGTAGTATCTAAACTTTCTGATTCATGTAATCGATGATCAAATGCATAATTTGTAAGAAATTCCAACTGTTCTCTATTCAAAAAAACCACATCTTCACCGCCACCAATCTCATAACCTTTTCTAATACCAGATTCTTCTTTTAATTGTGTAGCAGATTTACCTTTCTCCTTTTTAATTACAATTTCTTCACCTCGTTGTTTAAGTTTATTCGTTGTAAACACTTTTTTTAAAGTTTCATCTCGTGTATACAACAACAACTCATTCTTTTTTATCTTCTCATGTGAATATAAAGTATAGGCTCTAATAGTGCACCCCAATCCACCACCAAGAGTACCATCATCACTTAGAATTAAATCACATGTGAACTGCATTCTTCTAACTTCTTTAATACGAAAAATACGTTGTCTAATTTGTTTTCCCACAATTGAATATTTAAAAACAGCACTATCTTTAGAAAACCCTCTTGGTCTAACTAATTCTTGTTCATTTTCAAGATCACGTTCTTGTTCTTCATCTTGAAGAGCACGTTCTTGACTTCTTTTAAGATAATTTGTATTCATGAAAATATCTTTAAATAATTCAAAATCAAATCTTTTATCTCCTGAAGATAAGAAAAAAGGCTCAATGAAAAATCCATAATAGTAAAAATCATCAATTATTCTCCAAATCGCTTCTTTTGTAGTTTCTTGAGTATATGGTTTATCATTAGTAGTAATCCAAAACATTCTTCTTTTATTAAACTCCTTTTTATTTGTAAATTCATCAATCATTTTACTTAAAACTGTAGTCAATTGTGTTTCACTTTCACTTGGCTTATATTTGAAAATTTCATTTAATGGTTTAATACTTACATCTTGAATCATATCATTCAATTTCTTCATATTTTGCAAATTCAAAACATTCAAATGGAATAATTTCTGGAAATTACTAGGATTTTTCATGGAACGTAGCTTTGAATTTGGTTGACAATTATAAAGATATATCCCAATACCAGTACTTCTTGAAGTCATTATCAATTCTTGCATTAAATCATTTATACTTGATAAAATTTCAAATAATTGGGACCTAGAATTTAGTTCACTAACTGGGGCTAATAATTCTGGAGTTATCTCAATAAGAAAGGCTATTCCTTCTTTGATTTCATATTGTTGAAATGCTCTTGATGATTCATCAGTAGCTTCCTGGGAATACCAACTCATGATGTTGTTGTGATTCAATTGACGTGAATGATAAGAATAAATAAGACGTGTATATCTCTCAGACAGGAATTTTGTTTGTTTTTAATTTTTTTGGATTGCGATTGAAAATAAAGAAAAAAGGTGAGTAGAAATCAAATAACCGAGTAATCCTTTCACTTCCCTCAATATCTTAACACAGACCAACTACCACCACACACAGAAGACATGTCTATCCATTTCATACTTGTACTTAATCGACAGGGAAAGTGCCGTTTAGTCAAATGGTTTGATAACACATATACTCCACAACAGAAACAACAATACATATCAGATATACATCGATTAATAAGTAGTCGAGATTCAAAACATCAATCTAATTTTGTCGAATTCCAACAACAGAAATTGGTTTATAGAAGATATGCTGGATTATATTTCATATCTTCTATTGATTTAGTTGATTCAGAATTGAGCTATTTAGAAAGTTTACATTTTTTTGTTGAAATTTTGGATGTTTATTTCAATAGTGTTTGTGAGGTTGATCTTGTATTTAATTTCTATAAATTATATTATATATTAGATGAAATTTATCTTGGTGGTGAAATACAGGAAATTCTGAAGAAGAAAATATTAGAAAGATTGAATTTCTTGGATGATATGGATTAAATGTATGAAATAGGCTCATCAATTAATAAATGCTTATTCTTGGATTCAATAATATCCCATAATTGTTTAGATACTTGATCAATATTCTTTTCTCCCACATCAACAATACATATACTTGGATCTTTAGTATCTAAAACTTGTAAGAAACAATCTTTAACTTTAGCTTGAAATTGTTGTAATTCATAACGTTCATCACCCCATCCTTTTCTTTTACTAATTTCTTCTAAATCCAATGTAAGAAATAAAGTTAAATCAGGTTTAGGTAAACCTTTATCAGGAGCTAATAACCAATCAACATCACCCAATTGTTTACTATTCTTACCCAGAGAAATTGATTCATCATTGATTTCATTTTTAGCTAATGTATAAGCAATTCCAGAATAGATATAACGATCTAAGATAACAAAATATCCCTTATTTAATAATTCTTGAATTTGTTGGTTTAATTCCCATCTATTAGCCAGGAATAATAAATGTGCTGATTGATCATTTAATGAAAATGATTTATTGGTTAAATATTCATTGATGAGTTTACCTATTGGAGTAGAACGATCAGGAAATTTGATTAATTGCGAAGAAGTAAACTTTGATGCTAGTATAGAAGCTTGGGTAGATTTACCAGATCTATCAAGACCTTCAATAAGTATTAACTGACCACGAGGCATAATTGGTATAGTTGGGGAAAAAAAAGATGAGGATATAAATCAAGACGCGTAAATTTTTACAGATTTTTTTTTTTTTTTCAAACCTTGAAACGATGATCAATTTTTATGACATTCAAGAGAAACTAGTCAATAGTATGATAAATTATCTACGAATTTTCTTTTTAGAAAAAGAAAAAAAATATGAAAGGGATTATGACCGAAAGAGTCATTGCATGACACTCCTCAACCGGAGATACACCCTTTCTGGAAGTTTTCTCTGTAATACCATCTTAAACTCTTTTCCTATCTCAGAGAATGCAATATTCTCCTGGGTTTCAAAAAAGAAACACCGCGATAAGAATTTTGCCAAAGGCTATCAAGTTGATTAGATGAAATATGAAAAACCAATCAACGACGCCCATGGAATGGATCACTGTTGAGAAAAGAAGAAGAAGAAGAAGAAGAAGAAGGAAAACATCTGTACAGTGAAAAGTTTTTTTTTTCTCATTTTTGTTTTCCTTAACTCAGTAAGGTCGTTTCCCGTGATCAAATATCGTGTACTATTCACCAAAAAAAAAAAATTCTATTTCCGCTAAAATCTTACATAAACCACGTGATATTTTTCCAAATTAAACACGACCTAAAATATTTTAAAAGAAATTATAAGAAAGTTCTATGAAGATCTTACATCAATTAGGTGAATTTCTAAATTAGGTATATATAGGAAAGATCTAACGAAATATTATAACACATTTAGTTTTGTTAAACAATTCATCTAAGGTAAGGTCTCATTTACCTCAAATTAGTAATTCATTAATTTTCTAAATATAGAAAATATTTTCTTCTGTTCCTCAATATATCCTTATCTACACGACCTTCTTTCTATCTCGATAAAAAAAAAACCAAATTGTTCTTCATTGTATGTAATTGTTCTATTTTTAAATAAATGAATATAATTAGGACAGGGAAAAAGATCCCACGGTTTCACTGATAAGTCTATAAATTCCTTCGGTTGTAACAGGACTATCAAATTAAGATCCTAATGTTAGTTACAAGATTAACCCGCTTTAATTATATCGACAAGAAAAAATAATAAAAAAAAAAAAAAGAGGATGTAGCGCTGGAAATTCAATACCCAATAAAGCCTTGTCGTGATGACTCGGCTAGTTTATACACATTCAAAGAAAAGAAAAAGACTAATTTGAAAGGTGATTCGGCGATTGCTTATTTTTTGGGTGCATCTTATATCCCTTCGAGATTCCGTTACCCGTGGTTTTTTTTATGAATATTATTCTTTCATGGATGATCCGGAATCAAATGGCTCTCAATTATGCAGAAACTAACAAAGCACAATATCTAATTAATAGGCTGAGGCTAGAGCATTGCTACAATTGATTCTTAATCGGCAATAAAACATACACCATCTGTAATATAGTCTAATGAAATTTACTATTCGAAAAATTAGAACACTGCCTCTCTTTTCCTTTCTCTGTTTGCTGTGTGTGTGAGAGTGAATGAGTGAGTGGGTGGGTGTACATTGTGTTAAAAAAATATAAATTTTCAATGCACAGAATCAATTTGAAAGGGATAATTTGATGTTGATGATTTGTGTTACCAGACTGTGGTAAAACTTGTAGTGCCAGACAATGTTCATTTGAAAAGAACAGGTAATATATTATATGAGAATGTCAATCAGATTCAATTTGATCTAAATTGAATCTAGTCTTGTTCATTTGATGTAATTATTGTAACATTTAGGTTTGACACGCTAATGTATTACACTCTAGTCTACGAGGTACGCACTGCACATGTTTCATGTGCTAATACAATTCAATCTGCCTTCTTTCTTTTTACTTTTTTTTAGGTGAGTTGTGTGTATATTTTTTTTTATTACCGTCTTTGGTTTTGTTGAGATTGCTACTACTGATGTTCAAGTGGTGGGTTTTATCCTTGTAATGGAATTTTTTATTCTCAACATTACGTGTCTGTGCGTGTGTGTATACATGAAAAATAAACAAATAAACAAGTAAAGCACATGTAAGATGATACATACATAAGTGTATACCCTGGAAATGCTGTGTAGGTTACCTGTCTTGCATTATACAATCCATTCAGTCGTCTCTTTTTAAATTATTGGTTGTTTTCGTTTCTGTCAATTGGTTGATAAACGAATTGGAAAATTTGCTACTTTTATATGAAATTACACAAAAGTCAACAACAACTAAAAATCAGGAAAATGGAACAAAAAAATTTTCTTTCTTTTTTTTTTTTCATTCTTCCCTTTCTCTCTCTCTGTTCTCTGTGTCTCTCTTTTAATTTGAATATATTTCCCATATAGAAGAAGTTTTCCTGTTAATTGGATTCAATTCATTTGGTTTACAAAAAATTGATTTCTTTATCACAACTTCTTTATCCCCTTACAAACAGTTAGTTACTTGTGATTCCACTACCTACGTTCGTTCAACTGAAAACACTTACAACAAAAGGGTGATTGAACCTAACACTACACTTATACACCCACACACAGAGACAATTTTTATAAGAGAGAGAGAGAAAAGTTTACATCTCCGCCACCAGTTACAATAAACTCACACCTACTTCAACACCCTTCTTCTTTTAACTACTAGAATAATAGAAGAAGAAGAACTATTATAACAACAACAACAGGAAACGTACAGATTTAATTTGTGCAAAAAAAAACAACATAAAATCACTAAGATTTTCCACCGTATAGAAAACGAAGGGGAACAAGAAAAAAAAAAACCAGAAGAACAATTTAACACCTTTTAAGGAAAAAAAAGGGCAGGACAATAATCAAAGTACTTTTTTTTTTCGTTAATTTGATCCTTTGATATTTCATTTATCCTTGTATTTTTAATTATTATTGTTATTATTCTTGATTAGCATTTCATTAACTTCATATCATTATCATTTTATTCCAATAAACTATGCCCTCTTCATGTTTAGTTATTGGATCAAATCCAAATATTGCTTTTTACGCTTGGAGGTTTTACAAAACCGATTCCCTTGATGACATCACTTTGGTTAATTCTAAAATCAACAAGAATCTCCCAATAACATGGAGATCTCCTCAACTTGGCTCATCCCAATATAAACCTCATGATATCTATTCATCCTTGAAACAGGTGCCTCAAAATAAAAAATTTGATATCGTGATCATGGGATGTAGTTCATTACAAGATTTCCAAGGAGTATGTGCTGGATTGAAGAATTTCGTACATCAAGATTCAATAATATTGGTTGAACTGAGTGGATATGTGAATTTAGAACCTTATGTCACAGCAAATTTTGCCAAATCTCCAGTAAATGTTGTATCCATTATGAATGAAAGTGATGTTAGAATCATCAGATCAAATGAATATTCTCATCAACTTAGAAACAATGATTCAAGAATTTATATCGGTTCAACATCAGGATCATCCAAAATTGCCAATAATAAGAATTTCCAAAAAGTTTACAAATTATTGCAGCAAGTTCAAGAACAATCACATAGTTCCATCACTTTGTTAAAATCTCTTAATCCAAAAGAATTTATGACGTATCAATGGAAATTGGCTCTACCACGAGTTATATTCAACCCAGTCTTGACTTTATTCGAAATTCCTTTCCCTGAAGAGTTGTCTAAACATATATTATCCAAACCTTTAATCACTGGTTTAATCAATGAACTTTTTAAATTGATTAAGAAAATGGATTGTAAATTAGTTAAAGGATTTGAAAATGAAGCCAATTTGTTGAAATACTGGAGTGGTGTTTATCCATCAACCAAGCAAAATGAAGATTATATCAACTCACCATCGTTTTTGTATAACTTCAACAAACATTTTGATTTAGAACTTGATTTGTTATTATTACAACCAATATTATTAAGTGATGATAATGGTGTTAGAACTCCATATTTGGAGAATATTTATTCTACAATGAGTCAATTCCAAAAGATCAATGGTCCTGATGGTTCAGTTTTCTTTCAAAGAAAAGGTGAAGCAAACGATCTGAGTGCGAATGGCAGCAACTATCAACAACACAAAGAATTAGATCAAGATATTGAAGAAAAGATTCAAAAGCAAAAGCAATTAGATTCTGCTATTAAAGATATCGAAATTTCCAAGATTGCTTTAGATAATGATGTCATTAAACAAGATATGAATTTGAAAAGTATACAACATAAGATTGCAGATGCTGAATCTAGATTGAAAAATTTGCAACGCGAATATGAAAACAAGTCCAAAGCTGCTCAATATGAACATGATGAAAAATTGAGAAGACTTGCATATGAACATGATCAAAAGTATAGATCATTAGACCAAGAGTATAAACAAAAGACTAAAGATTTAGAATCATCATACAGCAAAATGAATATTAGCAACAGCAACAATCAAGAATCAGTTGCTGATATATCGCCAGTATCAATTCCTGCTACACAACCAAGTTCTAAAGATAATACACCAAGAAATGTTAATCGTGACTCTGTCATGACTCAATCTGGACTTCAAGATTATAAGAATTTCGTTCAATATGGTGACGCCATTGGTCCAGATACTCCTGTTATTCATCAGAAACAATTTTCTTCACCTTTGCAACCAATACTGCAAAGCAGTCCAAAAGATGAAGAAAATGGGGAAAATTTTGTTGATGCGAACGCCAGCCATCTGAGACAACCATTTGAACAAAATAGAAGACAACCGTCTCATGGCAACCCACAACAATTTGCTCAAAATAATGATTATCCTGTTCAAAATGGTTATTATGATTCAAACCAAGATCATCAAGGACAAGCACCACCACCTCCTCAACATTCAAAACTGTATAGAAATGGCCCTCCACAACAATACAATACAGGAAATGGTTCTATTCCACCACCACTTCATCATCATAGTCATAGTTATCAACAAAGACCAAATGGTAACCTTACATATAATACTAGTTTTTCAAGCGATCAAGCTCCACCACATGGTTTACCAAATGGAGGCATGTCTCAAAATCAATTTCCACCACCTTTAAGATCCAACGGCTCTATGGTTGGTATGAACAAACATCAAGGATATCCACCAATGGGGTATAATGGGGGTCCACCACCACCACAACAACAAGCACAACTGATGCAAAGATTGAATTCCATGCAAGGATCAGTCAATGGATATTTTGAAAACCAACTGCAATCAGGACATCCACAAGGTGTGGTCAACCATTCTAGTTTCAACAATGCTGCTCCAATAGACCCATTTATTGAACAACGTTTTAAAGCTAATCCTAAGAAATCCAACCGTCGTTCAACTATGCCATTGAATGGAAATTTGGATGGGTTAGACATGGGTGGTAGAGGTGGTATGCCATTACCAGGATCCGGACGTAAAACAGTTAGTATGATTGGGCCATACAGCAATACTAATGGACAAGTTCCACAAGCACCAAAAAGAGCCAGTTCAAGTGGACCAATGTTGTTGAATAATACTGATGGAGGAAATATTACATCACCTCAACAACCACCTCCTCCACAAATGCATGGAAATCATTTAAGACCGCCAAGTATGAATGACTCTCAAACTTCTTCATCATCAGCAAATTCTAATGATACACCTAAGACAAATAATGATAATATTAATTTGAATATTCCAACCATGGATTCAAGTAATGCTAAACCACTAGGAGGAATTTCTTCATCCAATAAAGGTGAATCTACTGAAAAGAAGAAGAAAGGATTATTTGGTAAAAGGAAAAAGTAAATTCATTTGAGTTTGATTTGATTTGATTTGATTTTTATTTTTTGTTTGGGTTTGATATTTCTTTTTCTTTCAGTTTTATAGTTTTGTTTTATCAGTTAGTTTTTTTTTTTATGTAAAGGTTATATCTTTTATTATTGTTTAATCATTTTACCTAATTTATTACACATCCATGTCTTACATATAAAATATAATGCTTTAATATATATATATATATATCTTCAAATAATAACATACAAATTATCACTAGTTTATACATTTTTTTTTTGTTTTCATTTTGCAACTAAAAATATTCAAACAATTGTACACTCTCACACGACCTCCAATTTAATTGGTGGAAATTGAAGCAATGGAAAAAAAAAACACCACCAATTATGAAATACCAAGATTTCAAGGTTCAACTCAAAAGATTAATTTACTTTGACTTGTAATTCTATAACTAAAAGTCAACTATTACCTATTCCTATATATTATAAACAACTGATCATATAATTCGAGTATGACTAAGAGATCGTTTTATGAAGATGATGATTACATTGTCAATAAACCAGGTACAATTACTGCAATTACATCAGAATTAGCAGAAAAAGAATCAACTCATGGAAATGTTAAATTTATTGATGGAATGATTATTAGAACAACACCAATTTTAGAAAAATATAGTAATTTATTAAGAAATTTAATTTATGATAAATTATCAATATTTGAAGCTGAATTAAATACTCAAAAATCAGCATTTAAAAGTGAAATTAATAATTTAATTTATGAAATTAATGAAATTATTAAAGAACCAGTATTACCTAATTTAATTTATATTTTAACTTTAAGTTTATCAGGTAGTATAATGGTTAGAAATAGAAATATAATGTTTAGATTTTTAAATCCAGTTTTATTTGGTGGTGTTGGATTATGGTATTTTATGCCATTAACATTTAATCAATTAGGTAAGAAATATAATGAATTAGAATTGAAATATTCACCTGAATTAAATAAACAAAGAATTGAATTTAATAAAAATTTAAATATTTGGGGAAATGAATTACTGAATGGAATTGAAAATGCTAAAGGTTCTGTACTTCAAGCTGTTCATGATTTTAGAAAAACTGTCAAAGAAAAATGGGATTAGAATTCATAATATCTAATAAGGAAAATGCAATATATTATTAGTATGTAAGAATTGTCTAAATAAATATTATAAATATTCATATCTACTAATTAATGATGATTTGAGCAGTTGTATAAACAAATGCAACACCACCGATAATCAACAAGATATAATCCAAGACTGCTAACCAATATCTTGTTGATTTTTCTTTCTCCAGTAAACCATCATGAATCTTACAACAACTTTTAAGATGTAATATTGGTGGATACATATAAACCAATGGAATGCATGCAAAACATCCAACAAATGAAACAAATTTGTCTAAATTTTGACCACCAATAAATGCAACATAAGCAATAAATAAAACAAATACTGCTCTAAATAAATTCTTTAACCATTTAATCCCTGGTGAGCTCTTACCACTACCAAATATTAATTTCGATTCAAGTAATCTAATAGCTGGGAATAACTGTAATGGTGTGGATAATAAAATAGCTAATGAGTATAATAATTGAGTCATAATAACCATAATTGAATCTTGAGGAAGGTTTAATAATATAACAGTTTTAACATTTTCACCAAAAGTTAAATATCCTAAACTTCCAACAGTAATCATAATTACTCCAATGGTGAATACGACTTGACCTAAAACTTTAGTGAAATTATTTGGATGAATCATTGATTCTTGAATTGGAATAATCAATCCAATACCTTCAAATGCAAATATAGCAGTACCAATAAATAAAGCAAATCCAGATTCATTAAAATAATATTCAATATTATCCCCAAAATGTCCTTGATCAATATCTAACCATTGATAGAACATGAAATATAAGATAGTGATGATTCCTGTGAATATGAAAATATTTGCCAATAAAGCCAGTAAGGATAATTTAGTAATATCACGAATTAAAGACAATGGAATAATTATTAAAACTTGTAGTATAATAAACCACAAGATATTTAAATCTGAACTTTCAAAATTAGTTACATTCACAAGGAAAGCACGAAGATTCTCCAGGGTGAAAACAATGTAAGCCGCTGCAAATCCAATTTGTGAAATAACAATCGAAGATAAGATAAGTCTTTGCAACCATGGACCGTATAATTTCATACCAATTTCAGCAAAACTTGATACTCTAGTTGCCATTTTGGTATATACAAGAATAGAATAACACCACCATGAAAGCAATGCAAAAAATGCCAATACACCAATAGAAAATATTAATCCACCATTAGCAAATGCTCTGGGAAGGAAAAGCACCCCAGTTCCAACAAATGCTTTTAATAATAAAAAATATGCTTTCCTATCTGTTGCTGTACCTCTAGGGTTGAAATTATCCCTCGCAATCAATGGTTCTTGTTCCCCAACATCTTCTGAAGGTAATAAATATTTATAGTGGTTTGTGATATTCTCATCATCTTCTAATTGTTCACCTGCGAAATGTCCATAGATGCTTAAAAACTCAATAAAATTTTTAGTCAAGAAATTCGGAGTAGTTGTACGTAATGATTCAATATTTGGGTTATTTTGCTGACTCAATAAGAATTCACGACGAAATCCTCCCGGAACATTGAATGAAGAAGCTCTTGATCTGACAGAATTGGAGCCTAAAGAATCACAACTTTTTGATTTTTTCAAGTTTGGTCTTCTTTGCGCATCTTCTTTGATCTTGTATAAATCTCTTGTTATATCTGCACCTTCCTGATTTAATGAATCAAAATCTGTTGGCAAATGTTTTGCAATTTTCTTGATTAATTCTGGATTATCAATACCATTAGATAAATCAATATTTTCATTTTCATTTAAATTTGTATTAATTTCAGATGATTCTTGATCATTTATGGAACATTCACCATTTATTGAATCGTCATAATAATTATTATTTATATTATCAAGACCCCCACCACGTAAAAATTGTGAATTTGAAATATAAGAATTCGAAACTGAACCTCTTGGAGAATTATTAGTTAATGCAAATGGAGATTGAGATAAACTTGTTGGTCTTGTTAATAATGCTATAGATCGTCTTCTTTCTGAGATGTTCTTAATATTCTGTGGTTTTGACATAACGAAAGAATTAACACTCAAATGAATCAACTACTCCTCTCACAAACACACGTAGCTGGATGAAATCTATTGACCTTTCAAGATTCAAAAAAAGAAAGAACAGAAGTAATCAAATAAAAGAAAATAAGAATAAATTTAAGAGGAAAAAATTATTTATACGGTATTAGGATTAATGTATGTAGTGTAGAATTGCCCAAAAAAAGAGATGATGATGATCTTCCTAAAAAAAAAAAGAAAACAAATCATTCATTTCAATTGAATTTGAATTTGATAATGTAACATCAGATAGTTTCCAACAAGTTAAATTAGCAAAGTGGAGAAGTGGAGGAAAAATTGTTGGTCTGATTACGTATAGATAATAAATAATAGAAATTGACACTTTGTCACCCAACGAGAAAGTTTTGTTCTATAGATAAAGCAAATATTATAACACAAACTGTAGCAGAATTAAATTAACTTTTCTGACTCCGATACCGCGCTATTGCCGTGCGATAAAAGGAGATATTCCGTCCCATTCGGTGTTGACTGCGATACAGGACATTGGTGTGAGAGAGTGAAAGGAGAGACGATACGATAAGCGTACAAGTTTACACTAAAATTATCCAGATTATACCATTGATAAACGATTAGATATTCAGATATACCTCCAGGATAAGTGTATTAACAATATCAACGGATCTTTATTGGTTGCGAAATCACATAAATTCAATTTATAATACAAGCAAAGAAAATTAAGAAATTAAAAATAGTGCAACCTATGCAGAATCTTACATTTGCCTATTTCTGGAAAAAAAAAAGCTAAATCAACTCAAAGATATATTACAACAAGAAGCAAGATGCAAAATATGGTAATTGACATAAAAACATTGTATTTTAAACAAATATTTTTGCAACTAGACCAACTCGGAGCCCAGTAGAATTGAGTCAGGCTTGAGATTTAAGCCAATTAGTGTCAAGCCATTTGACAAAAAAAAAACAAAGAGCAAAAACAGCAAATAATTACTCAGTGATAAAAATATACCAGTCTAATATTGTCTGGTTTTCCATCGAAGAGACTATCAACTCTGGTTTTAGAGTACCCATTTTTTTAATTTTTGTCAAATCACCATACCATAATCACGTTTTATACAGCACGTGACATATAAGAGAAAAAAAATTGGCACTTTTTATATTTTTCAAAATGACACAAATCAACACAACCCATTGATTCCGGATGGAATGAGAGAAAAACAGGGGGCTTATTTTATTTTGGTGTATGTAATTAAAGGGGGTAGGAATCATTAACCGAATAAAACAAGCACGCTAATTTAAAGTTAGAGGGAATTTGAGAGGTTCTGAGTTTAATATTTTTTTTTGTTTATTCCTCAACCCGGAATGTCCATGAAATTTTCAAACGGGGGGAAGTTTGTTTGTACTGGAAGAACCGGATTTTGGAAGACGTGGATTTCAAATCTTCTTGATGATATTTTTTTCAAAACCAAGGTTTGGAGTTGATTTCTTGATGTTGTATAGGGTATGATCTCGAAATGTGTTTAGTCAATTGAGTTGCAAGAAAAAACCAAGACATTAAACCATTCAATTGATGATTGAGCGTATACGATGAATTAGAATCATATATGAAAGAAATTCTTTTAGTCCTTTGTGACACATTCATGTAGCAAACTAAAAAGTATGTTTCTGTTTTTTTTTGGGGCCAATTTATTGTATAAAGGGAGGAGGAAAAGGAGGAGGCGGTAATTTAACTTTTACGTGAAAATTACATAAAATACTAAAAAAATAAGGATTCAATAGTAGTTGTTACTCAATTGATGAGGATATAAATATATAAAGTATTCTCAAGATCATATACTTTTCTCTCTATTTTGTTTTATATATTCTTTTATTAATCACTAAACAACTCATTATCCAAAAATGGTTTTATGTAAACATATCGATGCGTTGACATTAGAATCTGAGATTTTAAAATCTACTCCACAAGCTCAATTGCAAAAAGAACAATTCATTGATGCTTATGATTCACATACAAATATTCCAAAATATGAGATTCCACTGGAATCAGCTAGTTCAGAATTGATCTACAAGTACCTTTCTCAAGAATTGTCTCTTGATGGTAATCCTACTTTGAACTTAGCATCATTTGTCAACACTTATGCTGATGATTCATCAATGAGATTGATCAAAGATAATTTGACCAAGAATTTGGCTGATAATGATGAATATCCAAGTTTAATTGATGTTGAAACAAGATGTATCACCATCTTGAGTAACTTGTGGCACGCCCCACATAAAGTTGACCCAGCTACTGGTAACAAGATCACCAACTCAATTGGGACCGCCACTACTGGTTCTTCTGAAGCTATCATGTTGGCAGGTTTGGCATTGAAGAAGAGATGGCAATTGAAAAGAAAAGCCGAAGGTAAATCAACTGAGAACCCAAACATTTTAATGGCCACCTGTGCTCAAGTTGCATTGGAAAAATTTGCAACTTATTTTGACGTTGAAAATAGATTGATTCCAATCACTTCTGAATCTGGACATTTAATTGATGTTAGTAAGATTAAAGAAAACATTGATGAGAATACCATTGGTATTTTTGTTATTGTTGGATCTACATTTACTGGAGCATTCGAACCAGTTGAAGAAATTGCAAATTTATTAGATGAGGTTGAAAAAGAATCAGGTTTAAATATTAGAATTCATATTGATGGAGCATCTGGTGGATTTGTAGCACCTTTTATTTTCCCACATTTAAAATGGGATTTTGCTAATCCTAGAGTTGATTCAATAAGTACATCTGGTCATAAATTTGGATTAACTACAGTTGGTTTAGGTTGGGTAATTTGGAAAGATTCTGATTTATTACCTAAGGAATTACGTTTCAGTTTAGATTATTTGGGTGGTGTTGAAGAAACTTTTGGTTTGAATTTCTCAAGACCTGGATTCCCAGTTATTACTCAATATTATAATTTCTTAACTTTGGGCAGACAAGGTTATGCTGAAATTTTCAATAGTTGTATGACTAATGCAAGAGTTTTAGCTGGGTTTTATGAAGCTACTGGATATTTTGAAGTCCTTTCAGTTATTCATCATAAATTGTCTGACTCAGAAAAGAAGAAAATTTATACTAGAAAAGTTGATGAAACTGATGAAAAATTAGATTGTAATATTTATACAATAAATGAGGATTATCAACCAGGGTTACCAGTTGTTGCATTTAGATTTTCAAAAGCTATTAGGGATAAATATCCTGAATTACCACAAGAATTATTTTCTTCAATCATGAGAAAGAAAGGTTATATCATTCCAAATTATCATTTACCACCAAATGAAAACGATACTGAATTATTAAGAGTTGTGGTTAGAAATACTTTATCTTTGAATTTATTAGAAAGATTAATTAAAGATTCAACTGATGTAGCTGAATTATTATTTAAAGCTGCTGATTCAGTTAATGCTATTGCATCAAAGAAAAACCTCGAAACCGAAGATGAAAAGAGAGAAGAAATCCATCGCCTTTTGGCTATCATTTCATCCGCAGGCGATGTTGAAATCAGAAAGAAGCAAAAGGAAGAAAAACACACTGATTGTGGAAAGGATAAAAAATCATATAGAGGTACTTGTTAATGGGGGTGCTTGTAGAATAATGATGATATTTTTTGTTTTTAGAAATATATAAATGTGAATTTTGGTTCGTGACACCACTATTTTTATAATGCTAATGTACACGTGTATTAATTAAAGTATATTAAATAAAAAGTAAATTAATATTAAATAATGATGATGGAAAATAAATGCTAATTGTTTAATCATAATCCCGTTTGTCTCTTACCCTTAATTAAATTCTTAAAAATAACCCAACTTTTGACCAGCTTCTTGATTACCAAGTTTATAAGCTTTTTCAAACCAGTGTTTTGCTTTACCCTTTGCAATACCCATTTCACACAAGTCACCCATGAAATTCATAGCATCAGGTGAACTAAATTCGTCAATTGCTCTTTCACACCACATAACTGCTTTATCTGGAACTGGACTTGGAATATATTTACTTGCCCCATTACTTCCTTGTAAACACCATCGAGCCAATCCAACCATGGCATCTGGATGTCTTCTAAATGATAATGGAGATGAAGAGGCTTTAATATACCATTGAATAGATTTATTTGGATTTTCTTGACGATTCAACTCCCCACGTTCATAAACGATACCCAATCTAACTTGTGCTAACAAACAATTCAATTTAGCTGATTTATTATAATATGTCAAACTCTTGGCATAATTAACTGGGGCCAACTCTAAGGATTTTTTAATGAATTCATCTTCAGTGGTTAAATCACCAGGATAAATACCTTCAAAAATCTTACCCAATTCATAACATGCCAACCCAATGACTTCTTCCATTTCTGCTAAATCCTCTTCATCTAATTGAACTTCATTCAAATCAATGTTGGATAGATTCTTCAAATATTTGAAATATTTGATACTTCTCATTTCCGGTTCTTGTAAGTAAAACATAGCCATTTTCAAAATTGCTCTATTATATCCAAATTTAGCCGAAAGTGTATAGTATTCAACAGCTTGCTTGAAATCATTCAAATCATATTCATAAATTTCACCCAATTTATACAAGGCTTTGAAATCTTTATCATTAATTTCAAGAACTTTATCATAATATTCAATGGCTTTATTAAGGTTCTTTTCCATATTGAAATCTTGATTATAAGAAATCAAATAGTCTTGCTTGCATAAACTTGCATAGATGAAATAAGCTTCACATCTAACACCATCTCTTTCTTGAACCCCGGATGCAAATTCTTTAATAAGTTTTGTAATATGAGTAACTGAACTTTTAATAAATTGAGCCTTATTAGATGCATACTGTTCAGGTTGAATACTTTCACCCTTGATGTTAATATAAGAATATAATTTATAATTAGTAGCAGTGATCAACATCTTAACCCAATGCAATCTATATTCAGCAGTCTTGTTACCAGCAGCAATACGTGAACGTAATTGAATAAATTGTTCAATTTTCTTGCTGATAATAGCATCCTGAACCTTAGGTGGTGCTGGCGGTGGTGTTGACTGTTTTTGCTTTTGCATTTGTTTTTGCTTTTGCAATTGTTGTCTTTGTTGGCTGGTAAAAACAGGGACACTGTTTCTTTTATTGGCAACTGGACTAGGAGTCTCCATCAACATTGATCTCCTCTTAGAATCAGTAGTAGAAATACTTTGTCTTCTACTTCTTGGAGTGGATCTACCACCCCCATATTCAGTTTGTTGTGACAACAACGGATTGGAATAATTCATCATCATGAATTGATCAGTTGAACCTCCATATTGAGATGGCGGTACCGACGGTGGTGGGGGTGGTGGAAATGGCATCATTGAACCCATTGGTAGTTCTGGCATCGACATATTTGGATTAAATGGGAATCCCTGTGGTGGGCTCTTATTCTTCTTTGAATGTTTCTTGGATTTCTTACTCTTTTTCTTTGATTTAGATTTTCGGTCAGTTGTTGGAGCACTTATGGCCAGTCTTCTTTTACTATCTGCAACAACAAATTTTGAGGAAGCACCACTTTCAATTGAATTATAAGAAGCTGCAGAAGCGGCAGTGCCATTTCTACTTAATCCTTCTACTGAGTTAGGAGTAGGTAATTGATCATTAGAACTATCATTACTAGATGAGTGTTTTCTACTGTGACCAATGACTTCTACTCTTCTTGGAATATCCTCTTCATCCTCATCATCATCATCATCTTCTTCTTGTTGTTGTTGTGGTTCAGGAGATGGTGATTTTTCATCTTCTTCACTTTCATCGTCGGAATCATCAAATAGAAATTTATTGTAATCTGAAATTTGTCTTGTCAATTGACCTTCACTATCACGTAATTTCAATTGCGAAAGTGACTGAGTACTTTGAACCAAAGAAGAAGGGATAGAATGTGACATTGATCTGGAACCAATGTATTCTTCATCTTCATGATATGGATGATATTCAGCTGGTTTGAAATTCATCTCCAAAGAAGTAACCCTAGCATTGAGTCCACCCATGCAAGAGACTTTTCTTTCTTTGGCCATATGAAGTGGTGCTGATGCATATCTATTGGATTTCACAGTTGACCTTCTTGAATTAGAAATCAATTCATTATCCTCTTCAATCTTTTCACTATGAATATTTCTAGATTTCTGATATGATAATAAATAATCATGTTGAGCTGGTGCTTCATTGACAAGTTGTTCAGTTGCTGCATGTGCTACGCTGACATAGGAATTTCTCTTAGAAGGTGGTGAAGGGGTAACCTTAAGTGGAGCCAGAATAGATGAAGCTGACGTTTTTCTTTCATGCTCCTTTGGACGTGGTTGTTCTTGTTCTTGTTCTGGTTCTTGTGGTGGAATCACTATCTGTGATTGACCTTTGGATGGTGATTGTTGATATATTCTAGCGTCGTTGTTTTCTTGTTTCTGAACTGCTGGTGATGAGCCTTGTGGAATTGCTGGATTATAAAAATGGGGCATTTGCATCTGCATCTGCATTTGCATTTGTTGCATCATTTGTGGATTCCCATAAAACATCATTGGATTAAAACCAGGGAAAGAATTAGGATTCATTGGTTGTTGTCTCATCATAAATTGTTGTTGTTGAGCAGCCAATGCTTCATAATAACGTCTCCATTGTTCATAATAAGGGTGCTGAGTTGGTGCTACGCTTGATCCAGAACTTGAAGATCCATCGTCATCTTCGTCCCCATCAGATGACGAAGTGTATTCACTTGAACCACTTTCTTCATCATTAGAATTTTCATCAGTATGTTGGGGTACAGCAGGAGCTGAATAAAATTGTGGACTAGTCTGATACATTTGATTATTGTTGAATAATGCTGGAGCATTCTGATCAAATTGAAGTGGCAATGGGCGTGGACGTTGATCTTGTTCTGATTGACTTTTCAATTGTTGTGGCTGTTGTTCCTGTTGATGCTTTTGTACCAGTTGCGGTTGTTCTTCAAGTTGCATTTTTTGCGGGGTTTGATGTGCTCTAAAAGGTTCAGGTGACTTTATATTACTAGACATTTGGTGATTATTAGTTCTGTTGATATTTCTTTCATTATCGTGTGGTCTTGTTTGCTTGTGAATGTTATGGGAGGCATCATCCGGATAAGCAAACAGATGATTGACATCATAATGCAAAGTATCTGTTTGAGGAGCAGTTTCTTGAAGTTGGTGGTGATCTATGGGCACATCTTGTTGATTCAAGATTAAATTATGTGGCTCTTGATTGAGATCATCGTCTGGAGTTTGAACTTCAGTAGGGATTTCAGTGGGGATAGTTGTGTTCTCTTGGGGATGCATCATGGGATTATGCAGTTGACTCGGTTGGCGAGGATCTAAAATGGAATGGTAATCTTCATTATTATTAATATTCTTATTACCGTCTTCATGAACAGTAGTATTGTATCTCAAGTCACTAGCAGTTGCTGTAGTTGTATGCATATAACTAGAAGGTCTTGGCTTTTTATCCATTACAGCAAACAGCTGAGGATCTATTAAATGTTCTGTTACTTCATCCAAAGAAATATCATTGGCATCAAATTGTAAAGTATCTTCACTTAAACCAACTAGAGGCAATTCATTTTCTTGATTAGAATAAGAACGAGAATGTTGCTTTTCTTGACGAGCCTTTGGTAATTTTCTGATATCATAATATTCTGATTTGGGTCTTGGTTTTGGTTTTGGTTTATTATTTGATGAAACTGGATGTTTAAAATTTGAAGTTTCACTTGAAGTATTTGAAGTAACTGAATCGGTTGACAGAAATATAGAATTTCTTGTTTGATTTCTTTTATGATTTGCTTCTTTAAACTTTGAAAACAATCCCATTATAGTAGTGTCGTTGATGTTGTTGAAATTGCAATGGCGATGTAGATGCTAGGTGGGAATTGGATGTCGTTGTGACTTTCACTGTGATTATGGTTGTAGTTGTTTCTTCTTAAGAAGCAGGGGATTTGGTTTTCAGTTTGCAAATGGGGTTATGGATGGTTGAGTCTTTCTTTCTTATTTTATATCTAACAAAATAAGATGGTGGTGATAGGATATGCCTGTCTTTTTATATCTAAACAGTGATGGTTGTAAAAATAAATATACAAATAAAAAAAGGATTTGTCTGTAGGAGGATTTTTTTTTTCTGCTTGTTGTTTATTTAAAGGATAAAAATAGCACACACGACACACGGGGCAGTAAGTATGAGGTCAGTCGGTGTAAAATAAGGAGAACAAAAAAAATTTTCCTTTTCCCTTTTTTGTTTAGAACAATTGCAAGACAAAATAAATTTAGGTGGGAATAACGAACAATGTAAGGTATAAGGAAAATGAACTATTTTACCCCTTTCAATTAGTATTTAAAATAATCAACAAGTTGTAATTGAAACTGGAGGTGTTGAATAATGAAAACGGAGTCTTAATCTATAACAGAAAGAAAAGAGTTAGATGACGAAATGAATATTTCTTTCACTTCTAGATTTTCTTTTTTTCATATTTTGCTATTTAGTTTTCTTAGAATACAGGTGTAGAAATTTCAACAACTTGTGCATCGTCTTAATGAAGATGCACAATATTAAGAGTTAACAAATGTTGCAGTTGTTGGTACATAATGATTTATTAACGAAACAAAAAGTTTGACTTTGAATCCTGTAGCGAGGAGTCCCGTTTCTCTCGCTAGTTCTACCAGTAGAATGTAACACATGAGATCTTACTTTTGATCGACAAACAACAACGTCTTCCTGTTACAATTCAGGTTTAAATACCTCACCACCTCCTCATCCTTCTTCCACTTTCCCCCTTCCTCATCATAATGACTATGTGCTTGCAGGAAAGAGGTACTCACTTCCTTTGTGTGTGTGTGTGTGTGTCTTGTCTTTTGGTGATGCAATTGAATTTCCAAACTTTTTTAGCAACCTCTTTCCCAATTGGGACAAAAGGTAAACATCATTGAAAGAGAAATCCAGAAATTTCCGAGATCTTACACAAAACCGGCATGTCTCATTTTTAATTGTTGTCACGTTTTCAGCTTTCACTGTTTCGGAATAAATGAATTTGCAAGTAGAAACTAAACTAACCAAATGGTTGATCACAGATCAAGTGATCTTTCAGCTACCAGTAATATCATTACATATATTGCCGATTTGATTGTAAGTCTTTATAGTTTATGGTTTATCAAAAGGGGCTCTTCTTCGTATATATTTATTTATTTGTCATTTTCTTTTGCTGTTACCATTTTATCGGTAGATAAAGTTGATTTCATTTTTTAAAAATAGATTGCAACTTTATATGGTGGCTTATTAACTATGTGGTGTTATTTTTGAAGTTTGGGATAATGTGCAGTATTTTGTTATAGCAAATTAACTTGAAACTGTACGACTACGACTACGACTGTTGGTTAAAGTTTCTTTTCTTCCTTTAAAAAGCTAAAGTCTAATTTAGCCGATGGATAAAAGGACACAACTTGATTGTTAAAAGTAACATAGAACAAAAAGGAAACCATGCATGAATTAATTAGCAAAATAAAAAAAAGGGGGTTGGTAGTAGAATGAAAAGAAGGGGAGGCGGTACCCTATGGGTAGTGTTAATAGTGCGTTTAAAGGATAAATAGATAACGAACGTTGCTAGAAAATCCTTTCTTTTTCTCTAATTACTATCAGCATTGTTACTGTAGATTACTAAGCACGATGCTAATATTAGATATCCCATGAATAGTTTCTGTCGCTGTGTGTGATTGTGATTATTGAAGTGGAGTAGACTACACATAACAATAACTTTATTGATTAGGTTCTTTTTTTTTTGCCACATGAAATCTTATTTTCACCCACAAATAATAAAGCTAACGCGAAGTACGACGAAAGGGGGATCAACATTCAATAAACAAGACGAACTAGACGAAATTGTGGTATTATATACAGCCCACCCTATAAGCTCGTATGTATCATCCATGAATAATTTGTTTACTTCCTCTTTGACATTTCTTCATGTAACTTCTATTTTAATATGGAATTTCGTTGAAGACGATCTGCGCAAACGGGCGATGGGTATATTAGCCGATGAGAGTGAAAAAATATTGGACAAAAATTGATCCAAAACTCCCAGGCTGGAAAAGAATAAGAAGCATTAAAAACAATTGAAGTAATTACGAAGATTGAATATCATTGAATTAATGAATTTTTATATTTCAATTCACAATGCAATGTTAGTTCTAGTATACACTTGTTTCATTGTCTATGTATAGTAATATAACCGCTTAACTCCGGTAAGAACAATTTTTCTCTAAAATAAAAGGGTCAACGAAAAATTAATTTGGGTGCAAAATCATGCGAAAATCAAATGAAAAAAATAAATAAGAAACATACATTTGGAGAAAATATAAAAAAGTGAAGTAATTATACTCAAGACATTTTTGAAGATATTGTAATGTACCAATCGTTGTATAATTACATAATATAAAGATTATTTAAAACCAACTTACTCCTCATTAACAAATTTATACCCCATTTCATTATTATAAAAATTGCATTATGATCCACATAATAAATGTGGCTGAGTAATATCAATAGTTACGCTGTGTGTAAAAAGTATAAGGATCAGGGAGATTTATTTATTAATTTGCAATTCTCGTCGACACGTTTTCCAATTAATGTAAATTACAAAATCCACTCCAAGAAAGGATCACTATCTATTAAGAACTGATTACATATTCCAACTTCATTTATCACACTTCGTAAACATGTTTCTTGATTTAATGTTGTACGTAATTGAGACCTCAAACAACAATAGTTTATCTATTAAAGTCAAATAAGATGTCATATTTGAGAAACTTATATCGAGCGAGTTGTTTCAATAATTCGGGACATTGCACTACATTATCCGAACCAACAGCTTTGCTATAAATAGTCACTGGATAGGAAACTTGTTGAAGTATATTTGAGAAGCAGTTAATAGGCTAATGGTGATTGATTCAGATTCTGAAGCGATCGTGTATGACTTACAGATCATTTAGTTAAGTATTTTGATCCCAAAAGTTGGCAAATAAGTCCAACCTATAGGACAGTGTTTAATCTCACCATCAGATAGACCGTCTTTATTATATTTAGAGAAGGTACGTCTACCTAGACTATAATTGAAAGTACCAAGATAATTTTCAATATCCCTTTTTGGGGAAGTAAAAATAAAAATGATTTTCACACGAACTTGCACTTTATTGTTGGGCTTCCCCACCACTATTGTCTTGATTTTTTTTCCCCCGGAAATCAAAAGATGCTATACAATGTATTAATAAGCAAAAGCAATTGAAGTTACACCACAGTTTTTAAACCAATCCCTTATTCAACAATTAATATACAACAAATACATTCTTCTTCTTCTTCTTCTTCTTCTTCTTCTTCTTCTTCTTCTTCTTCTTCTTCGTCTTTGATTGTATTTATATCTTCAGAATTTTTTTTCTTTTGAACAATGTCAATTATTGGTAAAGCTGCTACTTATGTAACACCATGGGATGATGATTTATCCAAACTATTATTAGAATCAGAATTTGAAATAATTGAATCTGATTTACAAACTAATGATGTTGTACTTCAAACATTAGCAACACCAATTAATCCAAGTGATATTTCACAAATATTAGGAGGATACAATAAACCAATTGCAAATTTAAGATTAGGCACAGAAGAATCCCATCCTGTTCATATTGGAGGTAATGAAGGAGTTTTTAAAATTATTAAAATTGGTGAAGAAATTAAAAATTATGAAATTGGAGATATTGTTATTCCAAAATTACCTGGATTTGGAACATGGAGAACTTTTGCATTAGTTACAATTAATGAAAATGATCCTGAACCATTTATAAAATTAAATGATTTAAAAAATATTGATCAAGCTTCTATAATTTCAATTAATCCATGTACTGCATTTCAATTATTAAATCAATTTATTAATGATTGGAATGAAAATAATGATTGGATTATTCAAAATGCAGGTACTTCTCAAGCAAGTAAATATCTTACTCAATTGGCAAATTTGAAAGGTATTAAAGTTATATCAATAATTAGGGATAAGAATTATAAACCTGAAATTATTGAAGAATTAACATCATTTCATGCACATAAAATAATAACAGAAAGTGAATTTTTAAATGATAACTTTAAAATTGAAAATTTAACAAATGGTGGAAATGTAAGATTAGCTTTAAATAGTTTAGGTGGTAAAACTGTTCCTGGCTTAATGAAAAGTCTTTCTCAAAATGGTATAATGGTCACTTATGGTGTATTAGCTGGTGGTCATGTTGAATATGATGGGAAATTACAATTATTTAAAAATTTAACTACTAAAGCATATTGGTTAACTGAAAATACTAAAAAAAATCCTCAAAGTAAGATTGAAACTGTTAATGAATTGATTAAATTGTTTAATGAGGGTTTAATTAAACTTGTACCTTATAATAAAGTTAAATATGATCCAAAATTGATTCCTAATTATACTAAGTTTGTGGTAGATACAATAGCCAATTCAAAATCTGAAAAACAAGTAATTATATATGAATAAATAAATAAATAACTATGTAATAGTGGAGAAAAAAAAAACTCTATAAAATCAAAAAAATAAGACAACATTGGACTAAGCTGGACTAAATTCTAACCAATTCCAATTATTATCGTTATCATTGGTGTTACTACTACTGCCATTATTATTATTATTATTATTATTATTAATATTATGATTTGAACTTGGTGGTAAATCTAATAAATCCAATTCATCATGATGTGAAGTGTAATTTTTAAAATCAATATTTAATTCATTCTTAAAATTTTCAAAATCTAGATTATTCATCAAATCATCAGCCATAGTAGTAGTAGTAGTAGTAGTTGTTGTATTGGCAGCAGTATTCATGGCCAAAAATGAATCAAAATTCATCAAATCATCACTCATTGTAGTTGTAGTTGTACTGGTAGTAGCATGACTTGATGTTGGCATAGGAAATGATTGTGGAGTAGGTTTGGAACGTTGTTGTTTAGAATTGTTGTTTGATGATACTGACTTTCTTGGAGGTCTTACCACACCATGTAGTTTGTGAAACAAACCACAGGCATTACAGAGCAAATCTCCATTATTAGTTTTTCTCCATAATGGTGTAGTTTTTGTTTGACAGTTTGTACATTGTAAGACCTTCTTTGGTTGATTACTACCAAATACAGTTTGTCCTTGTTGTTGTTTTTGCTGAATTAAAGTTGACTCAAGTGAAGATATATATGATGAAAGAAAATTATTATTATTATTAGTGATGGTGGTATTGGTTGATTTGGATTTTTGTAATGATTTAGGACCACTTTCTGAAATTTGTTGTTCGCTAATCTGTTTTATATGAGCAACATAGTCAAAATTATCTAATGAATCCGTCATGGAATTACTTCTTGCCTCAAGTCTACTTGCTAATGAATGATTTGAACCACCTTTTGGAACCGAATTAGATCTAATCAAAGGCTTTGTTATTTTACTTTTATTTGAACTGATTCTCCATGCTAGATTTGACACTCTTTGATTTTGGTATTGATTTTGCTGAGGCAAGTATTTTTTGGAGTACATTTTGAAGATGTCTAATGACACATCGTCTTCATCACTGATTAAATCTTGTATGTTGGGCACCTGTGCGCTCAGTTGAGTCATATCTGTGGAAGAAGATTTATATTTGTTTGATTTTTGTTTCTCAGTGTCGAAGTTCATTTCTGGAGGAGTGGTTTTATTAGTTGAAGTAGATCCTGGTGAATACATTGAATAGATAAAGTTTTTGTTTGTTTGTTTGATAACAAGAGCCAAAAAAAAAAAAAAATAAAAAATGGAGAAGGAAAAAGAAAGTGTAAGAATTAAAGTGAATTTTTTTTTCTTTTATTTTCCTTTCTTTAATTAACCAAGTGAAATAATTACTATATAATATAATACAATACAGGGTAAGATGAACATTTACTTATGTAATACATAAATAATATTAGATTTGCTTTTTGTACAGTATGCTAATCAGGGAACAATAAGAAATTTTTGGGTTAACCTGAATGAATGAATACGTGAATGTTTAAGTGGGGGGACAGAAACATTACTAGAGAGCCGAAGGGAAGAGAATGACAAAAAGAAAAATATATTAGTGATAAGACACAAAGATAAATAAATTAAATTGACTAATCATTGTAAATGTATAATATAATAATCTAACGGGATGTCTTTTGTGGCAGTGATTTACTTTCACATTCAGGTGCGGGTGAAGAAAGAAAGGGAGAAATAACAATTCCGGGATCACCATCACCATCTCCAACACCTCCATCCTAGTATTATTTATATTAGTCCGCCTACTAAATATCTCCTTATTTTAGTTTGACAGCAATATACAAGTGTCACCACCACCACCACATTACAGACAAAAGACGAACAAAAGCACGTACACTTGTAAACCCCGCCTCTTTACTTTCTTTTCATTGTATTGGGCAATCAATTTATTCTTCTTCTTCTTCTCCTCCTATTATAAAATTTTTCTAAGACGTGCACATTGCACATTTGCGTCTTTTACAAAAACCATTAGGCATTTATCATGTTGGGTTGAATATTAAATGTGTAGGCTTAAAAGTGACCAGTTGCATTATTATCAACCCCTTATAGATTACGTCTAACACAACCAATGTACTTGTTATTATCTTTCACAGCAATTTATGGACCTTTCACTTCATAACCTACCTGAAAACTCGTAATTCAAGAAAACAACAACAACTCACTACTATGACCAATTCACTGGTCTAAAAATCCATTTGCAGGTAAAAGACACATTAAAAGAAACACACGGATAAATGTGGAACCAGAAACTGTTATGTGACAAAGACGAAAATTTAACTCGGAATCCGTTCCCCTGTTTCTCAAAATGCAGTTCATGCACAGTAAATAAATTACTAACAAAAACTATCCAATCATGATGTTGTATTTATCCATATCTTTTGACTAGTTTTGTAACTGTATCAGCAACACTTTGGATTCATTTATTTTTAGTATTTACACTGGCGAAACAACGGTTGATTAATCCTTTTTTTTTTCTTGACACGATTGTTTTCTCGTAGTTGATCGATATCTTTGATAATGCATACCAAACATGGAATCTGTCATTGGTTAGATTGATGTAGGAACACAAATTTGGTCTTTTTTAAGATGTGTGTAGAAAAATTTTAAGGATCTACTGATAACAATGGAACAACTTATCTTGATCTTAGTTTTTCATCGCTATCATTAAACATCCAAAGGGAAATTCATCTAAGCCTATTGTTCAACAACAATGAAAACTAGAGAAATCCCAATTTATGCAGCAGATTAAATTTATATAAAGATCTTGAAATAGTCGGATTATTGATAGGTTGACACAGGTTTGTTAACTTTCGAAGATAAACCTAATGGTGTTGAATTTTTGGTTGTGAATATTTTCTTGCAACTTCAGTACGAGACAACCACCAGAAGTGAAGAGTGAGAGAGAGAGAGAAAGAAAAAAAAAAACCACTATTTAATATTACTTTCTTTTTCTTTTGTTTGCAAACTAATTAGAATCAACCATGGCAGATAAAATAAAGGAAAAGAATCAATATCATTTATTAAAATCAAAATATTCAGGCGTAGGTGATGCCGATACTACAAGTCAAGAATTTTTAACAACTATCCATAATGATACCATTTCTTCCTTAGCTCATCACCAACATTTATTACTTTACAATTCAATAGTTACAAATGAACATCCACATCAATTAAGACAACAGTTTATACAGAAACTAAAATAAGCTAATAATATAAACTAAATAGTGAATCGGAAAATGTCTTGATCTGGCTTTTTCGGTGTCTTTCTTTATACTGGTTCAGAGACGTTTCCTTCTTCAACAACCAACAATGGAGCATTTTCGCCAATTTCTTCACGTAAACCACCAACTGCAAAAGAAACAAAACTCCAAACGGTCAAAATACCTGCAATTATAAAGGCAAATATCCATTGAAGGGCAAAAACTTTAGTTGCCAATTGTCCAAATGCAAGAGCAAACATAAGATAAGCATTACTGAATCCAATAGCCCAGTCATTAAATAATAACAAGAAAACTCCTGGAACAAGCAAGAAATCCCAAATGAATACATTAGCCAAGATTCTACCAAACAATTTATGAATGTGCAACATGACAGCACCATTCCAGAAAATGGCATACATGACCCAAGAAAGAGGCATGGCTGTCAATGGCACATGAATCAAAAACCAATTAAGCAATGGTCTAACAGTGAATGTCTTGTGAACAAAATATAAAGATAACAAATTGAAGAAATTAATAACTAATATAATTTCACTCAATATATAATGTCCTGAAGTAAACAATTCTGACCAAATGTAGACCAAAACGTTAAAAATTGGGAAATGCCAACCAACCAAACTAATAACAGATAATCTATATTCATCAGGGAAAAAGATTTGAGCAGTATAAATGATTTGCCAAAGGTATAAAACACCCCAATAAATGAATAATAAAAAGTTACTTCCCGAGAAAGGAGTATAAGCAAGATCACCTTCTGGAACACCAGTATATTTTAAACTACCATAGATTGATAAGAATAAAGTAATGATAGTAACCGCTTTATAAGTTCTTAATTCTTCAATTGAGTAAGCCATGATTGAATTGAGATAAATCAAATAAGTTGATAGATAAAAGAAGGAAAGAAAAAAGAATACTAATGAAAGGCAACTATTTAAATAGAAATCAATTTTTTTTTATTACCTTATAAATATTGCTTGTGTGGGACTGCTCATGCATCTTGTTAATTAAATTTGTATTCGAATAGCAATCTTAAGTTTTTCATGCCTGATTTTTTTTTTTTTTTATTGTTTTTAGTTTAAGAGAATTCCAGTATGTTAGCCACGGACTAATTTCTTAATAGTTATTACATCCAATTAACAACAATGACATTAAAGTATATATTATCAAGGGAACATTATTTGGCAAATACATATCATCAATTGTGGGAATCAATTTGTCTATTCTTGGTCAGATATTCAAGATGACGTACGCCGAATACACACTTGAAGCGGAATTTATAGACGCGGAAGGGGGGGGGGGGGAGCGGACTTTACTTTTTTCTATTGCTTTCACACTTTCTATGGTGTTCTTTATTTCTATCGAAGAGTAATATCAATAGCCTTTTAAAAAAGCTTAAAGAACGGTAACTTCATTTGTATCATAGAAAATGCACATCTCTTAAACTTCCAAGTCGAAAGAATAGATCATGAAAAGATGAACTAACACTTTCGAACCACGTAATTTTTTTTGCTGCAAATTATCAAAGAATTGAAACAATAATATACATTAAACAAATACAAACATCACACTCTACAAAGACTTACTAACAAGTACCTCTATATGATTTTTTATCTTTACCACAATCAGAATGTTTTTCTTCCTTTTGTTTCTCTCTTACCTCAACATCGCCAGCAGATGAAATAATTGCTAAAATACGATGAATCTCTTGTCTTTTTTGTTCATCAGTTTCAAGGTTTTGCTTGGATGTAATTTCTTTAATTGATTCAGCGGCTCTGATCAACAATTCAACAACCTCAGTTGAATCTTTAATTAAACTTTCCAACAAGTTCAAGGATAAAGTATTTCTAACCACAACTCTTAATAATTCAGTATCGTTTTCATTTGGTGGTAAATGATAATTTGGAATGATATAACCTTTCTTTCTCATTAATGATGAGAACAATTCTTGTGGCAATTCAGGATATTTTTCCCTAATCATCTTGGAGTATCTAAAGGCAACAACTGGTAAACCTGGCTTGAAATTTTCATTGATAGTGTAAAGTTTAGAATCTAATTTCTTATCATCAACTTTTCTGGTGTATTGAACTTTCTTTTCTTCATCAGATAACTTGTGATGAATAACTGAAAGAACTTCAAAATAACTAGTAGCTTCGAGATATTCTGAAAATATTCTAGCATTTGTCATACATCCATCCAAAATTTTAGCATAACCTTGTCTACCCAAAGTTAAGAAATTATAATATTGAGTAATAACTGGGAATCCAGGTCTTGAGAAATTCAAACCAAAGGTTTCTTCAACACCACCCAAATAATCTAAACTGAAACGTAATTCTTTAGGTAATAAATCAGAATCTTTCCAAATGACCCAACCTAAACCAACTGTAGTCATGCCGAATTTATGACCAGAAGTGTTGATAGAATCAACTCTTGGATTAGCAAAATCCCATTTCAAATGTGGGAAAATAAAAGGTGCTACAAATCCACCAGATGCACCATCAACATGAATTCTAATATCCAAGCCACGTTCTTTCTCAACTTCGTCCAATACTCTAGAAATTTCTTCAACTGGTTCGAATGCTCCAGTAAATGTAGATCCAACAATAACGAAAATACCAATGGTATTCTCATCAATGTTTTCTTTAATCTTACTAACATCAATCAAATGTCCAGATTCAGAAGTGATTGGAATCAATCTATTTTCAACGTCAAAATAAGTTGCAAATTTTTCCAATGCAACTTGAGCACATGTAGCCATTAAAATGTTTGGATTCTCAGTTGATTTACCTTCGGCTTTTCTTTTCAATTGCCATCTCTTCTTCAATGCCAAACCTGCCAACATGATAGCTTCAGAAGAACCAGTAGTGGCGGTCCCAATTGAGTTGGTGATCTTGTTACCAGTAGCTAGGTCAACTTTATGTGGGGCGTGCCACAAGTTACTCAAGATGGTGATACATCTTGTTTCAACATCAATTAAACTTGGATATTCATCATTATCAGCCAAATTCTTGGTCAAATTATCTTTGATCAATCTCATTGATGAATCATCAGCATAAGTGTTGACAAATGATGCCAAATTCAAAGTAGGATTACCATCAAGAGACAATTCTTGAGAAAGATACTTGTAGATTAATTCTGAACTAGCTGATTCCAGTGGAATCTCATATTTTGGAATATTCTTTTGAGATTCATAAGCATCAATGAATTGTTCTTTCTTCAAGTGTGGCTTTGGAGTAGATCTTAAAATTTCAGATTCTAATGTCAAAGCATCAATGTGTTTACGTAAAACCATGGTGATTTCAATTGGATTAAATTAAGGTAAGGGAATGGATAAATAATTGAAGAAGCAAATAAGGAAGAAAAGAAAAATAAATGATAATTAGCACATTACAACAATTCAAGGACTATTTATAGTCGGGCATTATTCATTGTAGGCTTGGAGAATTTCCAATTTCACGTAAATGCATCAATTACAAGTTACAGTTTACATTTATTTCTTCCCCCGAAAGTAACAATTAGTTCTCTGCGATTCTTTGTTTTATTTTTTTTTTTAGTTCGAGAGAATTCGATTGCTGCATATTCGATTAAACCCGAACCCCCGAGTTATTATTTTTTTTTCTGTTTGGTTTTCTTTGCTATTGCTTCCAACCTCAAGTGTTGGGGAATTAATTGGGATAGACAATTCTGAATCAATATGTTTGATATTTGTCATATGTGTTGTTAAATACTGAAGTATACCTCTCTAATAGTTTTATTGGTCTTCTCTTACAGAATGCGGTGTTATTGGGAGGAATAATATATCCATACGAGCACAATTAACCTTGGTAGTGAATGATCAAGTTCAACTGTATAAGACGAAGTTGTAAATGATTTTTAGTTGTTGCATTGTCATAATACAATATCGACACTCATTTATAAATACACAATTTCTATTTCAAGTGACTGGAAGTGGGGAATACCAAGTCAATTGGTTGAATCGCACACAATTAGTCGACCAGTCGAGATCAATTCCTGACCACGAAAATAGTGCACACCTGTTAAACAACACGTGATGTGAAAATATAAAGTTAGGGCAAATTGAGTTTCACGAAAGATATTATTGAAACTCAATCTCTATCGACAAACTGATCCCAATGGGTAACAATTCTACAGAATCTTTACATGAAAAAAACAGCTAGTCCTATGTATAATCGTTAATTAATTCTTAAATGAAGCTAAAACTATACGGAAATTTATTCGACACTTGGGTCATCAACCAATTCTGGAATATCTGGGATATCAGCATCGGCTTCAGCATCAGCACCAGTGTTGAAGTCCTTTGGAGTCTTACCGGCTTGGATTTGTTCAGCCAATTGTTTCAAGATTTGAAGGTTTTCAGCACCGAGTTGAGGCAAGATTTGTGGAATAAGTTGAGTAATTGGCTTTTCAACTGGGTAACCAGTGAAAGAGAAACAATTGGAAGCTGGAGCACCTTGGACACCAACTCTGTTAAAGTGCAAAACTTTACCATCATCCTTGAAGAAGTTAGCTTCTTGAACACCTTCAATCTTGGTAGCCTTCAATTTACCCAAAGCTTCAATCAATTTGGTGTCATCTTGTTCAGTCTTAATGACCTTCTTAGCTTTAACTCTAGAACCACCAACTTTCTTAGCGCTGGATTTTTGCAATTTAGCTAATTTTTCTGGGTCGATTGGCATATTTTAACTTGGATGTGGGAGTAAATTGATTCTTTGAAAAATCGTAATGGTAAGAAAAATTTTTTCTTCTTCTTCTTTCTTTCTCACTTTCATGTTGGTGAAAAATTTTGAACGGTGGGAGCAAAAGTAAAAAAAGAGACAAAAAAGTTTTCTTCCTACTTTTGTCGTTCAAAAAAAGAAAAAAATATTTTGAACCCTCTCACACGACACATGGACAACAAAATTTCCTGTATTTAATGATTTTGCGTTTTCTCCTAATTTTGCTTCTCCAGTCTCTCTAATCTCTTACAAAAAGTTAACATTGATAAGCTTGATCCACAGTTTTTCCTCTATCTTCCCACCACCTCAAACATCATCAACATATATCCATTCCATGAGAGTCTTTCATAACTGTGTCAAGTATATCAACAATTATTTACCACTCACAAATCACTGGTTGATCTTGGCTGCGTCTATTCCCGTGGCTTTATCAACAGGCACGTTGTTTGTCTATTCAGTTTATGGAACACAATTGGCAGATAAATGTCAACTTGAGGCTACTGAAGCAGCAAATTTGAATATAAGTGCCACTATAGGTAACTCTATAGGTGGTATTGTATCTGGTTTCGTTACAGATACGTATGGTACTCAATTACCTATTTTGATTAGTTGTTTTGCACTTGCCTTTGGATATAAATGGATTCATTGGCAATATGAATTGGGTCCAAATAGTCAAGATTGGCAATTATTAGCTGCTATGTTTCTTATAGGTGTTGGATCAGTATCTGGCTATTTCAGTGCAATAAAAGCAGTCACGGTTAATTTCCCAAATTTGAAAGCCACAGCTCAAAGCATTACAGTTGCATCATTTGCCATTTCATCATTGCTTTTCCTGTTTATTTCAACCACGTTTTATGATGGAAATGTTGATGGATTTCTTGAATTTATGTCTTATGCTTGTGGATTATTGGTATTTATTGGGTTTATATTCATTAGGGTTGATGGTCATATTGAACATGAACATTTGGATGTTTCTGAGACTGTTAATGAACCAACTGAAGGTACAGCATTGTTGAACGATTTAGTCAACGATGATCCAAATCATATAGATAATTTGAAAACCATGAATTTGAGAGATACATTATCACATAAGATTTTCTGGTTTCATTATCTTATATTAGCTATTGTTCAAGGGTTAGGGCAGATGTATATTTACACCATTGGATTTATTGTAAAGGCTATTCATTATTACTATAAGAATCAAATTCACGAGAGTTCCATACCATCATTACAATCACTTCAAGCACTTCATGTGTCAATCATTGCCATTGCTTCATTTCTTGGAAGATTAAGTTCAGGTCCAACATCAGATTTCTTGGTTCACAAATTACATAGTCAAAGACATTGGGTATTAATATTGGGGATGAGTATGATGCTTTTAGGCCATGCCATGAATATCATTGATATCTCTTCAATTTCTTTGGATTTACATAGCGCCAATATTTACTTACTGGTAATTTCCACTATTATTGGATATTCGTACGGTATTAGTTTCACCAGTTATCCAGCCATCGTGTCAGATATATTCAATATGAGAAATTATTCATTGATTTGGGGGATAACTTGTTCTGCCGCTACAATTGGATTGACTGTAATGACCAAAGTATTTGGTTATATCTACGACGAGAACTCAACTACATGGGATGATAAATTGAAGGATTATATTTGTTCAAAAGGTTCGGGCTGTTATGGTGAAACTTTTGAGATCACATCTGGATTATGTGTTTTAGTTATCATACTTATTTTAGGGTATATTCATCATAGAAGTAAATAATAGACTTATAAACTTTTCATAAACAATATATATTTACAAATATTTATTCAGTTGTTCTTTACTAGTATCCGTTTTGGGTAATCAATCACGCTTGGCTGAAAAAAAAAATATTAAATAAGTTAAAAAAAAAGACAGCGGAGAAACAAAGAAAAAAAAAAAAGAATAAAAATAAAAACTGTTGGGAAAAAACCAAACACCTTGTGTATCCAATTATTCTGTCAGGAGACCAATTAACAATTTCATGACGTTTATCAACCCTTCATCAATAGCTAAATATATTCCAAGTAAACAATTCCAAGAATATGTTCCTGATTGGATAGTAGGTGGTTTACTTTTAGCATTTTTCTTTTTAGTTGCTGAACATGCCTTACCATTTCAAAGACAATTCTCATTAGATGATTTAACAATTTCCCATCCATTTGCAGTACATGAACGTGTCACTGGCATTCAATGTATATTATTAGCTTCTTTAATTCCTTTTTTCACCATTATTATTGTAATGTTGGTAAGATATAGAAATGGTGCTTTCACTTCTCAATATCAAGCATTACATTATTTACAAGTTAGTATTTTAGGGTTACTTATTTCATTAAGTTTGAATGGTGTTATTACAGATATTCTTAAAGTTTGGATAGCAAGACCAAGACCAGATTTCTTAGAACGTTGTGGACCTAAACCCGGCACTCCAATGCATACATTAGTCGACATTAGTGTATGTACTGGACCATTAGGTGAATCTGTTCTTATAGATGGATTAAGATCCACTCCATCAGGTCATTCTTCAATTAGTTTTAGTGGATTGTTATATTTAACATTATGGTTATTGGGTCAATTTAAATTGTTACAACCAAGATCTTCATCACGTTATATTTATAACTATTTGGTTGTATTTTCTCCATTGTTATTGGCTACTTATGTTGCTTTGAGTAGGACTCAAGATTATAGACATCATTTTGCTGATATTATATTGGGAAGTTTTTTGGGTATAACATTTGCATGGTGGTCTTATCATCATTATTTCAACACTCTTGTTTCTGAAGATTCAGATAAACCAATTCTGGATGAAGGCTCTACTGAACTGTTATTACCACGTTAAAAGCGATATATAGATGGCATTCAAGTTTACACAGAATACACAACCGCAAAGATATAAATTGCAACATGATTAAAATAGTAAATTATTTTCATTCCAGATTCTTTCTGAAACAGCAAGATATAGTATATTTTTTTTTTCTTGTTTATTTGAAACAAGTTCCATACATTCATGAACAATAGGTTGCAAAAAAAAAAATTATCTTCACTCGCATCACTACAAATATGAAACGGATTCTTGTCAACGATGTTTCTTATCTCAGGTACATGTAACATCGATCTAAAAATATAAATAATGAAGAGTGGTACTAGAAATCAAAATTGATGTCAATTTTTTTTTTATAAATGAGTTTTGTCTAGTAGTACTATTCAATAATCAATACCATGGCGATTTTGAAACAAAGAGATGATGGTGATAGTACCATTTTCTTAACAATCACTTCTACTTCTACTATGAGTAATAACATTCCACAGCCGACTGATAGTAGTGAAAACACTGTCCAAATTGTATCTTGGGTTCAACAGACATCTTTGAGAACCCTTGTTACGTCTGCCCCTATTACAATTTATTCAACAATTTCACCTTCTACACAACCAAAAGCAACAACAGTTTATGTTTCACATAATAACAGCAATGAACCAACAGATAGTTCATTACCACCAAGTGTTGTTGAATCATCCTCCGATGAACCTTCATCAACCACAACTAGAAGAATTGGATCAATGTCAGATATTCCAAGTCATTCCACATTTGGTGACATCACTTCAGCGTCATCATCCAACAGATCTACTCAAATTGGATTAGCTATAGGTATACCAATAGCTATCTTTGCTATTTTTTTCATTGCTTTGGGAATTTGGTATTATATTCGTTCACGTAAGAATAAAAATAAGAACCAACAATTTAATTTCAACGATACTTATTATAAATCAAGAACAAGCGATGAAACAATTACTCCCGATAAACCTTATCCTGTTGTATTTTCACCTGGTGTTTATTTGAAACAAGAAAGTAATTCTCAAATTGAAAAACCAGAAAGAAAAGAAAGTACTGTTAAAAGATTAAGTAAAATGTTTCCTGTAAGGAATAAAGATCAAGAACAATCATTTGAAAAACCACAAGAGTTCAATTTTAAGAAACGAATGAGTATGATGACACCAATATTCTTGAGAAAATTCAACTTGGGAAAAATTGAAGAGACACAAGAAGATGATATTAAACCACAAGTATTGACCATTGATTCTGAACATAAGAATCAAGTTCCAAAGGTAAAGAACAAATTAAATTTACCACCAACAATTGTCCTTGAGGAAACTGGACTAGATCCAGTAAGAGGTGGACTTAGTCCTCAACAAAGCATGTATACTGTTATTCGATCATACAATAAAAATCTCAGTGATGAATTAAACATTGAAGTTGGTGATAAGGTTGTAATCTTAGAGAAACATTCTGATGGTTGGTGTAATGTAAAGAAAATCCATATGGGTAAGGAATACTATACACATCAATCATCTCAAACAACAGGTTTAGTACCAAGAATGTGCTTACAAAAGATTTAACTTTTTCTTTTCTTTTCGAAATATTACACCTCGTTATGGAGCAGTAGTTATATAAACCAAATATATGTCTATTTTAAATATATTCTATTAATGTAGGAACAACTAACCCACAGATCAATCCCACCAACTTTTCTGGTATTGTATGGAAAAATATCGACGTCGTAAGATACAGAATGAACCAAATACCCAACAACACCACAGCGACAATTTCAACAATAGTTCTGACAGTTTTATACGCACTGGAGACTTTAGACTGAGTTTCTTCAACTGGGGAATATGAGATCCCGACTTCTAAATCAGGAACGTGACTAGATAAATAATCTGTAACCCAAGAAACATGAGTGACAATCAAATACCATACTAATAAACTACTCGAAATTAAAAATGTATAATGACTTGAACTATCAAATGGATCATTCCATTCACCACCATTGTCTTTACACTCGTATTCCCTAAATATACCCGGGGCAGAACATGTTGCTCCAGCAAACACACTGATTCTTTCAAAAATTGGAGATCCAAAAAACCATTCCAAAAGGATCAATATCCAGAGTGTGTTAATGAGATAAATCTTTGTGTATCTTGTGAGAATGACAGTGTCCTTAGTTGGTAAATATCCTAATGTTATTGCTAAAATCCAGTATAATCCGGTGAACCACATATATCCATGATTACTAACAATATACAGTTCAATAAAATTAACTGGGAACGTGTGTGCAATTGTGCCATTGTATCTTTTAAGTAGCAAAGTCAAAGGAATTGAACAAACATATACTACTGGATAAACTAAATATGCAAAATTATAAGGGGTTAACTTGAGAGTTAACTTCATTTTGTGTATCACCGAATCGAATAGCAATCAGGTAGCAATAGAGCAATTCAATTCACACGTCATATTTGGTAATCTTTTTTCAAAGAAACTGCACCCGTTTATTCACAGGGAATACTACGTAGGAAAAAAAAAAAAAATCCAAAGTCACGTGCGGTAGCCTAATCGATTTTTCTTTAATTATTAATTATTAATTGTACTACATTCAAGGGGGATTTGAAATTTAAGTTTTTGTATTATGATTTCAAGTATTTCTCCTCTAGTTAATAATTTAACAAATATCAACAACTATTCTTTCCATTTAAACTATTCATAGATTTACAATAATGTTTTTAAAATCAACTAGAAATGTCATACATGAGACTTCAGCAATACGCCTGTCTCCACTGAAAAAAATTTTTCAATCACCACAAATATCAAGATGTCTCACTTCATCCACTAGAGTACACAAACCACTACAAACAACCAAATTTTCTGGTTCAAATCCCGCATTAAGCTTTCCATGCTTAGATAAACTAGAACGTAAGAATGAAGAATTATCCAAAGGGAATTTGTCATCATCATCATCATCATCAACAACAGCAGTAAAATCAACAACATCTTCGTCATTAGAATCAGGCCCAGAACCAAGTTATGGTTATGTTAAAACAGGATTTCATTTATATAAATCTAAAAAACCTATATTTTTAGATTATGGTGGTCATTTACCAGAATATGAAATTGCCTACGAAACATGGGGAAAATTAAATAAGGATAAATCGAATTTAATCTTAATCCACACAGGACTATCCGCATCACTGCATGCCAAATCACAACCAGAAAACACTAAAAAAGGATGGTGGGAGAATTTTATTGGACCAGGGAAATATATTGACACAGATAAATATTTCGTAGTATGTACCAACGTATTAGGTGGTTGTTATGGTTCAACAGGTCCATCTTCTATTGATCCTGCCAATGGTGAAAATTATGCCACACGTTTTCCTATACTTAGTGTTAATGATATGATTCGAGCCCAACGTGAATTGGTGAGAGATGAATTTGGAGTTAAGAAGATTCATGCATCTGTTGGTGCATCTATGGGGGGAATGCAATCTTTAGCATATGGCTGGGAATTTCCTGATGAAGTTGAAAAAATTATATCTATTAGTGGATGTGCCAGATCTCATCCATATTCAATTGCTTTGCGACACACACAAAGACAAGTATTAATGAGTGATCCAAATTGGAATCGTGGTTTCTATTATGGTAAGATTCCTCCTCATGTAGGAATGAAATTGGCAAGAGAAATTGCTACTGTTACTTATAGATCTGGTCCTGAATGGGAATATAGATTTGGTAGACAAAGAGCAGATGAAAGTAGACCTCCAGCTTTGTGTCCTGATTTCTTGGTTGAAACATATTTGGATCATGCTGGTGAGAAATTCTGTCTTGAATACGATGCTAATTCATGGTTATATGTGTCTAAAGCAATGGATTTGTTTGATTTGGGATACAAGAATAGAAGCAAAGCATTAAAAGCTAGATCAAAGTCTGAGATGGAGTATAATGGTAAAGTGTCAGATGAAGTTGCAAAATTAACCATACCAGCTGTTCCATACCAAGAGAAATCTACCAAGGCCATGACTACAGTTGAAGAAGGATTGATGGATTTAAAGAAAGGTATGACTAGATTGGCTAATAAGGATGTCTTGGTTATTGGTGTTGAATCTGATATATTATTCCCTGTTTGGCAACAGCGTGAAATCGCAGATGTCTTGATGGAGAATAATTCTTCTGGCAGAGTTGAATACTTTGAATTGGGAACTGACATTTCAAACTATGGTCACGACACATTTTTATTGAGTTTGAACGATATTGGTAAACCAGTTAGTAAGTTTTTAGAAAATTAATGAATCAATGAAAATGGTGGCGTTTTTTTTAATTTATGTTTATGTTTATGTTATTTAGTATTATTACAGAAGATACTACAAATTGATCAAGTACAAAAAAAAAAAAAGAAAAAGGAATAATTGGAAATTAATAGGGTATTATATGTCTAATACACAATTGATCCATGGTGAGGATCCAATTCGTAACCCAACTTTCTACTTATCGTATAAACATATTCTCTTATGTTTCCAACAACAACTTTAGCCAACCCGTTATTTTTCTTTTTATCATCTTGCTTATCCATGTGATGTGGCAACAAGTTATCATGAGCACTTAAACTAACAAACAATGCAAAAGGTACTAACCAGACTAAAATCCCAAAGAAGGAACAAATTTCAAGAAATGTAGGAATACGTGGAGGAACATAATTTGGTCTTAATCTTACTTCTAAAGGTGGGATATATGGATTATTGAAATGATGGAACCATAAAAAGTGGTTGCTAATAACTAAAACACAGGACCCCAAGAAAAGTGGTGACGTCAATTCAACATAAGGGAATTTATTCAAGTTTTGCAAATAAATATAGTATGAAAATATTGAAAACAAAGTCAATTTAATTGGGAACTTATCAAATATAAGCAATAATACAAATGCAATCATTATGGAATAAATCAATTTCTTAAGGAAACGTTTGGTTGGTTCAGTATGTTCTTCCACCAATTCGGATATATAATATAATCCTGATGCAATTGAAAGCACCAATAATAAGAATCCTAGTATAGCACCAATTATAGATAGTAATTGAAGAAACATTGTATGTGAATTAAGCTAATCCTTGATTATTAACTTAAGTAAGAATATTAATAACTGGGTTCTACTTAAATTAAAATAAATACAAAAAAAAAAAGGCAAAGAAAAAATTTTCTGTTTTGTCTGAATCGTACTTCCTGGCTTTTGATTTTCCCCTTCGTTTTGCGCTCCCCTGGTCATTTACACGCTGACAAAGTTTTTGCTCCTAAGGCGATCAGCTCGTTGTTTAGTCAACGCGACCCGCGTCTCTATCGAGATTTACTAATAATGAAAGAACACTTGTACAAAAAACAAACACACACATACAATCAATTCATTTTATAGAAATGCAACAAACTTATAAATAAATAGTAAAATAAAAAATAAAAAATAAATAGTAAAATAAAAAATAAAAAATAAAATAAAAATAAAAATAAAAATAAAAAATGAAGTATATTCCACACCGATCCCTCAATCATAAATTTCCATAGGTGGAAGTCTGTCGGTATTATAGAACCAATTGTTATTTCTCAATTCTGTTTCTAACCATTCAGTAGGGAAATAAACCAAATTACCTTGAACCGCACTCAATAATCTTTCAGCAGACGTCTTATCATAAATAGCCTCAGCATTTTGGATCTTACGTCTTGCAGAATATGCACCTGCTCTACCACGTCTTGCTCTAGATGTTTGTCTGGATCTTGTTCTCGTACGACGCTGTTTCTCGTGATGTGAACCAGAAGAAGGCGATCTATCATTACCATTTGCAACTTTTTCAGTTCCCCCAAGCTCATTGGCATCATCATCAACATCTTCATCTTCTTCATCAACTATATCAGATGGTTCGGTTAATGGTTTAGGGGTCTCTGGTCTTTTGTCTTGAGTTTCATGAGCACCAGTAAAACTACTAACTCTACGACCAAGTTTGGCACGCAAGTTCTTCTCTGGTTCATGATTAGCTTCCTGATCCCTATCTGGTGGTGCTTTTCCTAATAACCCGTATTCATCATTAGTTGCAGATCTTTCTAATCTATGTTTGGTGTTGTTGTTAGCCAAGTGAACATCATATTCATCCTTTTCAGCCTCTTTAGAATCGGAATAGTATTGACTCAGCAGTCCATACTCAACTTCAGCTTCTTGGGCTTTCATAAATTGACTTTGCAATTCAGTTTGAGTAGTATAATCTGACCATCTTGAAACATAATCGTCCGGTTGACAATGGAAAACCATCCTGTAAAGTTCGGTGTTTCTGGAAGCAATTTCGTTCCAACGAAGTTCATAAAAGTCAGGACCAATAGGATCATCAAACTCATAAGGGTCAATAAAATTTGAGAAACCAGTATCTGTGGACGACATGCTGTTGATTATATCTCTGGCTGCCTCTTCACTTAATTTCAAAGTCTCTGAGTCTTTGTTACTGGTAAAATTAGTTTCAACACCTTCAGTCGATGGTAAAAGGGACCCTTGTTTTGTATCTGTCATATTATCATTTGCTGGGATTCCATTCTTACATAACAATGGCAAGCCTAATTTCATTCTCTTCTGATCCTCTTCTTCATTCATGCTCTTTTCTTTCGCAGCAACTCTTTGCAAGTAAGAAATCTTTTTAAGCAAGAGCCATCTTTCTTGATTTCTTTCCGTGACTATTTCCTCAGATTCGGAGTCCATACTGCCAGATATATTGTGGTCATCTGACTCAAGAAATTCTAAAACACTATCAAAATCTGGTAAAAATGTCGAAGTAGGATTACGTTCCATATCAATTAAGGATAAATCTTTCAAAAACTTGGCACTGCTCATTCTTGCCCTTTGAGCCAATTTTGATCTGTACTTATCTTGACCTTCACCATAGACATCTTTCTTGTGTAAGTCGTTATTTTGAACTCTATTATCATATGAATGCTTCTTGCTATCGCGAATACCTTTATTCGCTTCATGTGGACCAGTACGATTATTCATAGAAACAGGCAAAAACAAAGGTGGTGGGAATTCTGATTCTTCTTCTTCGAAATTGACATCAGCAATTTCTGCATCAAACTTAGAAACATGAATGAAATTTTTCCACCTTCTTGTACCGGATGGTTGATTTAAAATATCTCTTGATGCAATCTCAACCATTGCTGACAAGTAGGTATTCTCCCGGGATCTGAACTTATTAGTGGCATATTTGAGACCTTCTTCAGATTTTGCGAAATTCTCGAATCTCTTGAATCTTCTTTCGACAACTTCTAATATGTCAATACTGACACCCAAGTGTTCTCTCATCAATCTCATTCTCAAAGTATGAGCAAATTTGCCCGCCAAATATGGTTTTCCATCCATTGTAGACTTGACCATGTCGGTATCTCTGACAACTGCCGCAACTTCAGAATCTCTGAGACCACGCATAGATCTCTCATTAATATTGGCACTTCCAATAATTGCAGTACGATCATCAGCAATCATAGCTTTAGCATGAATATAAAGTTGTTCAGTTACCAATGTTCTACCAGTACCGATTCTTCCCCATTTTCTTAACGAGAAGAATTGAATGTATTGATCTGGGTCAATACCCTTCATTCTCAATTTGGCAAAAATAGACGATTCACCTCTTGATATGGACATAAATTGACATTGCATAATAACACGTACCGAAGAACCTTCAGCTTCATCAACCTGTGCTTCAAAACCAGGCATCAATGGAATAACAATGATGGCTTTCCAATTAGTACCTTCCCTATGGGCTCGGATGATTCTATCTACCAATGCATCACCAATTCTGTTTTTGATTTCTGTCCCATCAATAAAACACGATGTGACAAAAAATTGATTTTCAATGTACACAAAATGCTCTGATGTTTCGATTAGTCTAAGATATGCATTTTGAATACTTTGCTCGTGTTGTTTCAAACCAAGAGACCAATTTCCTGATGATCTCAATAATTGTACTTCACAAGTACCGTCTAATCCATGAGCCATAATCTCGTCTTCCGACAAATCTGGTGGTGGTAATAAAAGTGGTGTAAGTCTACTTGGTCTCTTCTGTCTAATTAAATAATTCCATCTTTGAACAAAATGTCTTGCCAAATCTCTAGCAGTTTGTCCACAAGTGAACATATGAATATCATGCCAAGGCATTCTAGGAACCTCATTTCTGTTGTACATTGACTCATATGGTTTGTCCAAATCAAAGAAATCTTTGACTCTTGGATTGGAATAATCTTTACCAGGAAAAACTTGAAATTCGGCAAATTTGTCTGCTGTCAATCTGTCGTCCGGGCTGAAACTATCAAAATCAACACCGGTATCATCAGTTAAAACATGATCCGCTGTATCATAACGACCATAACATAAATCAATACCACCCAAGAATGCATAAGTATGGTCAACAATACACAACTTCTCATGATGGGCCCAGAAATATGTATTTTGAAGCAACTGATTTGGTGATCTGATAACATGAATATTTTCTTCATTAAGTGACAAGATCGAATGTTTTGTATACAAGGAATCAGTGGCAACAGTAGTACCAACATTACGGTAAATGACAACAAAGATTTTTACCCCTTCATCTGCTTTTCTTTTCAACAACCTATCAAGTCTATATTGTTGATTACCGTTAGCTGGTCTTCTTAAATACAATTCAGGAGAAAGCCACCAATCATGAATCATAATAGTGTCTTTGGCCATCTCAATAGCAGAAGAAATAGCCCAAAAGTGATCACGACCATCAACAAACCATTGAGCAAAGACATTCTTTCTTACTGGAGCAAATGAACCAAATCTGTTTGGTTCAGCGTATGGGGTCAAGCTTTGCATAGTCCTAAGTGAATCAACCCATAACTTATGTTCCCTTGGTGACTTTGGTTGGAATGTCAATTTTCTTTCGTTATTCTCCAAAGTAATTTTTAAATGTGGGAAGAAATTATTCTCACTATCAAACAACTTTTTCTGTGAAATAGAGGAAGCATCAAATATAGATTCATCTTCATCTTTACCAGAAGCTTCCGCAATTCTGCTATGAATCTTGAAAGAACTGTCCACGAGGAAAACATCCAAAGGAGATGTCGAATTGATATCTGCCACATAGGTGATATAACTGCCTCTAACAAGCATCCATTTCATTGATCTCCTCTCGTATATACCTTTCAAGTCATTAGCCTTAAAATGACCAACTCTCCAGCCTTGAGCATTGGCTGTACCACCAATGTGGACAGCACCTTGTTTACCACAGAAACCTGTCTCATAACTCAATAATGAAGAAAGTGGAGACAACTCAAAGAATATGAAAAGTATATTTGATTGTGGTTTTAATGATGTTGCTTCAATTAATTCTTTTAAATAATTATCAACATCTTTGGTATATTGTTCTAGTTTTCTTCGTCTATTTTCCACAGATTCATGATGCCTTTCAAGAGATCCAATTGACGTTATACTACCAAGGCGCAGCCTGACTCTAGAAAGACCTGACGTAACTGGCGAAATTGAATGATTATCGACATTATCACCCGCAGTGGCAGTGGCAGTGGCAGTGGCAGGCTCTTCTTCGTCTTCACCAGGTTTGCCTTGTACAAATGTTTTAAACTTCTTTGATTTTCCTTTTTCTGATTTTCTAATTGGAGGAACAGGGAATTTTGGTAATGGCTGAGATTTGTTACCAACAACCCTACCGACAAGTCTTGCCTTTTCAAACTTATAGGCCAAATATCCCAAATCAGTAGAATTTCTTTCAATGCTCCATTTCATTCGTTGGCGATCAATACCGTATTCCAAATCGAAACGAAATCTTCTATTCCTGGTAGTTTCTTTGGATGTAATATCCGTGACTTTAAATCCAAGCAACGACAATAAAAGAGGAGCTCTGTAGATACCATGTTCATCTTCTAATAAACATGATGCCATCAAGTTGATTGCCGGTCCACCCGCTGCCATTCCTGCTAATAGTTTCTCTGCTCTTTCAGCTGCCGCAGTTTCAGATTCATCAATTACATCTGGTTGGGCAATACTCTGCCTCTTGTCTTTTCCCTTCTTGCGATTTGCACGAAGAAAATGTTTTAATCTGTTGTGTTTAGCTTTAGGACTTGAACCATCTTGTTGATTCGGAAATTCAGACGTAGGGGAAGTTGGATCTGCCATTGTTGAAAAAGTTCTCCCCTTTAATCTTGCAGGTATGAAATTACTAAAAGTTTGAGAATGACCAAACATAGTTCCTCTACGAGGGGGTGCTTCACCTTCAACCTTGTCAGCCTCTTCATTGTCGTCAACTGGTTCAAATCTGTTTACATCTGCATCGTTATTGTGGACAAAACTCTCATTGGGAGTGAAAAAGGAACTAGGATGTTGTGGTAGTTTATGATAGTTGTGATGGTTGTGGTGATGATGGTTGTTGTCGTGGTCTTGGTCATATCGGGACTCTCTATTATCACCAATAAATGAAAATTCTAAGGAATTTGGAACAACTCTAACTGACTCATCTGGTGAATTTGGGGAAGGGGATCTTTCGTGTCGTCTTGGTAAAATAGGACCATTCTTGACTGCTTTAAAGATATGATCAACATCTGACAGTTGCCGTAATGGTGTTATGTTGTCTGCATCTCCATTTTCCACGTTTGTTTCGGATGGTTTGACTTTTATTCTAGTAACATCGCCATTCGTGTTCTCATTGACATCCCCATTCGCTACCTCAGGGGTAGGTTGTTCAACCGTGGGCAGCATTATCAATTATTGAACGTGCTATGTAATGATTGATAAATAATGTCAATTTAAAAGAGGAAAACAAAAAAAAAAAGAAAAATGAATGAAGAACAAAACGAAAACAACAACAACAAAAAAAAATAATCCTGTTGGTAATCGTTTGAAACTTTGAGAGCGCCTTGCATAAACAAAATTCTACACGAATAGATAAATTAAACGGAAACATACAAGGCTAAGAAAACGCAAAACCTACAAAAATACAATAGCAATTATAAAGTGAAGAGTTGTGTTTATTGAAGTATGACCCAGCATGTTTGTATAATAGGGGTCTAAATAATATTCCCATAATTAAATAAAGAATACAACCTATAGAATTCACGATTTCGATTGTGCCTCTTTTTCAATTTTTTTTTTATTTTGTATCTTCTTTTGGTGTCACAAAAGTTCAATGTACAAGTCAAGTTTGCTGCCCAACCACATGGCATGTTTGGTGTGATCTATAAGATCGTTTCCCGTACGTGGATGTATCAAGACAGATAAATTTCCATGGTTAAGTTGGAAATATGGCACTAACACCTTGAATATCTCTGGATCTTTAAAATCCAATTCCCACATCCTAACAGGATGAGGGCCAATCGGCTTTTCCCAAAACTTATAAACCCTGATCTTTCCCTCGTCAATCTCCTTGGCAAAATCCTTCAACACATTCTCTCTCAATTGATGTGCAAACTTTACTTCTTCTTCAGTATCAAAATATGTGTGGATATCATAAGATTTGATACCCCCATAGAATGGTGTAGCATTTGTGCTTGTTGATTCACGTGATTCGGACATATTGAATATTAATTATTAACTAATTAGTAATTGCTAAAAAAAAAATCTCTTGGTGTGGAAGTGCGCCTAATCTGAAGATATTTATAACCTCTAAAAGATTGTGAACTTTCTATTTAGACTAAAATCTAATTAATACTAGCTCGCACAATAAAGCAATGACACCACATTAAAACACTAAATAATTTGTCAGCGCATAACATAAGCTTACAAATCTTGCATATAAGGGACAAAAAATATATATATAAAACTAAATCTTTTGATGCTTGATGGGTGCAAGTTGAGATACACTCAACTAATATCATGAATAATACATTAAAGCTGAATCGTATGGCCATGATTGCTTTGTACTTCCAATGAGACAATATTCTCCACCATTGATCATGTGTCGGATTGAACCTAGTTGTGAATGGAAATAGACTCGATACACGACCATTTGTTCCATTTCGCACATTTACAGCTAAATTATCAAATATGGGATTTCAAGTAAATTATTCAGAATAGTGTATTAGTTTAGTAGTGAAAAACTACTGATAAAAAATAAGAAGACTTATATAATTGAACTATTTTTTATTCTTTATATCCTGCAATTGAATATTTACATAGTCTTCGTTTGTAGATATATTTATTTCTGAGTCCTCACCATCCTCCTCGTCATCTTGACCTATTATCTGGGTATTCAACTGTCTGTATCTTACACGTTCTTGACGTGCTGTATTCTTTCTCCATGCCATAAATCCAATACTCAAGCCCAATCCAAAAAGACTTCCAAGTATGTTGGCCAAAATATCATATACATCAAATACTCGGCTAGGATTGACAACATTTTGTATGATTTCCAGGCTCACGCTTCCTCCAAAGGTGCATATTACCAATGTGACTCCTCTAAGTATTTTCAAAGACTTGTAATGGGTATCAAATATGAAATAAAACTCTATGGTTAAGATGCAAAATGTGGTAAAATGAATCAATTTGTCGTGTGGAAGATGTATCAGGGCAAACCCTAGATAGCCTGCACCCACTAGGGATATGATAAATACTTGAGTGTGTTAGTGAATTAAACACAGAAGTTACAACATGCAATTCTGTTACATACGTATTAAAACAGGATAACGAATGGAAATCATGTTTTTGGTTTGAAAGTGGGAGTGTTCGTGTGCAGTTTATGACTAGAACATGGTGGCATATTTTTTTCTTTGTTGTTACTTCTCCTTCTTCTACCTCCTTCTACCACCTTGTAATATGTACGCGACACATTAGAAAAATAAAAAAAAGTATTTCACTTTGCATAGACTACCCAATCCTTTTCCATGACCAATATACACATGAATAGAACACTACGAACATTTGGATCCCTTATAAAGAGGAGGAATTATTCTATTAACTACTTGGTATCGTCGATTCCTAAACCAAAAACTTCATATAAACCAGAAAACTCAGAAAAACCTATAGTCAAGAAGGCTTCTCGACCAAAGAAACAAGCTCAGCGTCCAGTAGCATTTGATGAAAAGTTACTTCTTGGTGGATTCAAACCATACACTGCAGGACAATATTCCCGAGCTCAGCATTTCTTCAAATCGGCAAAACCAACATTATCTTGGACATTAGCAGATTATGATGAAATCCCGGATGTCAAGTATGAAAAATTGGCAAAACAGAGAGAAGAGAAATACGGGAACCTTGATCCATATTTTAAGAACGAAACCACAGAAAACATGCTAAACTCTAGGAAAACATTTGGTATTAAACCTGATCTTTTACAGCCGTTACCCGAAGTCTTGTTGATTGGTCACACGAATGCTGGAAAATCGTCACTTATAAATCGTCTCCTTCTTGACAAGCAAAAATTGAAAAGATCTGATCAGTTGGCGTATGTTTCTGCTCGTGCTGGGTTTACAAAAACTATGAACTGTTTTACTGTTTCCAATAAATTAAGAATTGTTGATTCACCTGGGTTTGGGTGGCATGGTGAAGAAGTTCAAGGAAAAATGGTTATTGACTACATTGAAAGGAGAAACGTTTTGAAAATGGTCTACTTTTTAATCGACACCACAGTAGGATTAAGGGAAGAAGATACGGTCATTATTGATCATTTAATAGAACTGGGTGTGCCGTTCAGTTTGATTTTCACTAAAGTTGACAACAGAAAGACAGTAGAGAAATTGATAGCAACTTTTGATTTTACTTGCAGAAAGTTTATTTCTGACGAAAAAGGTATCAAGGATATCAGGGTCAGTATGCTAGAAGCCACTGAACTTTAGAACAGCATGTAAATAGTATAATACAATACATTTTTAGATGAAACCATAGAAACTCGAGTCCTTGATTTTCTCCTTCTTGAGATACGATATCTTATATTTGTTAGAACTTAATTTACACTTTGCTTTAAAATCTACCTCTTCCACGACCACCACGGCCACCACGATCACCACCGAAGCCACCACGGCCTCCTCTACCTCCAAATCCACCTCTGGATCCACCTCTAGCGCCGAATCCACCTCTTCCACCTCTGGAGCCGCCTCTACCTCCAAAACCACCTCTGGAGCCACCTCTGCCACCGAAACCACCTCTTGAGCTTCCAGCAGATTTACCATCCTTCTTCTTCTTTTTGACAGCACCAATTTCCTTTGGTTTTGGTAAGAATCTTTCTAATGGGAGAAGTTTATCACCACCAATAAAGACTTTGTCACCTTCACTAAAACTGTCGGCTTTAACACCTTCACTCAATTTAACACTGAAGACAACGGAATTGATCAGACCAAGAATTTCTTCTACTTTACCAACTTGTGTTTTGTTTTCTAAGTATATTGGAGCATTGAAGTATGGAATTTTAACATTGGTAGAACGACAGATGAGTTCACCTTCACAAGAATGCATAAAAGTACCCATTTCCAAAACGGTGTCTGGTGGACCGTACAGTGATGGTCCGGTTCTTCCACCACGGAAACCACCACGGCCACCTCTAAAATTTCCTCTTCCTCTGTTCATTGTAGTACCTATTGTATGTTATCTATGGTAGAACTATTTCTAGCGAAGAGGAAAACTTTTTCAATGAGAGAAGAGCGAACGAAAAAAAAAAAAAAATTGGTTAGTGAAAATCCAATACCTCATCGAACCAAAGAGACAAATGTCGTCTCCCTGAAAAAAAGTCGCAATGATGGAGTTGATTAGACAAAACAAATGACATGTCTGTGGTAAAACTGATTTGTGCAAAGTTCAATAACCGCTCCAACAACAACAACAGAAAAAAAAAATCGTCAAGAATCTAAACGGACCTAAATCATTTTCATATTGTTTTTTTTTCTCTCTATCAAAGTCTATTCTACAACCATTGATAAACAACATTAGTTAGTACTTTATTTTACTATCAATCAAGTTATTCTTTTTTTTTTGTAATTTTGGTCATTCTTATTATTTCTTTCTTCTAATACAGTTTTACCATGAGTGTCTCGCAGTGTATGTATTTCATGTTTTGGATGTTTTTTTTTGGGCGGTCGAGCCCCTATTTTTCCAGAAATTCCGATTGAGATTTTTATGATTGTTACTAACAATTTAATTATTTAAAGCTACCCCTTCATTTAAGGTAGGACTTACCTCAGAAGAAAAGTCATTGTATACACATTTATTCAAATCATTGGATCCTGAGAACACTGGAGTTGTCACTGGTGAAAAGGCCAGAACAACTTTTGAAAAATCTGGATTACCTCCAGCGATTTTGGGTGAAATCTGGCAAATTGCTGATCTGAACAATTTGGGGTTCTTGAATCAATTTGGATTCTGCTATGCCATGAGATTGATTGGGTATACTCAAGCTGGACAGCATCCTGCTCCTGGATTGGCAGATGTCCCTGGTCCTTTACCAAAATTTGTTAACTTACCATTACCTCAAAGTACCTTACAGCCGCAATCTACAAGCAGTTCTTTCATGTCAACTCAACCAAATACCTCAATTCCACAAACTGCTGTCTCTCAGGATTCAATTGCCCCTGTTTCACCAGTAGATTATCAAAAGTTTTCCCAATTATTTATAAAAACTGTGGGATCAGCACAAGGTGAACTAGGTGGTGCTCAAGCCAAAGATATTTTCTTGAAGGCTAAGTTGCCAACCCCAGTTTTGGATCAGATATGGTCTTTAGTCGATAAAAACAACACTGGTACTTTAAATGTTGGATCATTTGTGATTGCCATGCATTTAATTCAAGGATTATTGAGTGGTCAAGTTAAACAATTGCCACCATTTTTGCCAGAATCTATTTGGAAGTCAGTTGAACCACAACAACAAACTCCATCATATGAACAACTGCAATCGCGTCAAGTTTCACTGAATTCAATTAACTCCCAACTGACGGCAATTAGACATCCTCCTTCAAGAGATGTCCAAAGTGAATGGTTTGTTACTCCTGCCATGAGGCAACAATACGACTCTGTTTTCAACAATCTTGATAAGGATAAGAAGGGACAATTAACTCCTGACCAAGTTGCTTCATTCTTAATGACTTCTAAATTAAGTCAACAAGATTTGGCATTGATTTGGGATTTAGCTGATATTCAAAATTCTGGAATTTTTACCAAGTTGGAGTTTTCCATTGCCTTGTTTTTGGTTAATAGAAAAATCGCTGGGAAGGCTTTACCAAATGTGGTTCCAGACGAATTGGTTTCTTCATTGAGACAAGCTTCAACACCAGCTGCTGGTTCACAATTCTCCCAAGTTACTTCTCCACAACCACAACAACAACAACAACCACAACAGCGTAGTGCTTCGGAAATAAACAGAGGTTTAATTCCACCTCAAGTACAGCTGCCAAGCAAACCAAAGTCTTCCATGGATGATTTGGCTGATATTTTTGGTGCCTCTGCCACTGCACCAACAGCTACCACTGTGGCTTCTTCCAGTCCAGCTCCACCAGCTCCAGCTGGATTTGGCCTTGAACAACGTCCATCAAGTAGTGATTTATCCCATGGTGAGTTACCAAAAGTTCGTACCACTTTAACTGGTTCATTCAAGCCAACATCTACTTTTGGCCAATCATTGATGCAAAAGCAACAAACGCAATCAATTTCTTCTTCTAACTTAGCATCACCAGCAGAAGAGAAAAAGCAAGAAATCCCACCAATTCAATCAAAGGAAATTGTCCCACCTGCTGTACCACAACAACCAGCCAGTGAACCAAGTCAGCCAAAGACAGTTAATTATGATGCCTTGAGAAGTGTTCCACCACCGCCTCCTCCTCAACAAAGAACTGCTAGTCCAGCCCTTGGGGTTTCTCGTACTCCTTCTCAGCAATTTGCATCTACTGGTAGATCTGCTTCTCAACAAAGTGGTGCTATTGCCACTGGTAACAATGAAGATTTACTAGCTGATCCAGCTATTTCCGGCCAATTGTCACAAGCTACTTCAGATATTGCAAATGTATCCAACCAAATTAAATCCCTCACCACTCAAACAAAAAACTTACATGAGAAGAAAACAAGAGCAGAACAAGAGCTTCAAAGAATTTTGAAAACTAAATCTGATATTGAAATGAAATTGAAACAATTGAGAACTTCTTACGAGAATGAAGTCAAACAAGTTGAACAAGTTGAAAGCAATTTAGCTACTGCCAAAGAAGAAACTGAAGCATTAAGATCTGAAACCTCGATTGCTGAAGCAAAAGTTAATTCATTATCAAATGATTTACATGAAAAACAGGTTAATATGGAAGACTTACAGAAGGAAAACAGCACCTTGAAGGAAAAATTGGGTACTTTGAATGCTGAAATTACTGAACTTGAAAGTCAAGTAGCAGCAAAGGCTTCAGAAACACAAATGTTATCCAACCAAGTGTCTGTTAAGAAATCACAAGTTCAGGTTGCCATTGTCAAGTGTGAAGATTTGAAGGGAAAAATCAAGGACATTGAGGCACAGCACAAACAATTGCAATCAGAATTGGACAATGCTGAGAGAAGTAGATTAGCTGCTGAACAAGAAGCTATAGATCAGCAAAATAAGGCTATTGAATTGGAAAAGAATAAACCTACTAAACCAAGTAGTGGCATTGCTGCTGCAGTTGGTGCTGCTGCCGGTGCTGCGGTTGCGGGAGCTGCGGGAATTGTTCATCATGTTACCTCTTCTTCTTCTTCATCATCTGCTCCTATTGCTTCAGGATCAAGTGCACCAGTGACTCAACGTGATCAAGTCGGTACTGATGAATCGGGTGTTAATGATGTTACTCAAAGATTCCCTGATTTGGATGTTAATGAACCAGCTGATAATGTTACCAACACCACTGCATCTAATACCACTGATCGTGCAATCGACGATGGAGAAACACCAGTTACATCTCCAAGTAACTCTGAATTCCAATTCCCACAAGGTAACAATGCAGGAATTGTAGGTGGTATGGTTGGAATGCCAGGTGTTTTAGTTGGTGTGCAAAGAACTGAATCGTTAACTTCCAGTGTACAAAACAATGCTGCTTTGTCTGTTAGAGATGATAACATTGATGAGATTAGTGACCGTGATACTTTGGAAAATGTTGATAGCGGTGATGAAACAGCACCAAACACTGCTAATGGTGCTAGCTTTGAAAGTAGAGACAGACAAGAAGGTAGTGATAAAGGATCATCTTCATTTGAAATGGTCAATTCTGAGGAAGCAAGATCTCCAGATACCAATGAAGAGTTCCCACCAATTAGAGAATTGGATTATCAAGAAAGTGATTCTTCTGATGAAGAAAATGAAGAAGAACAAACTTTTGATGATGCTTTAGATCATGATCTAATTCCGGGACAAGGACAAACTACAACTGCAACAACTGCTCCTGCTGCTCCTGCTGCTCCTGCCCCAGTTGAAATTCAATCTAAAGAACCTGTACAAAGAGTTGAAAGTTCCGCATTTGATGATTTTGACTTTGATAATTTACAACCAGCAGCTACAGAATCCAATGACAAGAATTTCTTTAACGATGAATTTGACAATTTACCTGCAGCTAATGTAGCTACTCAAGGTGATGATGAATTTGAAAGTGATAAAGATGCATTTGGTGGTTTATCTGGTGATTTTTCAAGTTCTAATGCTCCTGATTTTACACAACCTCAAGGAACTGACACTGCTCCAATTGCTAATAATGATGAATGGGAAGAATTGTTTGCTGGTTTCGGAAATGCTCAACAACAACAGGAACAACAACAACAACAACCTGAAATTCTTGAAACTCCAAGTCAACCTACAATTCCAGGAGCTTTTGTAAACGAGCCTGCTCCTACTGAAGAAACACCTGTATGGCACCCAGGTGCTCCTGCCCCTTCTACTGTTGATACAACCACCGTTTCTGCTGCTGCAGTCGACTCATATGCAGTTCAAGAATTGGTTGGTATGGGTTTTGATGAGAAAACAGCTATTGATGCTTTGAACAAACAAAACGGGGATTTGGAAGCTGCTACAAATTACTTATTGGACAATGCTTAAATTGTGTAATTGGATACGATTTTTATTATTATTCTTTATTTTTGGGACATAATTGCTCATTTGAGTTTTGTAGTTTATTTTGATTATTTTTATTGATTATTAATAGGTGTGTATGTAAGTTAGTTAAAGTTATCAATTATGTATATTATTTCTTAATCTTGTATGATATTATCCGTAGGTGGAGTAAGTAATGTAATTTGAAGTGGATTATTGCTAAGATTGCATCATTGATTTCAGAATGGGTGCACAAGTGTGGCGTGCGGAGTTTTTTCGGCTGAATTCAAATTTGCAACTCTACCAACAACAACTATGGCGTTCGGAACATGGGTCATATCAAATACACCCGATGTGGATAGATAAGAAAAACCCTATATTTTTATATCTGATTGTCATTAATGGGGTAGACAGCTCATATAAATATAATTGATATAAATACCTGTTGGGTTTCCTTCGAAATTGAAAAATCTAGAAAATTAACAAACAAACAAACAAACAAACTTTTCTAAACAAAACTTATTAAAATAATGACTAGTATTCAAAGATTCGGTAATTCAGATATTCATTTCAACAAAGATTTCGATGAAGTTGATGCAGATGGTGTTTTAGTTATTAATAAACACAACAGACAACAAGCTAGATATCCAGATTTCTTACCAACTTGGGATCCAAGTGTTAAATTACCACCATTAAAATTTGAAAAATATATTGATCCTGCAAGTAGAGCTGATCCAACTTTTCCAAATTTATTTCCAAAAGATTTCAACTTTTCAACTAAAAGAATCACTCCAAATTTCGGTACTGAAGTTGATGGTATTCAATTATCTCAATTAGATGATAAAGGTAAAGATGAATTGGCTTTATTTTTAGCACAAAGAAAAGTTTTGTTATTTAATGATCAAGACTTTGCTGATAAAGGTCCTGGATTTGCTGTTGAATTTGGAAAATATTTTGGAAGATTACATATTCATCCAAGTTCTGGTGCTCCAAGAGGATATCCTGAATTACATATTACTTATAGAAGACCAGAAAAGGGGGAATTACAAAGAGTTTTTGCAAATCGTACCACTAGTATTGGATTTCATAGTGATGTTTCTTATGAGTTAACCCCACTGAGATTCACTGTTTTCCTGGTCTTGGAAAGTGGTGATGGTGGAGATACTGTTTTCGTTGATGCTGGTGAAGCTTATAGAAGATTATCACCAGCTTTGCAACAAAGATTAGAAGGTTTACATGTTTTACACACTTCTGAAGATCAAGCGGCCAATTCAACTTATCAAGGTGGTGTTGAAAGAAGAAAACCAGTTTCCAATATTCACCCATTGGTTAGATTAGATCCTGTTACTGGTGAAAAGTCTTTATATGTTAACCGTGCCTTTGGAAGAAGAATTGTTGAATTGAAAAAAGAAGAATCTGATGCTTTGTTGGATTTCTTACATGGTCATATTGAAAGAAGTCTGGATTTACAATTAAGAGTTAATTGGGAAGGTGGTAAAAGAAATAAAGTTGCATTGTTCCACAACAGTGGTGTTTCCCATACTGCCACTTTTGATACTGTTGAAGGTGAAGTTAGACATGCTTTTAGAATTTCCGTCTTGGGAGAACGTCCAATTCTGGATTTGAAGGATTTGAACAAAGAAGAATACACCCCTGGTGATTTGGCTGATGCATTGAGTGCAATCAAACCAATCTAAATATGAATTGTAGTATTATTAATTAGAAATAAGAGAATAATTACAAAAGTCGGCTTTAGGCTAAAAATTAAATAGGTGCAAAATAAAATGTATATTGATGATATTATAATGGTAAATGCTAGAAATTGAGTTTGAAGTTAATAAATATATATTGTGACAACAAAGCGGTAATCCCCTTGCGCAAACCTTCCCGGATCAGCAAACGTTAAAACACATAGATATAAGATATCACTTTATTCGAGAACTTATTGAATCGCAACAAGCAAAAACAAAAAAAAAATTCCCAAGTTCTTTTAGCGCCCTTTTATAGTGCGACTCTGTTAAAAAAAAGAAAAACAAAAGGGGAAAGTGAAGGAGAGATATGGCACAGGGATTGTTCTAGAATTGTACCAATCCTGCCACCATACATTACCTCACTTTTAAAATACTACTTAATATTCCTTTTTACTTCTTGGCCCATTTGACCACCATCACCACCACCACCATTGCCAATACTTTTCTGTCCTTTCCTTTACTTCTGTTTCCACTATGGCATTTCAGAAGGGCATTTTGATTGTGCCATCTCAAGTGTGTGAATTTTTGCCGGTTGTAAAAATGTACGTTTCAGGTTGAGTTTATTTTGGTTTCTTTTTTCTTTTTTTTTTTTGCTTTGATTTGCCAAAATTTAGGTGTTGCCTTCCGCATGGAGAAATTGTTCCTTCTGCGTGAGTTGCCATTTTCATTTGCGTGTCTTCAAATTGCAACCGAGAACGAGCGGTTAGCGAATTCAATTACCATTTACAACCAAATTCTTAGTCAAGTGTGACATGGTTTACAAATAAACACACATAGAGACACATTTCATTCAAGAGGGGATGAAAATTTTTCTTTCAATTTTTAAATTATTTACTTCTTTCTTTCTTTCTTTTATTACTACAATCAATCAGTTATTAAATTATCAGTTAAGATGGAGTTGAGTTATAGATCATATCAAAAAGTGTTAAATATCGCACTTAAGCCAAAAGCTACCACTAGCTCTTGTTGTAAAAAAGCTACCACCACCACAAATACAAACACAAAAAAAGTAAGCAAGCCAAAGCGTGATGAAAGTCAAATCAAGAGAAGAACCAAAACAGGTTGTTTGACTTGTCGAAAGAGAAAGAAGAAGTGTGATGAAGATAAAGTTAATGGTAAATGTCAAGCTTGTACAAGAAACTTTTTAGACTGCTGCTGGCCGGATCCAAATGCTATCAAACCAAAGAATAAGAAACAAGCCCAAGAACCAAAACCAAAACCAAAACCAACTGAACCTCTTAGTCCATCAATGAAAGAAGTTACTTCTCCTATAATAAGATCAAAGAAATGTGATATCAACTATTTACTACATCCAGAACAACCAAAGCCAGAAGCTGCTGCAGAACCAAAGGTTTTCATTCCATATCCAAGTCCTACATTATCACCTGTTTTCAGTGAAGCTAAACCAGCAACTGAAGTTAGTCATTTCGCTCTTTCGCCGATTTACAATGTCAATTATAGACATCAAAGTAAGGACAGTAATGTTAGATCTTTATAGGTATTTCTTTTCTTTATAGGTATCATAATATATTTTTAATGGCGGTTTATTTTTTATTTTTTTTTTTTTTTCACATTTACCCGCGCGGCAACATTGCCATTAAGCGCCCAATACTCGGAGGGAAACAATAGGCAACAGAGCGAACCTGGAGTCGAGGAGGTCATTGTGTCTGATTGTAATCTCCTCTAGCTTGTCGTCGCAATTGGATAGATGATGCTAGAATATACAGATGTGATAATTATGAAAGTCTCGAGGAATTAGGAAATCAACCATGGTTTGTCTTTTTATTATAGGCGACTTGTTTTAATATTTCAAGTTTTTGACTCATTGTTTATATCTTAATACAATGACGTTAATGGGTATAATTCATAATAGAATATCGTATTATCATGACATACTTGTAAAACAATTATGTATTATATAATCAATTAGAATTTGAAATATTTTTTTTGTACGAATTTGGTAATCAATCTACGATAAATATATAAAAAAAACATTAACCGCGATAACAACTCATTGAGTCCTATCAATATGAAGCATGTAATCATTATCCGTGTTATGTGAATAACGGTCATCACAAATTCAAAGATCAATGAGATTAAAGCAATAAAAACTCAAGGGGTGAGACAATATTGCTGTATACCCCCTCTTTTCCCTTTAAAGTTGAGTGATTTTCGCTACAACGATAGCTGAATATTGCCAGTGATTCTAAGCCAAGTATGTATGGCTCCAACCACAGCTATTGATATTAGTGTGATAGTTTACACTATCAATAGCCAAGGCTTTCTGATCAACCACAATTGTGCCATTCATGGTTGTGAACTGTCATTTACTAGATAAAAAAAAAGGAATTGCACTTCACAATTTGCAGCGAAAACCACGCAACTCAATAGAACAATAGGTAAAGCAAAAAAATAGCAGAAAATTTGAGACACAAGATATTAGTCCGCGCCTCGGGATGCTTACCTTAATTAAAGGAATTAAGAAAAGAAAAAAAAAAATATTTACATATAAATATCAGCCTTTCGAACAGGATACATAAAATTTTCTTTTCGGAATTTTACAGCAAATATATTCCATTATAAAATGAAGAAATTTACTATAAACTTGTCAAATATCCATTGTGATAAATGTGAAGTAGCTATCCGTAAATGTTTACAACAATTTTATAAGATCAGTGATCTGGATGAACCACAAACCTTAACTAATAGACCAGAGATCATATTTAAATTAGTAGATAATGAAGTGATATTATATGGTAATGAAAACATTGATTTCCAACTGAACATTAAGAGAATTATTAAACTGTTGGAGAAAATCGGATTTGAGGTTTTATCTTGGGAGTTAAAGTATGATGATGAAACTATCAGTTCATCACAAATGACTACAATTGATCTCGAGGAACAACACGAACCTGATGGGTTTTTCGATCTTGTTGGATTCTATCATAAGTTTGTTTACAAAAGACACAAGAAGAACCACTTGCATTATTGTAAATCTTGTCAAGATCATGAGAAAAAGAAGCGTGAATCACTGGAAACTGAAGAGTTAAGTAGTGAAGAAACTGTAGTTGAAGTTCCTCAACAAGAATATAGAGCTGCATTTTTGGTCACTGGTATGACATGTTCATCTTGTGTGCAATCTATTTCCGAGAATTTGAAATCCATATTGGGAGATTCAAAAAGTCAAGATGAACCAAATTTTTCAGTCAATATTATTGAACAATCAGTGGTTGCCATTATTCCTAATAAGCAAATTATCAATAGGATCATTGATACAATAAATGATCTGGGATTTGATTGTAAGTTAATTGAAGTCTTACCAGTTGAAAGATCCATAAATACCAAAGTAACTGCATTAATCGGGGGTATGACTTGTTCCGCTTGTGCAATTTCCATTGACAGTGCCGTTAAAGATTTGCCATTTATATTAGAGAGTGGTATTAACGTGGTTACCAAAACCGCTAAATTTGTATTGGAAGATGATAATGGTAAGAATATTGCTAAATTACAAGAAGCTGTCGAAGATTGTGGATTCGATTTCCAATTATTGACTACTGAAAAAGTCAACTACACCTCAGGGAAGCAAAAACCAAGAAGTATCAATTTGAAGATTAACGGGATGTTTTGTACTCATTGTCCTGATATAATTTCGAAATATTTGTCTAGATACGGTGATGCTGTTGTGATCAATGATCCACTTACATTGGATTCACCAGTGGTCAAGTTTACGTATTTACCACTGGCTTCAGTTACTGCAAGAAAGATTTTATTTGACTTGAATCATATTAGAGATGATGGTGATGATGGATATGTTATCGATGAAGATATAAATGGTCCCTTTGAATGTGAAATTATTAAACCTGTTTCTGTGGATGAACATGTGAGAAAGTTGGCACGTCGTGAAGTACTTGGTATTGCTATCAGATTATTGATTGCTTTTGTGTTTGTTATCCCAACATTCATTTTTGGTATTGTTGCCATGTCATTGTTACCAAAATCCCACAGATTTAGAATTTGGGTTGAAGATCCAATTTGGGCCGGTAATGTCTCCAGAAATACTTGGATTTTATTTATCTTGGCCACTCCGGTGTATTTTTTTGCAGCCGATACTTTTCATAGAAAGGCAATCAAAGAAGTTAAATCTTTATGGTTTCACAAGAATTCATTTAAAGCAAGACTTTTCAAGTTTGGATCTATGAATTTGTTAATGAGTTTAGGTACATCTGTTTCTTATTTTGCAAGTATTGTATTAATTGGTTTAAGTGCTCGTCAAAAACCAATGACTCATCATGGTTTCCATACTACTTATTTTGATTCAGTTGTGTTCTTAACATTCTTTTTATTGATTGGTAAATTATTGCAAAGTTATTCCAAAACCAAAACTGCTGATGCAATCTCACAGTTGGCCAATTTAAAACAATCTGAGGCCACATTAATTGAGGAAGATGGCAAAGATGTTGTTATTGATCTTCAATTATTAGAAATTGGTGATCAAATAAGAATTGGGTCGGGTGAATCTCCACCAGTTGATTGTGTTTTAGTGGATGGTGAGTCAGAATTTGATGAAAGTGCACTTACTGGTGAATCTACTCCAGTTAAGCATATAGAAGGTCATCAAATATTCTCAGGTACTGTCAACATTGGAAATAATTCAGTCGTAGGTAAGGTCACCAGCCTTGAAGGTGATTCATTGTTAAATCAAATTGTCAACACTGTTAGAGATGGTCAATTAAGAAAAGCACCAATGGAAAGAACTGCTGATTTAATAACTGGATATTTTGTTCCATTTATTGTCGGCTGTGCTATTGTCACTTGGGTGATTTGGTTAATATTGGCTTATTCAGGGGCACTTCCAGATAGTTATTTAGATATTGATGTCGGTGGTTGGACTGTTTGGTCACTTGAATTTGCTATTGCTGTATTTGTCATTGCTTGTCCATGTGGCATTGGTTTGGCTGCTCCTACTGCATTGTTTGTTGGTTCTGGGTTAGCTGCCAAAAGCGGTATTCTTGCCAAAGGTGGTGGTGTTGCTTTCCAAGATGGAGCAAATGTCAATATTGTATGTTTTGATAAGACTGGTACTTTGACGAGAGGTGAATTAACGATCACCAACTTTAATTTCCCAGAAAAGAATGATATAATGAAGAAGATTGCTTTACAAGTTGCTAGAGATATGGAAGTCTCTTCACAACATCCATTAGCCAGAGCTATTAAGTCATTCATTGAGTCATATAGCAAAGGATCATTAACAGGAAACAAGGTTCCTCAAGTCGAAACAGTTCCTGGTAGAGGTTTAAGAGGTGACATCATCTACGATGAAACTGATGAATTTTGGAATCAATACAAGCCAACAAAGGCTATTCTTGGTAATGAAAAACTAATGGAAGAAAATGGAATTGAATTTACCACTAGTCAAAAGGAATTCTTAACTCGATGGAAATCTGAAAGCAAATCTGTTATTTTAATTGGTTTACAATGTGAAGAGTATTTTAAGGACAACAAATTCCACTTGGTGTTAACTATGGCAGCTCGTGATCAATTAAGGCCAGAAACAAAGAAAGTTGTTGAATTTTTACAATCTAGCAGTATTGAGTGTTGGATGATTACTGGTGATAATAAACTTACTGCTGATGCCATTGCAAAAGAAATTGGAATTGATAATGTTGTCAGTGAAGTGTTGCCAGATGAAAAGGAATCACAGATTAAGAAAATTCGTCAATTAAGACTGGGTGATAAGAAAAAACCTATTATAGCTATGGTGGGTGATGGTATCAACGATGCACCAGCATTAGCTGCTGCTGATGTTGGAATTGCGTTATCTTCAGGTGCTGATTTAGCAGTTACTTCAAGTGACTTCATTTTGCTTAATAAGTTACACCCATTGGTCAGTCTTGCTACACTTTTGGAAATTTGTCATAAAGTGTTCAATAGAGTTAAACTTAATTTTGGTTGGAGTTTGGTATACAATATGGCTGCGCTTCCTATTGCTGCTGGTGTTATTTATCCATACAAGAATTCCAGATTGGATCCAGCTTGGGCTGCAGCTGCAATGGCTTTATCTTCAGTCAGTGTTGTAATGAGTAGTTTGGCTTTGAAACTATATAGACCAAAGTTGAAGCCAGAAGATTTTGGATTGGATAATGAAGAACAAGAAGAAATTTTACCAGAAGAGGAGGAATAGTTGCAAAATATATAATGCCTGAATGTATCCATTCGTTTATTTTTATTTTATATATATATATATTCACAAATCTCAAGCAAAAACGTCCTTGTCGAGTTTTATCACCATTACAGTGACATTGTCCGTTGTTGATAATTCTATAGCTAGTTGACAGAGTTTCTTAGCAGCTTGTACAGGAGTTAATCCTTGTTTGAATAAACCCAGTACTACCTTACATGCATGGGAATCTGACATTACATCCCAGACACCATCACATCCTATAATAATAAATTCATCATCTGGTGTAATTTCCGTTGCTGTAGTAAAAGGAATACCGATAACTAGCAGTTTCATGTATGTATCTCCCAAAGATCTGGTTACTGCCAACACACCATTTACTCTATTTTTCAATACCAAACCTCCATTATCTTCAATCCTACTAATTTCATGAATATCAGTAGCTTTATGATCATATGACAATCGATACGCCTTCCCCGCACGATAAAGTACTATTCGCAGATCACCAACATTTGAAGTATACAACATTCTTTTATGATTTTCAGTTGGTTTAAAATCAAACTTCCCACCATTTTCTGTTTTTGTATGCACTACAGGTTCATCAATACTACTTTCCCAACGAAGAACAGCTACTGCTGCAGTACATCCTGATTTTCCTTGTCCACTTTTTTCGATCAATTCATCTGCTTTAACAAAACATTTGTACAAATCATCTCTTAAATCATTTTTACCTGTAATTGGAGTCGATGGTGGACTACTAGAATTATCGTTACTTTTTTCAATTTCTTCCTCTAATAAAGTATGCAAGTTATTACCACACCAACGTGCAGTGTCTTTACCGGCATGGCCGTCAAAAATCGCAAAATATCCCCAGTCTACTCTTTCAGCAAAATTAGCAATATAGGTATGAACATCTTCCATTTTATTTCTAAATGTCGTGTTCTTATTCTCAGCCACTCCCACTTTGAATGACAAACCTAGAAACGGATCATATTCTGATTGGGTCGTGGAGTTGGGTGTAGTAGATTTGGTATTGTGCGAAGGTGAAGATGAGTCAATAGTACGATTTGTGTCCTCATCATAATTATTACCTAACTGTGGCACTGAAGATGAGGATTGTATTGGTGGTGTAGCCGTTGTGGTTGTAGTTGATGTATATTTTGGGTTATTGGATTCAGGTGCTGCCGATGACATTACTTGCTATGCATAAAATCAATACTATAATAAAATGAAATAATAGAAAAAAAAAACAGACTCCTTTAATATATAGATATGAGAAGAATGAAGATGCCTTGTTGTATCAGAATTTATTGTTCACGAGACACCTTTTTTTGATGTTTATTTTTAGTTTTTTATCAAGTTTTTTTCTTTGTTGTTTGTTTCATAATTTATTTTTTTTCTCCCTCTCTCTTGTCACAATAAAATTTCCTAATTTCGATGTATTACATAATCACACTTTGACATAATTGGCACGTGATGTGTTTATAAAAACGTAATATAAGAGAAACTCATTTTCATTACTCAATTTCCATACACAATAAACTGACCAATAAATATCTTAACAGGTTCAATGATTATAGATAAAAGTAATGTAATTGGTTGATTAATAATCATTTAATTTTACTTGACCATAACTTCATCTTATACACTTCAAAATTCTGAGGGGGTCATGTACTTTGAATTTACTTCTCTGAAAGATGGAGGTCGATTCTACCCCTATATATGTAAATCCTTCTAGGAGCTTCTAATCGCCGATATCAAAACAAATAGAAACCAAAAGAATTCACTCGAATGGTAAGGAATTTATTCGAGCCGATATTTCGGAACAGTCATCCATGATTCAGCCTTTCGCCGAGTTAGAATGACATATCATGTAAAATGAGAAGTGGCTGTTACCGTCATTCTGAACCTAGCTCCATGAATAGAATATTCTATGCATATTACCGTCTCCTTTTGGTTTTTCCGACTTAGTTCTGGGTTCTATAATCACATACTTAACACTTATTGTTATACACCAAAAACCGAAACATATATACAATATAGGTATTTCCGATATGCACGATAGTTTAAATCCAGTTTTCCTTTTGTCTATCTTTTTTTTTCTGTATTTCCATGGTGCAGCATCAAACAAAACCCTATATGTGTTCAAATGGTTAGGTGTCATGATGATTGATTCTATCACTAAGCCAACAGGGTTTGATTACTTTGCATTTCACTAATCAAGATCTCAAAATATACTTTATATTTGTCGCTAGAAATGATAGTAAGCCAAAAAAAAAGAAAGGAACCCGCTAAGCTCCAGGGCGAGTTTTTTTTTTTTTTATTTTTCCTTTTTCCCTATATACATTTGTCGACCTACAGATATCTAAAATATTATTGAGGATTCTTTTTCAATCGTGCGTCAGGAGTGATGCTTCTCTCCCACACAATGCAAAATAATAAAACGATTATTAATCTCACTTTCTTTTTTTATCTATTTCCACCATATCATACTCTAACCTTCTTTGTCCACCCCCAATTGAGGATGTTGGTTGATCATTACTTTAATTTTTCTTAGTTTTTTAGTCTGCCGCTTTGGATGATTAATGATGAGCTATTACGTTTTTGCAAATAACTTATAGCCGATCCTACTTGAATATAAATTCAAACCACTTTGTCTTGGAGATTGGGATATTTCAAAATTGAATAAATTGAAAGATGAAAGTATTACCGAATTAGTTTTAATTATTTTATATATCACAACCATCAAAACATATAATTTACTTTCAACCCACTCCCCGTTTTTCCCATACAATGGCAAGAGCAACTATATGCGATGAATTGAATATTAATTCCAGATCTGATGTTGATAAATACATTGCTGGACTATATGCAAGATTCACATTCCCAACTCCTGAACCAGCCACTATTGAAAATTTACCAACATCATCATTGATTCAGATTTGTTCATATTTGCAACCAAATGAACTCGTGAATTTGGCTGTTTCATCCAGAATTTGGTATTTCCCTGCAATTAAAGCATTATACAAGAAGATTGTTGTCACTGACAATTTAGATGCATTACACTCAGTAAAGATTACTATTTCTAAAGGTTTTAAAAATTGTGGTACAGTTATCTCAGCATCCCAATTCCAAGAATTGTTGTTGACTATTAGCTCCAATCCTTATTTGGCATCATTTGTTAAATCATTGACATTGAATATCAGTGAGGAAACTATCAATTTGATTCCCTTGTTGTCCAATATTCCAGGTTTACAGCTTAGAACTTTGATTGCTCCTCGTATTCCTATTTCATATTTTACAAAGAGAAACAATTGGGATTTAAGAAATGTTAAACGATTAGCTGTTTCCATTAAAAGTGTCAGTCCCGATGCATTATGTTTTCCACAATTGGAGAGTTTGAAGATTTACTACAGTCAAAGCCAACACGACCAAAAGAATTTAAGAAGACTTGGTAAGATGTTACGTAAAGGCAGATCATTAAAGAGGTTACATGAACTAGAATTTGTTGAGAATTCTTGTAATGCAAAATTAGCATTACTTAACATTTTTAATGATGAGTTGGACATGAATTCCTTACCATCATGGACACACTTTTTCGATTACATAATTAAAGGCAAGAAACCAAAGAAATTGAGATTGGATTCTTTGGCAATTGAAGGATTTGTTGGTGATAAAGCAGTTCAATGTGTTGAAAAGTTATCCGAGGCAGTTGAATTATCTGAACTTTTCAATTTACAATTACACATTAGGGAACAAAGTCAAACTCAATCTACAGCATCATTAAATTCAATTCAAGACAGTGCTGGTCAATTTCTCGATTTGATTACTCAAAAAACTCCATCGTTAGAAAGTTTGGCCATTACACCAACTACAAATTTCTTGCTTCTCCAAAAGGATTCAATTGTTAAAACCTTGACTGTTAATTTAAGACATCAACTTAAAAATCTTCTGTTGGTTTATGAGAGTGTTTCAACTGGACATTCCCAAATTGTTCACGAGGCAATTTGCAAGTATCAAAGCAAAATGGAAAGATTGTTGATAAATGATAAATCCACTGAAGCCATTGATAGACAACTTTTGTTCAAGTGCATTCAATCAAATCCAGCATTATTGAAACTTTATGAACATGGATTGATGTATGAACAAATGCTTATTGACTTGTTATTCAGTGATGTTTTCTTGACTGATTTCTTGAAATTGGATGAAAATTTTATTGTCAATGATCATATGTTACAATTTATTGAGAAAACTTCTGGTAAAGGATTGAATGACTTTTTATGGTGTTTTTTAAACTTCAATTTTAGTCCGGTGGTTTCTCATAATTCCCAATTGATTGAACAATTAAGGCATTTGCAATATTTGAATGTTTTGGGAATTAGTCTTGTGGTTCGTTTCTCCAACGGTCATTTAAATCATCAATTGCATGAATTATATTACAATACCAATGGTAACATGTCCATTTATAGTGGTTTAGCTTTGGCAAATTAGTTTGATTAGCTGCTTGATTTCTTTTGTTTTTTTTTTTGTATTATAATGCTCTTATACACAGGGTATTTTGGAGGTTCATTTTTATTTCTATTTCTTTAAAAGAGCAAAAAGGTTTTTAAAAAATAAAATGTTTGATTTTTTTTAGGTATTATTTTGTTTATTTCAAAAAAAAAAGTATTGTTTCTATAGGGTCTTTATTTTGAAAATAAATGTATATTAAATGATTTGAAAAATCGATATCAGTCACATTTTGCATGTTAAAAATTCAATCAAAATGAGACAACTCAAAAATTAAGTGAAATCAAAACAAAAGCGAGAAAATAAAAAAAATTTTTTGAACTAAAATTCTAAGTCATAACAGGATCAAATCAAAAAAAAAACACTACTGAATCTATCCTAGTTACAATAACCAACCAACAAACTATAAAATTGTGGTTAAAAAACTATAAAAAGATTTCCTAATTGATAAAAACCAATGGTACGACCTACATCTGATCATTATAGGATATTAGGCGTTGCACCTAATGCAACTTTAGATGAGATTAGAAAAGCATTCAAGAAATTGTCTTTAAAATTTCACCCAGATAAAACACCCAACGTAGAAGATCATGAGAAATTTAAGGCTATTAATGCTGCATATGAATTGATTAAGAATTATATGGAGAATCCCGAACAAGATAATCCAACACCATCTCCTATGAATAATTACATGCCACAGCAATATCCCCACGGGTTTACATTTGCTCGTCCACAATACGAAGCTCCGCGTCCCACTCATACAGAGTATGCAAAGAACTATTATAGCACATCAACAGCATCTACAACTACCAACACTAATACTAATCCTAGACCAACTGCCACAAACAATGGGTTCCCGTATTATCATATGTTCAATAAATTTGGTGAAGAAGCTCAACAAAGAAAGGATTTTCAAGAACGTAATGCACAATTCGAAAGAATACGGCGTGAAATGCTTGAACGAGATAAAGCCTCTGAAGCACAACGAAAGAGAGAAGCTGAAGAAGCAATTCGAAGAAGACTTGAAGAAACACAAAGAAGAAAAGCAGCTGCTCGTAAATTAGATGAAGTTCGAGAATCCGTTCAAAATGCTTACAAAACGAATCTTGCAGAAGCAGCAAAGCAAATGACGGCGGAGGAAATCAAAAGGGAAGAAGAACGAAGGGTAAAGGAGGACGAAATCGCCACAGAACAAGCAAAACCAGTAAAAGAGGAAAGAACCGCACAAGCTGAATCTATCAATAAACAACCAGGGTATACCATGGATGATGATGAGTACGATCCTAGTTATATGCCATCTTCAACCTTTTCTCGTAGTCCAACACGAGAAACTACAGACAATGGGAAATCAGATAGGATTGATACTTCGACAAACGGCGGTGATGCTAGCGGTAGTAAAATTTCTGAACCTATTCTTGTTAGTGATTCTGAATTGGATGATACATTTAAATATGGTGACAATGAGGAAGAAGAAGAAGAAGAAGGTGATTTGTACGATCCACTGAAAGATATTCCTACAATACCCAGTTTCAGACGACACCTGTCGCTATCAAAATCACAAAATAAAAGAAGAAAGTTTAACGCAGCTGATGGGGCTGGACGTGGATTTAATGCAAGCGATCCCATTGTATTGGAAGAAAATTTGGATAAAAAAGGGACTATTATCCCAGATATAATTCTGTTACTGGATGATGACAAAGATGATAATGATGACACTAATACTACAACAGGGAATGTTCCTCTGTCTTCAGTGGATAATTCGATGGATAAAGGGAAATATAATACAAAGTACACCACACCTCCATTAGGACTGTCGTCTGAAGGTATTCATCGTCATGATGAGCCGATGAAAGACATTCACGCCGAAGATGATGATAATGAAGAATATGATCCAAGTGCTGTGCCTATAACTCAGGGGGCTCGGTCAGTTAACTGGAACCAACTGAATTATAAAGATGAAGAAACCAGATCGACCAGTGAGAAATCTTCTGAAAGGAGAAATTCGGATTGTAGTGGATACAACCCATCACCGGCTGATGCATCAATAAACCATCCAGTTTATAATCAATCCCGACCTCATCCAACGACTCCACATAAAAGATCAAAAATTTCTTCCAATGGTGGTGCATTCAATTTGAATGATCTAGAATCAAAATTGGGTAAAGACATAGAAGAGGTTGATTTCAAGGATCTTTATGAAAGTTTACCAAGTCAAGGGAAAAGGCAATCAACTAATAATAATCTAACTCAGCACAAAAGAAGGGCTTATGTGTATAGTGATGGGCGTTCTAGAGCTGAAACATTGGCAACCCCATTGAATAAGAATTCTGTCCGTGGGCATAGTACAAAGAAAAAACTTACAATGTTGGATATGCATGCGTCTAAGAATATTAGAGGGATTGTTGCACCAACTCCACCACATATGGTTATTCATCCATCGGTTTCTAGACCAGATTGGCAAAGCTATGTAAATGCTATTATCAAATACCAACATGAGTTTATTAACTACAAGAGATTGATTGTTCAGTACCAAAAGGAAAGAATCCTGAAGGATATTGAAAATTTTGATTTGATAAATGATGATGATGTTACTGAAAATTTTGATACATACACAGAGTGTTTGCAACAGGATTATATTGTCATGAATGAATTTCTTGAAGCGTCTCGCCAATTTGGTAATACAATTACAGCGTATCAACAAAATCGTCAATGGATTCAAACTTTTAAGCTGAATAATCCCGAGTGGAACTAACCTTGACTGATGTATATATTTATTATATAGGAAATGTAGTACAAAATAGAAATGACGACAAAGATATAGATTTCATGTGTTATAACAAGTGTAGGTTCCTTCGCCAGGAAACTTGACTATTTGAAAAATAATTGATACTGATAGTTTCAAGCAAGCTAACAATATTGTACGCACTAGAAATGACAGAAGAAAAAAATACAGTTCGTCGTATGTATGAAGCAGCATTATTATTTCCCCTTTTCTTCTTTTTTTCTTTTTACTTCAACAGTCCATGAATTCAACTCCTCCAAGAAAGATTAATAGGATATCATTCCTGGATCAAGGGTTTAGTATTGGTGATTCTGAATTAAATGCACCTGGATCATCTATTCAAAGATCGCATTGGAAACCACAATCATCTGCGACAAAATGCAAGTTGTGTGATAAAACGTTGAGTGTTAAGAATGGTATCGTTAATTGTCGAAAATGTGGCGATTTATTTTGTAATGATCATACTCATTATAAAGTACGATTGAGAAATCCTAATAAAGATGAAAAGATCCCACAGTATGATTCTAGTGGTGTCTGGTGTAGATGTTGTGAGACTTGTTATTTTGATAAACAGCACGTGGAGATCAATAGTATTGATTTAACTCAAGAATTCAAACTCAGTCGGCAATCAAAAGTAGAATCCGAGCAATTGAATAGGACAAAGATACAAAGGAATTTCATTAAATTGACGAATCTTCTAACAGAAAAGTCGTCCGTTGATAATATTGTGAATTGGTCCCCAGATTCCAGTAACTGCTCCATCTGTTTTGTTAAATTTAATTTGTTTATACGAAGACATCATTGTCGATTATGTGGAAGTGTTGTATGTGATGATCCAGAAGGAATACGTAAAGGATGTTCCATGAATGTTCCATTAGTTAGGATAGTGGAAAAATTGCCAAAGCTAAATTACCAAAGAAAACCCCTGGAAGACGAACAAATCAAATTTCGATGTTGTGTCAACTGCAAAAATGCGTTATTATTTGACTGGAAAAGAGACACTGATACCTATAATCCTATTTTCGGTATTTATGACTCAATGTTGTTGCAAAAACAACAGATCGAAAGGATCATCCCACAATTTGAAGCCCTTGTTAAGGACACCAAAGAGCCACTTAAACTAAGAACAAAATTGGTACAATGTTTGAAGGATTTAGAAGATTCCTTATATCAATTTCGAAATCAGTTCTACTATAAAGAAGGGGAGATATTGTTAGTCCAGCTGGAGTATACTGCTTACGATAAACTAGTAACTAATATTTACCAATCAATGGCTGTATTCCTTCAAGATAATCTAGTGAAATATAAACAGATTGCTGATACTTATAAACAAAACTCTCCTGCTCCTCCTACTCCACCACCACCACCAAGATTGACGAAAAAACAAATTCGAGAAATGAGAGAACAGTTGATGGTTATGAATGAGCAAAAGTTTCTAGTGGAGAAACTTATCAAGGATTATACCAAACAAAGAAGGTTTGATGAGTTGGATACTTTGATTTCGAATAAGACTGAGCTTGAGGAAACTATTAAGAGCTTAGAAGAAGAACTAGGCGAATTTGGTTTTTAGTTTGTATACTAACTAAAGTTACAATATAAAAAAAAGAATAGATATTCATACCAAAAGCTACGTCACAAGTTTGCTTTGTAGAATGCGTATAACCACGATGGTTGTAAAAAAAATCTAAACAACCAAAATTTAAAGAAGTGATTTCGTGTAGCGCGTATGTTTAGCAACACAAAAAAATTTCTTTGAAAAAAAAAAAAAAAAATACACCACAAGGTTCTTTGGCGTTGTTCTTTTTCTAATTTCACAGCTTTACTTTCCATTCGTTTCGAAGCATATTATTAGAAATACCTCCAGCTATAAGATGAATAAGAACCGTCAATTATTGGTCATAATAGGAATACTTTTCCACCTTTTCTACTTATGGTCAATATTCGATATTTACTTCGTGTCACCATTGGTTCATGGTATGGATCATCATAAATCAACATGGACCCCACCAGCAAAAAGATTATTTTTGATCGTTGGTGATGGGTTAAGAGCAGATAAAACATTTCAGAAATTGACTCATCCAAGAACTGGAGAAGAAAAATATTTGGCACCTTATTTACGTAGTCTTGCATTAAATAATGGTACTTGGGGTATTTCCAATACTAGAATGCCAACTGAGTCAAGACCAGGTCATGTGGCAATGATTGCAGGATTTTATGAGGATGTGAGTGCAGTTACCAAAGGATGGAAGGAAAATCCTGTTGATTTTGATTCATTTTTCAATCAATCGAAACATACATATTCATTCGGGCTGCCAGATATTTTGCCAATGTTTGCATTTGGTGATGGTGTTGTTCCTGGCAGAATAGATGTCTGTATGTATGGTCATGAATTTGAAGACTTCACTGCTAGCTCTATTGAATTAGATGCATTTGTTTTCCACCATTTTGATGAATTGTTGAATAACCTGACAACCAACAAGACATTGGATAATGAATTAAGACAAGATGGAAACGTGTTTTTCTTACATTTATTAGGTCCTGATACCGCTGGTCATGCATACCGTCCGTATTCGGCTGAGTACTATGAAAATATTGAATATATTGACAGAAAATTGGAAGAATTGGTCCCACAAATCAACGAATTTTTTGGTGATGATCAAACTGCGTTTGTATTCACTGCAGATCATGGTATGTCCGATTTTGGATCTCATGGTGACGGTCATCCAGATAATACCAGAACTCCATTAATTGCTTGGGGTGCTGGGGTTAAGAGACCAATTCATTTGAAAGATGTCAGTAATTTGGAAGAACAGTTAGAAAAGCAAGATATTGTCAAAAGTGGATTTGAACCAACTTATTTCGATAGTTGGGAATTGGATCACTTGGTGAGAAACGATGTCAACCAGGCTGATATTTCCTCTTTGATGGCATATTTAATAGGGTCAAACTATCCAGCTAACTCTGTTGGCGAATTACCATTGGGCTATATTGATGCAGACTCAGTAACTAAAGTTAAAGCATTATACGCCAATGCCATGGCTATTGTGGAACAATATTTTGTTAAAGAACAAGAAGTGTATAACCACCAGTTCAAATTTAAGCCTTATAGCCCATTTGAGGAAAAAAGCATCAAACAATACCAACAAGAAATTGAATCTTTAATTGGTCAATTGGAATCAGAAGACAATAGTGAAATTGAAGTTAAGGTTATTAAAGTTACTGAAGAGTTGATGAAGAAGACTTTGGATGGTTTAACATATTTGCAAACATATAATTGGTTGTTACTTAGATCTATTGTGACATTAGGCTTCTTTGGTTGGATTGTTTATTCATTTAATCTTTTCTTAAAATTATTTATCTTGCATGAGAAGGAATTGTTGGAGCTCGCTCCTGAATTCTCATTACCTTTGGCTGGTTCTTTTGGTGCATTAGGCTTATCCATTAATTATTTGTTGTTCTACCAAAACTCGCCATTCAATTATTACATGTACGCAGCATTCCCATTGTACTTTTGGTACACTATAATTAATGAAAGAAAATACTTATCGACGGGCATCGAGTCATTCCTTCATGGTATTTCAGTAACTACAAAGTTATTGATTGTTGTTTCATTCATTGGAATGTATGAAGGTATCGCCTATGGATTTTTCAACAGGGCAATGTTTTCTGTCATCTTCACCATTATTGGAGTTTACCCATTCTTAGTTCAAGGATCTAACAAAATTTCAGGATTGATGAAATCCATTTGGTTTGTTAGTTGTTTGTTGATGTGTGTCTTTACAAACTTGGATCCAGTTAAGGTTGAAAACTTATTTCAAATTCATCTTGGAAGTGTCTTGGCACTTACTGTTGGTATAGTTGCTACCAAATACGTCTTTAGGAACAGTGATATTGGGTCTGTTTCTAGACATCTCGTAATTGCACAAATAGTTGCCATCCCAGTTATGGTCTATGCTACCAACGTGTCAATTTTATCCTTGCAAGCTAGAACTGGGTTGCCCTTGCACTCACAAATCTTAGGTTGGGTTACCTTCATTGTTTCGTTGATTGTTTTACCTTTGTTGCATTCTATGAGTCCTTCTAAGGATTACCGATTGAGGATGTTGATTATCTACTTGATGTTTGTTCCAACGTTTGTCATTTTGACTATTTCCTTTGAATTGTTGTTCTATGTTGGATTCTCGTTGATCTTGTTGCAGTGGTTATCTATGGAAGAATTGTTAAAATTTTCTCACAAAGAATTAGTTGAATCTCATGAAAAGACTGGCAGATTACCAGAAGGATACTGGTTACAAGTTATCCGTATTACAATCATTGGATTCTTCTTTTTGCAATTGGCTTTCTTTGGTACTGGTAATGTTGCTTCAATTTCATCCTTTTCATTGGATTCGGTTTATCGTTTGATTCCTATTTTTGATCCATTTTCTATGGGAGCATTGTTGATGGTTAAGTTGATTATCCCTTACGTTTTATTATCTACATGTCTTGGAATTATGAATCATCAATTGGAGATCAAGAAATTCACCATCAGTACATTGATTATCTCAACAAGTGACTTTCTATCTCTAAACTTCTTCTTTTTAGTTAGGACAGAAGGAAGTTGGTTAGATATTGGTGTTTCAATTTCAAACTATTGTTTAGCCATTTTAAGTTCATTGTTTATGTTGATTTTAGAGTTTGTCAGTTCAATTATGTTAAGTGGTGTTGAGTATGATAGTAGTAGCGGTACAAAATTGAACTATGAACCAATTAGTCATAGGGTTAGGAAAAGAAAAGTTACATAGAGTCATTCATATAATTTATAGGTACACATATATCTTGGTGTATTAGGTATTTGTCTTGTAGCAGTTAGTTGTTGTTCCGTATTGAAATATGACTCAAAAAAATTTGTATGTGTACGGAAACTGCATCCCCCCATAATGTACACGGAAAAAAAAAAAAAAGAAAAACCAGTTTAGTAGTGAAAAATTTTTTGAGTATTATCTACACAGAGAGTAACCACTATTAATAATCATTACCATGACTACTGAACCTTCTAAAAGACATGTTTTAATGATCGATAATTACGATTCCTTTACTTGGAATTTGTATCAATATTTGTATCAATCTCCAAAATGTGGTAAAGTTGATGTTTTCAGAAACGATAAAATCACAATTTCTGAAATTGAAAATAAAATCAAACCCGATATAATTTTTATTTCCCCAGGTCCAGGACATCCACTTACTGATTCCGGTATTTCTAGAGATGTTATTAAACATTTTGCTGGTAAGATTCCTATCTTTGGTGTTTGTATGGGACAACAATGTATCTTTGAAGTTTTTGGTGGAGATGTGTCATATGCTGGAGAAATTGTCCATGGTAAAACTACTACCATCAAACATGATAGCAAGGGTATGTTTGAAGATGTTCCACAATCTGTTGCTGTTACTAGATACCATTCTTTAGCTGGTAGTTCCAAGACTTTACCGGATGTTTTGGAAGTTACTGCAGTTACTGAAACTCAACCTGAAATTATTATGGGTGTTAGACACAAGAAATATACCATTGAAGGTGTTCAATTCCATCCTGAATCTATCTTAAGTGAAAGTGGTCAATTAATGATTAACAATTTATTGGGTGTTTACGGAGGTACCTGGGTAGAAAATGAATCTATCAAGAAGGGTAATGTGATTAAAAAGAGTGAGAATATCTTGACCAAAATTTACAAACAAAGACAATTAGATTATGAAACCATTGAAAAATTACCTGGTAAATCATTTGAAAATTTACAAATTGAATTGAATTTGGATATTGCTCCACCATTGATTAATTTTTATGATCGTCTCAAATACACTCAATCTACTTTAAACCAAACCATCATATTATCTGAATTCAAGCGTGCCAGTCCATCAAAAGGTGATATTAATATCAATGCTCATCCAGCCAATCAAGCTTTAACTTATGCAACCAATGGATGTTCGGCAATTTCTGTTTTAACTGAACCACATTGGTTCAAAGGTTCTTTAGATGATTTATCTTTGATTAGAAAAGTTATTGACAAACCATCAACTTCTGATTACAAGCGTCCAGCCTTGTTGAGAAAAGAATTTGTTTTCAGTAAGTATCAAATCTTGGAAAGTAGATTAGCAGGTGCTGATACTATTTTATTAATTGTTAAAATGTTGAATGATGAAAAATTGTTACACGAATTATATGAATATTCTTTAGATTTGGGTATGGTACCATTAGTCGAAGTCAACAACAGTAAAGAATTAAAACAAGCATTGAAATTAACTTATAAAGGAACTACTGAAGATGGTTTGATAATTGGTGTCAATAACCGTAACTTGACTACCTTTGATGTTGATTTAAACACTACTAGTTCCTTGGTTGATGAAGCTAAAAACAGTGATAGAAAGGGTGATGTATTAGTATTGGCATTATCGGGAATAAGCTCGGTTGATGATGTCAAGAAGTACAAATACGACGATCATGTTGATGGGTTCTTAATAGGAGAAAGCTTAATGAGAGCTGAAGAAAAAGGTGAAGCCGGTAAGTTCTTACACGATTTATGTACTTGTTAAAGATAGAAGAACTATAAAATAGAGTTGTTCTTTTGTCTATTGTCGTTTGATTTACATAGACTGATGGTATAGCAAAACAAGTTATAATGCATCCACAATAATTTAAGATGTAATATGATATCATTTTTACAACTCTCTTAATCCCATTGGTTTTTAATGGAAACCTGGGTATTATACAGGTTTAGCAACGCAAGCGTTGCCTCCTTTCCACATCGCAAATCTGCAATTCCCGAAAATTTGCAACTACTTTCGCGGGTTAAGAAATGCGGAAATAACCCACTATAGAAGATGTCAAAACCTCTTATGACAGTATTTCCAGAAAATCAATATAAATAAGACTCCCTAATTCTTCTTTAAGCAAAAAAATGTGTCTCGTATCAATCAACTCATATCAGTATGAATTATCGGTTTGTTAGAGATAGTTTTGTTGGTAGGTTAATTTATCATTTATCATCGCACAAGTATTTTTCATATCCAGAGGAGGCTTTGGATTATGTTGTTCCCCCAAAATACTGTGTTAATTCATCAACTGAAAAATTACCCAGTGATAATGTTGAGCCAGTGATTGTTACTTGGGATGGTGAAGATGATCCAGAAAACCCGATCAATTGGACAGGTACCCAAAAGGGTTTCTTTATTTTCCAGATTTCTTTCTTAACTACATCTGTATACATGGGTTCTGCTGTTTATACTCCTGGTATTGAGGAATTAATGCATGATTTAGGAGTTGAACGAGTGGTTGCTACTTTACCATTAACTTTATTTGTAATCGGTTATGGCGTTGGTCCTTTGATATTTAGTCCAATGTCGGAAAATGCCATATTTGGTAGAACATCGATTTATATTGTCACATTAACAATATTTGTCATTTTGCAAGTTCCAACAGCATTAGTTAAGAATATTGCAGGATTGTGTATTTTGAGATTCTTGTGTGGGTTCTTTGCTAGTCCTTGTTTGGCTACTGGTGGAGCCAGTGTTGCTGATATAACTCGTTTATGTAATCTTCCACTTGCAATTTCTTGTTGGAGTATGGCTGCAGTGAGTGGTGCAAGTTTTGGTCCCTTTTTTGGTTCTATATTAACTGTCAAAGGTGGCTGGCATTGGACCTTTTGGTTTATGTGTATTGTCAGTGGGTTTTCTTTGTTTACTTTGTCATTCTCACTTCCAGAAACTTTCAGCAAGACATTACTTCGTCGTAAGGCACAAAGATTAAGAAAAATTTCTGGCAATAATCAACTTAGAAGTGAAGGTGAGATTGAAAATTCCCAAATGACTTTCAACGAATTAGTTGCCGATACATTATGGCGACCATTGGAAATAACCATTATGGAACCTGTGGTTTTATTAATTGATCTTTACATTGCTTTGGTTTACAGTATCGTGTACCTTTTCTTTGAAGTTTTCCCTATATATTTCATTGGAGTTAGAGGATTTACAACTATTGAACTTGGGTGTACATATTTTGCTTCGGTTTCTGGTGTAGTTATTGCTTGTTCCTTCTACATTCCTATTATTCGACACCAATTCACAAAGCCAATTTTGCGTAAAGAAACAGTTTATCCGGAGGTTTTCATTCCTATGGCAATAGTTGGTGGGGTTTTGTTATCGGTAGGCTATTTCATATTCGGCTGGTCAGCTACAAGACATACCCATTGGATTGGGCCTTTGATTGGTGCATCCATAAACTCAATGGGAACATTTTTGATTTTCCAAACGTTGTTTAATTTTATGGGTGCTTCATTTAAACATGAATATATTGCTTCAGTATTTGCATCCAACGATTTATTTAGATCCGTTGTTGCTTCGGTTTTCCCCTTATTTGCCAATCCATTGTTCAACAATTTAGCCACAAAAGAGTTCCCAATAGGCTGGGTGTCGAGTGTGTTGGGGTTTATAGCAGCTGCGATGATTTCAATCCCTGTATTGTTTTATTTGAATGGTCCTAAATTAAGAGCTAGATCTAAATACGCAAAGTAGTTAATGGTTTTAGTGTTGCAAAAATCCTTTGAAAGGAGCGTGTAGTGTAATTTTGTAAGTATTTCCTAATTGGGTTAAATTAATCTGCATGTAATAACGTGGAATATTACACGAAAAAAAATTGTGACACGAAAAATATAAATTTTTCAAAGTTTTATTTACGTGTTTTGTAACTCGTGAACAATTTTTTTTTTTGTTCTACATCATCACGATCAACTTATATAAGATGTGATTCCCTAGCCAGCTAAAACCAAAATGTTATAAATTAAATTGAAATTGTCTTTCTTTTTTGAATTCTTTATTTTTTTTATGTCTATAATCATTGCATCATAATCATTAATTAAAATGAATACTCCATCTAGAAAAAGAACTATTCGTGATATTTCAAATACTCAATTACCATTAACTCCTACTAAAACACCTACCAAGGTTAAAAGAATAAGGCTTGATGAATTTCAAGAACGATCAAAACCAACATGTGTAAAGAAATTGGACTTTTCTTCTATCAATTCAGTCTCAAATACCACCACTACCACAACGATATATTCCCGTGCCAAGGCATTGTTTCAACGTGGTTCTAATTTCAATAAAAATTCAATGCATCTACAGTTGACAAGTAGAGAAACAGAAGCCAAGTATATTAATGATTTTCTTCTGAATAGTATCAGAATGAACACATCCAACAGTTTATACATATCTGGTCCTCCTGGAACAGGTAAAACAGCACAAGTCCAATTATTATTACAACAATATGAAAAATCTTCCTCGATACGCGTGGTGAAAATCAATTGCATGACATTGAATAATCCAGAACAAATATTTCATGAAATTTATTGTAAATTGGTTAACAGATTATCTGTTTCTTTTCATAAACGTAAAACTATGGATGATTTTATTACCTTGTTAAATGATGAAGAAAATCAAGATTTTTCCAATGTGATTGTATTATTAGATGAATTGGATTCATTAATTACTCGTGATCAACAACTTTTATTTCAATTATTTAAAATGGCAAACCTGAAAACCATTCCACTGACCAAGATTAAATTGATTTTACTTGGTATTTCAAATACCTTGGATTTAAGTAACACTTTTTTGCCAAAATTAATTAGAAATAATTTACAATTGGATAGTATACAATTTTTGCCTTATACATCTGATCAAATTAAATCAATTATAATGAACCGATTGTCAAGTTTAGAAGAAGATGTCTTCCACCCTGGTGCTGTTCAATTATGTTGTAAAAAAGCAGCTTCAGTTTCAGGTGATTTGAGAAAAGCTTTTGATATTTGTTATAAATCAATTGAATTGGTTGAAAGACTTAATAAAGGATCTGGGAATACTGGTAAAGTGATGATTCAACATGTGGCCAAAATATGTATTGGTTCATTTGGAAATACTGAAAATCAATTGGTTAATTTGAATTTATTACAAAAAGCAATCTTATGTCAATTATACAATTGTGAAAGACAAATCAAGGCTAAGAATCTTTCCATGAATGTATTTTATGATTTTTACAAGAAGCAATATGAAATGAATAATCTAATTGGTCTGCTAAAATACGGAGAAGTTGTTGAAATTTTACATGCATTAGAAAGTAGTGGTTGTGTTCTCATTTCTAATAGTGGTTCAAGTAAAAATGTCAAATTAAATGCATCTTATAATGATATAGTAAAAAGTATTGAAAACATCGGTATCTTAAAGAAGGTGTTAATAAAAATAGAATAGATTTATAGACTTAACGAATTAATGTATTAATAATGATAGAAATACAATATTGTAGTCTAGGTTATTGTGCAAATGCACGACTTTTGGGGTGGTGTTTGTTTTATATTTTTTTGGTGCATGCACAATTCCATTTTATATACATTTCAGTGTTTCTTGTTTCGTTCACTGAACAACCCAGACCAATTAACTATGTCAAGAGATGGTGTATTTTCTTATGTCCACTTGGATGATCCTAATAAAGTACTATATATGGAGAGGTGGAAAGATGAGCCAATCCCATTTGATGATATTGACACAACTAATTTGATCGAAGCAGTTGTAAATGTATATCCACAATTATTCGCTGAAGATGAAGAAGAAGATGGGATGATATCATTTGCATCTCAACAATTTGGATCCAAAATATATAAAAATAGAAGATCTATTAAACAAAAAACATGGATGGATTTAAATCTACTGAGTTTTCATGATGAAAAGAAAGTGGTGGATAAAACATTAATCCCTGCTGTTGCCGGTGATCCTGATTTAGCTGATTTTTTAAATAATGGATTTAATAGACAAGAATGTCTGATTTTACAATCTCCTATCCCACATAGTGATGTTTCTTTAAATTCAACTTCGGAATATCCAAGTAATACATTTAGTAATCTAAGATCAAACTCAGTTACTGCGCATCACCAACAACAACAACAACAACAATCACGGTCACAATCACAGTCTCTGCAACTGCAATTCCAAACTCCTCGTCCTGGCAGAGTTCGTCAAGTATCGACAGATAAGTTTCAAACCCCTATTGGAAGAATAATGAGGTAACTTAGTATTTATATATTTATGAGAAATTTATTCTAGCTACATCTATATCACTTCTAACACGTTGAATATCTCGTAGAGCTGCAAGATGGTCTTTTGTTCTTTTTCTAATTCTTACACTGGCTAAAACAAATTTTGCTAAACCAGCAAATGTCAATTTCGGACGTTGCGCTTCAGCTTGGTTAACATATTCTGGATATATTCCTAATTTTACCAAGTTGGTATCATTCTCCTGAAGATTTAATAGTTTAGTTGAGTTTTTAATTGAGCGCAAGGTATAGTTATACAAGAACTTGTAATCAGTTTTTCTAGTAAACTCTTCCATAAACTTTCTTTGGAAATAAATACTTTCATTTTCAAGAAACTGCACCCATCCAGGAGTATCTAACTTCTTTCTAACTTGCATATTTTCACAAACTTTTTTGGCCAATCGTTTACAGTTTTTAGTCATTTTTTGCAATTCCTCTTTTGTATTTTCCAATTCGATTTGTAATTGAGTATTCGTAGACTTTGACTTTATAAAATCTGTTTCCACAATCTGTTTCTCTTCTCGTAACAACTTGAGTTGTTTACTGTACTTTTCCTCGGTAGCTTGTAACTCATTAGTTGCCTTTTCCAAATCTTCGCGACAAGTCTTTAATTGAAATTCCACATATTCTTGAATAACCGAGGGTTCAGATAACTTAGCTGCGCCTTTCTCTAATTCTGTTTCCAAATATTTGATTTTTGATTCTTGGGATTTGACTAAATTGCTTGATGATTCAAGTTCACGATTTAGTCTTTCCAATTTAGTTTGATCTAGTTCAGCACTCTTCGTCTTAGCCTCTAGCTCTTCAATATAATCATCACTAATTTTGACAGCGCTTCGAAGTTTTACAATCTCATTCTTCAATTCAGCAACGTAAGTATCATCTAAGGAATATTTCTGTTGTGAGTCTAATTCAACAAGTAATTCGGTAACTTCATTTTCCAATTTAGCCAATTTCTTTTCTGCTCTTTCCCTAGCAAATTCTGCCTCTTTAACCTTGTCGACCAATTCAACATTGTCATCAAAAATTTCTCTGGTGTAATTTGTTGCTTGGACTTTTTGTTTCAATCTAGAGTTTTCTTCTTTCAAGTCTAGAATTTTATTATTCAAGTCTCTGATATTGGAATCAATCTCGAGCTCAAATTCACGTTCTTTACTAGCGTTGCTAAGTTTCAAATCATGAAGTTGTGATTGTAAATCTTCAATTTCCTTCCATGATGATTCTAGCTTATTAGCAAGCTCGACATTATCCGTATGCAATTCGCTTTTATCCATGACTGAATGTTTCAATCTGTCTATATTCTCATGTGATCTAACCAATTCATCTTCTTGTTGTCTTATCTTTAACTTCAATTGAGAAATTTCATCGGATTTAGACACTTGATAGGAATCATAATTCTGTCTTAATTCATCATAGCGATGTGCAATATCTTTCATATGGTCCAATTCTCTTGATAACATTTCGTTAGCACCTTTCATGGACAGAAGCTCCCTTTCGGTTGCCTCTAATTTCCTGGAAGCATCTTTCAATTCAGCATTGACTTTCTCAAATTCTTTTTCGTAAACTTCAATTTGTACAAGACGTTCAGCTAAATCATTGCCCATGTCAATCATTTCGACAACCTTATCATCGTATTCAGTCTTAAGTTGTCGATTATTGTCACGCAATTTAGTTAATTCCTCATTCTGAGTTTCTTTGTGGTTATTAAGTTTATGTTGTGTCAGTTCAAGTTCAGACACCAATTTCTGGCACTTATTATTCAATTCATGAATTTCATAATCATATTTCTTCTTCTTTAAATCTTCTTCTTTCCTTATAGATTCGATTAGACGTTGTTTTTCTTGTACTTCATCACGAACTTGTCTCAACTCCTTTCGAAGCCTTTCTTCTTGATGACTACCATTGGACTGTAAATCTCCTAGTTCACGTTGCAAACGATCTATCAACTGAGATTTTCCAATTATATCTGCTTCCAAACCTCTTGTTTCCTGGGACATCCTCATTTCTAGGGCTGCATTCTTCTCCTCTAGTGCTTTATTCTTCTCTTCCAGTTCTAACAATTTCGCATCCAAACGATGTATTTGTTCAACTGCATCCTTGGATACCTCTTGTGTTTGAAGTTGTTGTAAACGTGAAAGTTCATCCAGCAATAACTGGAATTTCTTTTCCTGCTCATCAAATTCAACTTCTGCATGACTCATATAATCTTCAAGTTCATGTATCTTACCATACAATTCTTCGCGTTCTATTTGAAGATCTCTTACCATCTCTTCATATTCATTCACTGAATTGTTAGCCCCCTGTTGAGTTGATAATTTCTGCTTCAAATTGTATATCTCATCATTAAGCTGTTGAATTGCAAGATTTTTTTCCTCTATGATACTGTTTGCATCAGAGTTTTCCTTGTGGTTTATATAATCCTGGTTGGATTGTTTCAATTGTTGAATCTCAAGTTTTAATGTACTTATCTTTTCATTTAATTCAATATTCACTTTCCTCACATCACTTTCCAACTGAGGCATGTTTTCCAATGATCGACGAAGCTCTTTATACTTAATCTTCCACCCATAATTGTCCAGTATTAACTCCTTGATTGTTTCTTCCAGTTGTTTGGCTGCAATCCCAGCATTATCGATTGCAATTAAATCACGTCTTGTTACTGGAGATCTTGTTTGTTTTTTCGGGATAGGGTGACGAGGTGGATATGCTCTTTCAAAATCATCAACTGTATCATCAAATAATCCAGACTCTTGAGAGTAATGAGCAATATTGTTGGTTTCTTTTAGTGGTTGAAATAATCTTCTTCGATTGGTTGACAAAGGAGAATAATCTTTTGGGTATGTGTGAAGCACTTGGAATGATGATTCATCTCTACCTCCTTTTCCTATAGGAGTAAATTCTAAACCTGATGGTTTCTTGTCGGTACCTTGAGGTGAACCCAATAAATTACTAAACCCAAAGACCATGAATGTTTTGTTGATGAATCGTGGACTATAAAGAATTTAATAGTAATGGAATAATTTCTTTTTGTCTTTTGTTTTGTTTTGATTTCAGTCTAATTGTTGAGAGAAAGGGAAAAAAAAAACGCGACTGTATTGGTATTAAATACACGACCCTTATCAATTGGTAGTTGGTTGTAACATTTTTCATTTTTACTCCCTACCTAAGTTCGTATTAGTTGAAAACGTTCAATAGTGAGTACGTCTACCTTTGCATGTGAGTTGCAATATACTTGGTATGTCTAGGATCAATCTAAAGAAAGAGATACTAATGAAATAACTTGTAACAACAACAATCGCCTTTTGTTGCTAGTATTTATGTTTACTGATATTTCAATAAAACTTTATAATTAACCTCCTCTTTGTCTTTAATTGTTCAAGTAGAAATTGATATCTGGTGATAATTTGTAATTTCCTTGTTATTTTTTTCTTTCTAAATAGTTTCTTGCTAGTATCTTGCACATGCGATTAAGACATGCAAGGACTAAGAACTCATTAATCTCAAGAGTGAAATCTCACACATATCAATTTTCTTTTGAATATTATTCAGTAAATACGATAACCACGACGATGAATTCACAATTATATCATTTATGTTGATAAATTGTAGTTTAAACCAAATGCAGTTCAATGTCTGTAGTAGTTATGTTTCATTCATATTTGGTAGACAACATGATATAATCTTTGGTTGTCTAAAAAAGATAAAAATAGGGAGAGTGAAAAAGCAACAACACAAAAAAAAACAATATAAAACAGTTAAAGTGTCATGTTCAATTTTTTTTTGTTTCTACTGTTGTTTGTCTCACATACAATTAAGCTCACAAAAGAAAAAGTATTGGGAAACAACAGAGACAAGAAAGACAGAGGGAAAAAAAAAAAAAAAAAAATTTTCTCTCTCTTTAATTATACATACACTGTATGTAATTTTTTTTCTTTTGGCCTTTGAATAGATTTTTTTTTTTGTATTTTCTCACTCACTTTCTCTCTCCCTTGTTTAGATTTTTTTTTTTCTTTTATGAATTACTTTTTCCCTTTATTAGTCGATTTTATTCAAGTTATTTAAATTGTATAAGGCAACCAGGTCTTACCATTAGCTAATTGTATCATTATTAATCTATCTCAATAGAAGAAAGAAAAAACAAGACTTGTGCATATTGTTCACAATTCAATAGATTCCATCCATTCACTCATTCTATTACAGGACAGAAAGTATAAGCGGAACTGTTTTTATTTTTTTTTTTTAATAACATTACAATATCCGTGGTTTTTTATAGTTGTACAATTCATTCCATTTAACGAAATCTGAACAGTCCTATTCATAAACAATAATATCATGTCTTCATCGAATCCACGTAATGGTGGGGGACCTTCATCACGATATAATGAATACCTAGATTATGGAAAATCACGAAGGAAAAATTTCTATTCATCGGGCTCCAATAGTCAGTCATCACCATCTCTACAGGGATTATCACGACGAGATTTTAAAAGTAATGGTAGTGGTTCGTCTTCATTGTCACATCTGAAAGACCAAAATCCTATACCCCCTTCAGTCTCAAGAAATGGTTCTTATTCATCATCATCACATTATAACAACAACTATGGAAATTATCACGATTATTATCTAGGGAGTGGTCGTAATGACACATGGAGAAAATCCAGTGGTGGGGAATCACGACTATCGTCATCATCAAATTCATCTGCAACTTCATCATCGACTTCTTATCAACAGTACCGACTGAATAATGCCACTGGCGGTGATTATAGAATGAAAGACCGCTATGATTCATATAGCACTCACGACGGGGGTATAAACACAAGTAAATGGAAGTCAGGTAGAGGTTTTGGGCCATCAAGATACTCAGCTAAAGATAGAATGCGAGGAGCATCAACATTCAGTTCTGGTAGTAATAGTGTACCTTTAGGATCTTCATCATTGACAAATAGTACAGGACATGACTCATATTATGGGAGAAATTCGTATGGTAGTTCCTTACCTAGAAACTCAAGTTATAACAAACCTAGAGATTATAAATACAAATACGGCCACAGAAGCACATTGATTCCAGTTGAGAAGAAACATCCCCAGGATCTAGATTCTCCTACATCTAAAGATGAGGAAGAAGACGATGACGAGGAGGAAGACGATGAAGAAGAGGAGGAGGAGGAAGAAGAAGATGAAGCTGTTGATGAGGTACAAGTAGAAGTAAAAGAGGAGCAAAAACAGAAGGAATCACAACAAACACTAGGAGAAGAAAAGAAAGATGTTGATAATGATATTACAATGGAACAGGATGATTCGAAAACTGAAATCAAAAAGATTGTTGAGGTGAAAGTGGAGGAGAAATCAATAGATTCTTTAATGACAGATGAATCCGTAAAAGTTGAAACAGCAACTGTTGAACAAGAGCATCCTATAGAATCAACAAAACAGGATATTCCTCATGAAGTTAATGAACCTCCAGTTGTTACCACCGAGGTCGAAACAATTGAGAGCTATGATTATCCATTGAATAAAATTGAAACAGAGTTTTGTGAATTGAAGGCAAAGTTCCATGCAGAAAAAGGGGATATGTTGTTAAAGTATTCATTGGCTAAACCAATTACGAATCTTCATCATTATCCAATTGTATCACACAATTTGAATCACTACCATAAGATCAGAAAGTCATTGGTTTCTAAATTAAAGAATAAAAATTATTCCATTTACTTGAGAAAAAGAATGCTTTTCGAAGAATATAATTCACGTATGAAGATTTATGAGCAACAAAAGATGAAAATGGCGCAACAAATAGCCGCTGTGAGACCACCTGGTAGTGATGATATTAAGAAAGAAATTTATAATGGTGTAGTCACAGGTTTACTAGGATCCAGTGGTGGCGGTGGTGACAGTAATGGCGGTCCGAATGGTTCTGCTGAAGCTGGGGCTCGTAGTACTCGTAGGTATAGAGTTAGTGATGACGAATTGAATGTCATTTTGTTAAGTTTGGAAGATCCGATTAATAAAGCTGCTAGAGTTGCTGCTAAGATACCTGATTTGTGTCTTGATGACAACACTGTGTTCTGCGATGACAATAATATTGTCAAGGATAAACAACAATGGGCTAAACGTATTCATACAGACTGGAATGACACATTTACTGAAGCTGAACACGAAATGTTTTGTCAAGCTTATTCGGTGCATGGTAAAAAATTTGACCTTATTGCAAAACATATGGGATTAAGAACGGTTTCAGATTGTATTCGACACTATTATATGACAAAACATCTGACTAACTACAAGATGTTGTTACAAAAGAGGAAGAAGACTAAACATAAAGCTAAGAGAACTAAGAAAACTGCCACTACAAAAACTCCTCCTCCTGTTGCTCCTACATCTGCACCTATTGTTGTACCTCCAGAAGCGCCAAAATCTGCTCCTCCAGCAGCAGCAGCCATAGCTCCGCCAACTGATACAGCTGTACCTATTGTCTCTCACGCAGAACTTCCTACACATAAAATGAGTATAGCTAGTTTACTTAATTAATAAAATGGAAATTTTTTTATATCTGTTAGTACTTTCTCTTAGTCTTTATGTTGAATCATGATCATGTGATCGTATCACGTGCAGGTCGTGTGCGCGTGTTAAGTTTTCATAAGTTGTGAGAACAAAAAATTTTTCTTTCACTGGTTATTGGTTTATATATACAACCCGAAAATTTTTCAGTAGTTAAAACTCTTGTTAACACCAATGACTTCAAGACTTATTACAAGGTTCAGAGGGCTTCATATACCTCAAAGACCATTCCATCAATCAGTTTTACAATTCAACGAAGTCAGAAGAGATTTTCAACGACAATCAAAATTCCAAAGAAGATCTCAATACCGTCCACCAACACAAGTTACTGAAAACTTGACCATAGAAGAAATTAACAGAATTAGAACTGTACCTACTTTAAATACCTTTTACGGTGGTAACCCAATTCATGAAGACAATGTTAATAAATTAAAAGCTTTATTAAAGAAGTACCAAAGCTTACCAACAAGATCAGTTCCAGATGAAGAAATTAAAAATCAAAAATTCATTGGTTTTGATGATTATACTAAAATAACCAAATCTGGTACAAGAGTTAAAAATATTCATTATCGTGAATTAATTACCCTTTTGAATAGATTAAGAAGTATTGATTTACAATTGATGCCAATTGAAGTTTCCAAAGTTTTGAAGGAATACTCCAGTAGTTCATTGAATAAAATTGTTCAAGTTGCTAAGGAAAAAACTTTGGATAGTTTCGGTAGAGCTAGAGGTAAAGCTAAAAGAAAGCTGTGTGAAGCAAAAGTTTACCTTGTTAAAGGTGAAGGTGAAGTTTTAGTTAACGGTAAATCAATCATTGAATATTTTCCAAACATTTATGCCAGAAAGAATATTGTTTATCCATTCCAAGTTATTGATCAAGAAGGTAAATATAATGTTTTTGCTCAAGTTTCTGGTGGTGGTTACACAGGTCAAAGTGAAGCTATAATGTATGCTATCTCAAAGGCTTTAGTTATCTTTAACCCATTATTGAAACCAAGATTGTCTAAAGCCGGATTAATGAAGAGTGACTCTAGAATTGTTGAAAGAAAGAAACCAGGTAAACTTAAGGCTAGAAAATCTCCAACATGGGTCAAACGTTAAGTTTCTTTTGTTTGTTTTGCCTGCTCTATATATATATGTGTGTATATACATTATATACTGTTATTATTTTCATGTACATATTGAATCTAAATACTTTAAAACTGATTCTAATTCTCCTTTTTCAAATTTGGTAATCTTTCCTTGGAAGGATGTACCCTTTCCACCACCTTTTAAGTTGGTTAGTTTCAGCTTCAATTCTGTTTGAATTGATGATGCTTCAGGTCCAGTGATCTTAATGCTGCCGCCATTTGAAGGAGCCCCGTGTAGTAAAACAAGAGTTTGATTTTTACTCAAATCCACAGATGAATCGTCACCATTTATCAAGTTTAACAATTCCTTGTTAACTGCTGTTAAATAATCAGGAAGATCGGTACGATAAACATAGGCAACTTTCTTACCGTCCTTGAAGTTTTGATATATCTTACTAGCTTCCAATCCTGCTAATTCCTTCAATAATGCATTTATAGTTGAGTTGGATTTCCTTGTGTTTAAATTCAATAATTCAACTTTCTCACCAACAGCTTCAATAGCACATGATAATTGGTTTGTTGCAACATTTCTTAAAATTTCATGTTCTTTACGTAAAACATTGGCAACTCGAGCACCACAAGTGAAAAACAATCTTGAATGGCCACCTCTAATTGGAGCTTGATGTAACAAAGCTATGGACTGAATTTGAGAAGTGGATGTTAAATGAGTACCACAACATGGATTGGCATCCAATTCTCCAATTTTAACAATTCTAATTATCCCCTTACTCAAATCATAATCATCTGGTAAATGAGAAACGTCCACTTCATGACCATGTTGATCTGGAGTGACAACGGTGATCTTAATTCCTTCAACAATTAATTGGTTCACTCTTTCTTGAACCTCACCAAGTAATTCATCGTTGATTTTCTCTGGTAACTCAATATAATTGATTTCTTCACCCATAGACCAACTCAAAGTTTCTAAACCAAATGTATCAAACACCGCAGATAACAAATGTTGTCCAGTATGCTGTTGCATAATATCAATTCTACGAGCCCAATCAACATTTAAAGTAACTTCAGTACCTGGTTCAATCATTTCATCAACTAAATGAACAGCTTTTAATTTATCTCTCAAAACTGATTTAACTTCAATAACTTTATTTTCAGGTAAAATTGTAATGGTTCCCTTGTCATAAGGTTGACCACCACCTTCAGGAAACAAAATAGTGTCCTGGAACTCGACACCAAATTCTTTTGTTTTATTTGATTTGGACTTTTTATTTTGCTTATCTTTGGAGGTTAAAGGCGGAATAAATTCATAACTGGAAACAACTTTGGTATTGAATGTTTTCAAGAATGAATTCTTTTGACAAGATAATGCACCAACTATTGCTGTTGTACTCGCTGTTGTCATATTGGGAATAGTTATAGATGTGTTCTTCGGGATTAGTAATCCGCGATTGTTGAGTAGTTGGAAATTTTGCGATTTTTCAACAATATTTCTTAGTGGGTCATGAGGAAATCTCGCTGGTGGAGGAATGTGGGGGAGAGATTAGAGATATGAATTATTTTGCACGACCATTAATCAAATAAATATCGTATTATAATATTTAACATGCTTATAACCTACTAACCAAAACAAATGGAAATCAACAAACTAAGAGCTAGCAAGTAAACAGAAATGTTTTTGATTGAGCTTGCATCACTCTTTTGAGAACTGTCACTTGTTTCAGAGCTGCCACTTGTTTGAGAAGTAGCACTTGAGTAGGAACCTTCAGTTGTTGCAGAACTATCATTTGTTTCAGAGATGTTACTGGATGCTTTATTGAATTCACCATCGGCCCCGACAACCTCAATGTTTGACTTAGTTGATCCACTTTGTGGGGCAATGCTGATTTCCAATCCATCTAAATCATAGACAGCATAGATTCGAGTCAAGACATCTTGGCCAAGAACATTAGCAGGAATGGAGTCATCTGGTTGATTGAAGTATTGTAATACATACTCACCATCCCCAGCATCTTGAATATAGACTTCTGTCTCGATAGTTAAGTTGTTGAAGGTGAAGCGTAACTTGGATTTGTCTGCTAAAGTTTTATCCACATAATATTGCCCATCTTTCACCTCGCCACCCAAACTTTCGGCTAACTCCTGCATTACACTATTACTAAAAGTAGAAACAGTGCTGCCAGTATCCAATATGACATTTGTTTCCAAAGCGAGTGTCTGGTTGATTTTATCACTAGCCAAAGCAATAGAATCTATTGAAATAGCCATATACTTTTCATATTCTTCTTCAGTCATCATAGGTATAGTTAACAATTCACCTGAATATTTTTCATGGTCAACTGCTCCAAACAACAATGAACTTTTAGATGAATCTTTGTTAAGCACAATAGAATAAATCACTCTATCAATAGTTCCATCCATCTTTAACTTTTGTGGAAAATTTGGATATGAGGATTCATTGAACGCCAAGATGGAGCCTTCTAATTGTGGAAAACCGAGACCCATAGTTCCAACACTGTCAACTATGGCACCAAGTCCAAAAGTCGTGTTATTTATGCCTGTATCACCAATCCAGACTGTATCTTGACAAAACAACCCTTCAGCAGATGAATTATCCCCATACTGAACATAGAATGGCAAGGAAGACATTTTTAATGTAGTAGATTTATACCATTTGTACCTCAGTTTTGGGCAATCAGCGGATTCGCTAGAAGTCCCAGTATTACAAGTTGCGTTCGATATTGGAACCCACAAATCAGATGACCCAGTATCAACTATGACCTGAACTTTTTCCTTCTCGGAACCAAAACCTAATTCGATGCAATATTCATTATCTTCTGGTTTAGGCACTAAGCTGACGTCGTCATCTTGTCTCCTGTTTAAGGACTTGGATCTACGTTTTAAGTCAAATTGTAATGAACCACCAAAAACAACAGGAGCAAAGAATAAAAAGAATAGGAATTTCATTTTGTATGGATTTTTTGAATTGATAAAGTTTAGAATTTTTACCTAGATGAAATCCAAGCAATCTATTCACTTTAAATAGAATATTCCTTTGATTTTCAACATTTAATTTATTAATAAATTAGATCATACATGCGATGGTACAAATAGTGCTGACCAGACCTTATTCCAAGAAAATAGAAAACTGCATCATAAAAAATCTTCTCTTCAGCTACTTGTGTGATAAATTGAACAATTCTTTAATGTATTTATCCAACAACAATTGTATCCACCTTGAAACTTTAGTTCACATGAATTGGCTCCCAATGTTTACTTGCATTAAACCGAATTAAAAACGAATGTATTGTTGAGAAATGCGACTCATCGTATCTGCATTTCAGTTTATTAAAATTAAGCAATTCTTTAAAAACCATGAGAAGTGGTTTGTCCCTTGTTTTCTACGGAATCATTAATATGATTGGCAACATTGATACTGTAAAAGTACATTGCTTTCCATGTAATTAAGAACAAATGGTAGCAAAAAGTGGAACAGGAAAAAAAAAATGAAATAACTGTGTCAGTCTAGTTTCATTCCAAAATCAAATTCTACCAGCGGCTTTAAGACTAAATACAGTGATATCCGATTTAACGGACGCATCTATTATAAAATAAACAATGCGTAACTGTGTGGGGCGTTACTTGACTGTAAAGTATTCTTCTCGAAATTCATGATTGGGGAACACTCTTTTTCCTCCAGCTACAGAACATTTGCAAACTTAGATGTAGTTTAACTTCTGCCGAATACTTAATAAACTGTCCATATAATAATGAATAAAGAAATTGTGACTATTCAATATAATATAACCTGTTTTTTTTTCTAACACCCGAACTACAATTTATTTCAAAAATATGTTATATATTAACTCTTTAAGTTCATTGATTGTGTCATTCTCAAATTGGAGTATTAGCTCCTTAAAAATGGAATATCATCATTCTTTTTGGTGCAAATTATATAACCATACCGTACAAGCCTCTAGCTATATTAATTAATTATATTAAATTATCAACGTAAATCCATTCAAAACCTTCAATATTTGGATTCTTTTTCTGTATTTTTTCTTTTTCAAATTCATTTTCTTAAAGCATACCCATAAATCAAAAAGTCACGAAATTGTATCACGTGATTCATGTCGTGTTTGTTTTACCAATTTTGATTTTTTTTTTTTTCTTTCGTTTTCACTATTAGAAAAATTTTTCGAAGTATGGAATATATTTCAGAATCATATTAAGTAGTACGAACATCCACTCAATAGCAATAATGATAAGGGTACCAGTCCAAAGCAGATCATTTGCAACTTCAACAAGAACTTTATCTTGGTTTGGTGATCTTTTTGGAAAAAACAAAACAAGCATTGAATCACAGCAAAAAAGAAAAGAAATAATTGAAAAACAAGATGAATTAACTGGACAAGAATCTATTAAAGTTACACATTTAACTTATAAGAACTCTGACAAATATGTCAAATTTGACCGTAAAAAAGAAATGCCTGGATACAATATAAGAAATTGGAAATCTGTTAGAGGTTTACATCCTAAAGATTTGGAAACTCATTATTCCAATAAAGAATTATTACAAAACAAGATTAATGAAAGCTTACAAAATGTGCTTGGTAAAGAAATAACTAGAGAACAATATAAAGATATAAGTTTAACTGATTTGGAATTTAGATTTAACGTGGTTAAAGCTTTACAATCTAGTTTGGGTATTGATTTCAATGACTACACTGTTTCGAAGAGTCATGATTTAGAAACCTTATATGATGAAATTGAAAACGTTGTCAGCACCAGATGGAAGAATGAAAAACACCCAGACGCTATTGTTTTAAGACCAGAAGATTTTACTGCAGGAAATGTTTATTTGAATGAAGAAAGATCTACCTGGGAGAAACAAAAAGAATTCAATAAATTGGTTCAACAAATGAAGAATGCTGAAAAAAAGCAACAAAGTGTGTAAATACTTTTATAAAGATATAAAAAAAAAGAAACATGTATATATTCACCTTTCAAATAATGCACAATTTATAAAACAGAAAGAGAGAAGTTGTAAAAGTTTAGCAAAACAAATTAATCATTTCTGAATAGTAACAGAGGTAGCTGGAGGTGGATGTGGTAAATCTCTTAATAATACTGGGGGGACTACATCTTGGATATGTGGTTCCTTTCCTCTTATTGCTTCTTCTTCAATTTGAATAGTTCTGTAATAGCTCCATTTGAATAAAATTGAAATAATACTAACAAACCCAAAATCTGGCCACAATACATCTGGAAACTCGATAGTACATTCAGTATTACATTGCCAAAGTAAAAAATCGCTTAATCTAGTATGACCACTTGTCCGAATCAAAATATCTAAAGGTGGCACATCTCCCCCAAAGTAGAAGTTTTCTTCTATGGTTTTGGTTGTAATTTCATCACGGCTAGTGATCTCACCGTTCACTCTCTTTTCAGCAATACGTTTGACAGCGTATGTGATCTCATCACGAGCAGTATAAGGGAAGCAAACATTCAAAGTTTTCTTAGACGAATGATCTTTAGTGATTTCTTCGATATTCTCTAAGTCCTTCAAAATATCCAGTGGAATGTACGATCTATTGCCAATGATTCTAATGCGGACCTTATTGTATCGAGCATACGAATCTTCATGCTCTGAAATCATCTTCAATTTATCACGCAACAACCCAAATAAAGTATCGATTTCTTCTCTGGTCCTATTGAAATTTTCCAAAGAAAATGCATAAATAGTGACTTGTTCAATACCAACTTTATAGCATACTTCAAGAACCTAAATTTATCAAACAAAGTTAGTATTAGAAAGAATCGATTTCTAAAGTAGTGGTAAGTTATTTCATACTTTAACTAAAGCATTAGCACCAGCAAAATGGCCCTCTTTCAAAGGTAATCTGTGATTTTTTGCGTAAGTTCTATTACCATCCATGATCATGGCAATATGTTTTGGAATAGGACCCGTTTTCATGATTGAAATTACAAAATCTTCGATAAAACCAACAACATATGCAAACAACGGGAATCTAAAAATGAGCGCCAACAAAGCATTGAACGAATATGTTCTTGTTGTGCCTAAAGACATGATTATTGTATAAATTCAAAAATAAAAATGAAAACAAAAATTTTTTTTTAAAAAAAATAATGGTTTAGGCAACCAAGGGATTTTGGTTTCTTCTATTATATTTTTTTTATCCTCCCTTTTTACAACCAAAAATATAACACTTTCAAATAAAAAAAATTTTCAATCCTCTTTCAAGTTAAAAGTTCTGACAACTTTTTTAACTTCCTTCTTCTTTCTTTCTCTGGTTCTAGCATCTTCAATTTTATTAAGATACCCCATGTATACAACAACCTCAGCAACCAAAACTAAAATACCAAAGAAAACACTTAATAACACCCTATAACTTAGAGGTAATCCCCAAGAAGTTTCAGTCCAATACCAAATCGCATATGCTACACTCGCAACACTGATTATAATATTAACAATTGTAGTTAATTGGTTTTTTAATTCCTTTGCAGCTTGCTGAGGAGTCAAATCGTATTCATTCAATTTTTCTTCATATAATGTTGAGAATTGAGGTGTCGGGTTGATTAACTTACGGTATTCTTGTTCTTTTGCTTCAAGTCTCAATCTTTCCATTGATTTTAAAAACTCTTTCGTCTTTGGTTGCTTGTGAGTTTCAAATTTAGGAACGTGTAATTTAGTTTGTTGAATCAATTGTAATAATGAAGATGTTGGGTGGCATGTTTGATAAAATTTCACTAGGTCCTGATGAGCAATATATGAATCAGATAGTATTTTAGTTTTTTGGTCCTTATCTAAAGAAGAATTGGAGATTGTTTCTTTCAATTTTAAGGTAATTTCAAATTGGGTCATGACTAGGTAAATATACTAATGTATGGAAGATTATAAGGTGAAAAGTTATTATCATTGAGTATTTTTTTTTTCTCACTTTGTTTTTCAAGTCCCGTCGCTCTCAATGGTTTTCTCTTACAAAATTAAACTATCTAAAATTAAAATAATAATAATAATAATAATTGATTTGAATGCCCTATAAAATTGTGAGTCGTTGGATAGTTGCTCTATTGACTCGAAGTTTTATTAGAAAGTGGGTTTGTCTATTATAGAATTTGCACGTGACTTTGAGGCTCATGTATTTCCTAAACCGGTATTTCCACGAAATTGTCTGTTGATTTTATTTTTAGTCGGGACGTTCCAGACAACCCTCGATTTCAGGAAAAGCTTCCCGTAACTTTGAGACCGTTTTTTTTTTTTTTTATTTTCTTTTTTTTTATGACAGGAAATAATCGTATGTAATTTGTGGCCCCATTTTCTAAAAAAAAAATCTTCCCCATATTCTATTAGAATACAATAAAAATTAAAATAAAAATTTCCTTTCCGGATAAGAATGGCTTAGTATATAAACCTAGACATATTCCCTCTATTGACCCAGTTGTATGAGTTTGACAATTCAACCTTTACTGTTTCCAAGTGTAACTCTAATCGAAAGTCACGAGGAAAAAACAAAACTATTCTCCGAACATTGCACACGACCTGCATTGTTGTTTTTTTGTTTATTTACAAATCAGTAAAAAAAAAAGGAAACTTAATATAAATTTTTGCCCACATTGACACAACCAGTTCATTTATCGAAACCTTCTCCAAAGAAAGGTGTTTTAAGAAATCTCAAGGGATTACTCCTGGTAAAATCATTTTCATCAATTAGTGAAAAACTGGATATATCAACCATGTCATCTTCCCATTCCTCTTCAGGTAATCTAGATTCAAGAAAGAGACAATCCAAAAGGGATGATGCTATTAGAAGAAGAATTGAACATGATTTGAATAAGAAAAAGAAAAATGGAACAACTTCAACAAGAAGAAGAAAAGCTACTCCAGGAACTGTATTATCTTTGAAACCAAGTGATCCTATTATTTGTAAAACAACCTCCACAGTATATGAAGTTTCTCAATTAATGACTGCTAAACGAGAAAATTGTGTATTGGTAGTTGATGAAGTGGGTCAATTATTGGGTATTTTCACTGCTAAAGATTTAGCTTTTAGAATTGTTGGATCAGGATTAAATGCTAATCAAGTGACCATTGATCAAATCATGACAAAGGATCCAATCTGTGCTAATGCCAACAATGCTGCTGGTGAAGCATTGACTTTAATGGTTGAAAAAGGTTTTAGACACCTTCCTGTGTTGGATGACGATAATCATATTGTTGGAGTCTTGGATATTACCAAATGTTATGCTGAACAAATGTCTAAATTGGAAAGAATGCATAGTTCTAGTAAGAAATTATACGAAGCTTTGGATTCAGTTCATTCTGAAATGGGAGTCAGTGAACAACCACAACATGTTTTCCAATATTTTGAAACTTTAAAAAATAAAATGAATGGTCCAACTTTGGAAAATGTTTTGGATTTCCATACCGAACCTATTTACACAAATGTTAAAGCATCTGTTTTTGAAGCAACGATTTTGATGAAGGAAAACAGAACTACAGCTGTGTTGGTCAAAGATACAAACGATGAAGTTGCTGGTATTTTCACATCTAAAGATGTGGTGTTGAGAGTAATTGCAGCTGGTTTGGATCCAAAGAAATGTTCTATTGTAAGAGTTATGACACCACAACCTGATGTGGCCCATGTTAGTTTACCTGTTCCAGAGGCATTGAGAAAAATGTTTGATGGTCACTATTTGAATTTGCCAGTTGTTGGTGATGAAGATGAGATCATTGGTATTGTGGATGTTTTAAAATTGACTTATGTTACATTGAATCAACTTAAACAATTGGAGACTACAGCTGCTTTTACAACAGAAACCGGAACAGATTCTGTAGATACCCCTACTGGTGAAGGTCCAGCTTGGAACAAGTTTTGGACGTCACTTGACAACCACACTGAAGGAGAAACTGAATCGGCTCATTCTGATTCCTTAATGGATGCCGGTGCATTCAGCAATAGTGGTGTTGGTGCTGGTATTACTGGTAGTGGAGCTCCAGATATAACACCATCTGAATTCCATTCCTTTAATGTTGATATTAAACCGTCTGATTCTGTATCCCATGTTGAATCACTTCCATTTAAAGCTTCATCATTGAAATATGCATCATCAGCAGCAATTGATGAAATTCCATTCACGTTCAAGTTCAAATCTCCAGGAATTGAAGGAAGGGTACATAGAATCACTTTGAAATCATCTGAAGGTATCGTCAGATTAAAAGAATTAATAGATGCAAAATTGCATGAAAAGGATTATACGGTTTTGAATATTGAATCTGATGAGAAATATGCCATTAGTTATGTTGATGATGAAGGTGATGTTGTTTCCATTACTAGTGATGATGATTTATGTGAATGTATAAAAATCAATTTGAAACTTCAAAATGACAAAGCTGATTTGTATCTTCACAATCCTCATGAACATGCTACCATTGAAGATGTTAAATCAATCTATTCTAGAAAAAGTGTTAGAAAGAATAATATTGGTTCTAGTGATTTGATCGCTGGTGTTCCAAACGAAATTCTTATCCCTAGTGCTTTAGCTGTTTTAGGTGCTTCAATAATTATTGGTTTTACTTTTGCTAGAAAATAGTGAGGAAGAAGAAATAGAGAATATATCCTCTGCTGTTTAATATTTTATATTTATTGTTTATAGTTTATAGTTTATAGTTGTTGCTGTTAATGTACGTGTATAGAATTTCATTTCTAAATATGAGTTTGTCTACAATAGATAAATTAAATACAATAATAAAAACAGATATACATTAAAGAATATAAACCTAAGCTTTAGGTGGTGCTAGAATGATGAGTCTGTAGTTAGTACATAAAAGACATAAAGAGTAATCAAAATCTAGAAAGAAATAAAACAGAAAATTAATTTTCTAGCACTTAACACTATCTCCAAAATCTAGTAAAAGACAGTTTGCACATTAAAGTTTCAAGCTTGAAAACGGGGGGAAACAGCGCGCTATTTATACTTTTTTTTCTTTCTATCCTCAATCAACATCACATGGTGTGAGAAAAAAAAAAAGAGATTGGGCCTCAGAAAAAATTAACGACGGCAGCAGGACTCGAACCTGCGCGGGCATAGCTCAAAAGATTTCTAATCTTTCATCTTTAACCACTCGGGTCATGCCGCCAGTAAATCCAGTTGGTAAATTCAACTCGGACAAACGAAGC